CACTTCCCTCGAAATCTCCACCAAGGAGCTTTCTGGTGGTGCTCGCATTTACTACATCTTCAACGAAGTCTTTGGACACGCCCTTCAAGGCATTGACCCCGCTCAAAACCTCAGTTTGGCCGATATCCGTACTGCCATCAGAAACTCGACCGGCCCGAGACCCAGCCTGTTTGTGCCAGAGGTAGCGTTCGATCTTTTGGTAAAGCCGCAGATCAAATTGCTCGAGGCGCCGAGTTTGAGGTGTGTGGAGTTGGTTTACGAGGAGTTGATGAAGATCTGCCATAACTGTACCAGTCCTGTGAGTGATTTGATTTTGTCATGGACATTACTAATACGAATCAGGAACTTCAACGATTCCCTCGACTCCTGACCCAACTCATCGAGGCTGTCTCTGAGCTCTTGCGCGAACGTCTCGGCCCTACATCCGATTACGTCTCCTCCTTGGTCTCTATTCAGGCCGCGTACATCAACACCAATCACCCCGACTTTGTCGCTGGCTCTGCTGCCATTGCCCGCGAGGGTTCTGCCGTCCAGAACCAACAACAACAGGTCCCTCGATTGGCTTCCAACGACGAGAAGAGCGAAGAAGAGAGCAGCTCGGAGGAAGAGGACGAAGGGGATGATGTCGTGAATGGTTACCCCAACCACCCCAGGTCGGCTTCTGCGTCTGTGCCCGAGATCCGACGACCGACGACTGCGTCGGGCATGAAGGAAAAGACCAAGCGCCAGCATATCCGCACTGCCTCCGGGGGGCAACAGGGTTCTCAAAATGCCAACGCCTTACTTGGCGCAACTGCCGGCGGTTTACACGCCCACAGCATCTCTGGCACTTCTCCTCACGGCGCCAAGGAGACTTTCTTGAACTACTTCTTTGGCGGTCCCAATGGTAACGACCCTTTGGCGCCTCACACGGGCCAAATACAGAGACAGTTGGGCAAGGGCCAACCCGGCCACCACGCTGGCTTGAGTCCCTACGGTCAGCAGCAGAGGCAGCAGGGAGGTGAGAGGGAGAAGGAGTTGCTGCCGGATTATGCAGGAGCGGGGAGGAGGAGTAGCAGATTGGAGAGCTCGGCGAGCTTCGACATGAAGAGTCTAGGCAAGCACCTCGAGGCTGTGAGTGCTTGTGTATCTTGGCGGAACATTGGCTGACGACGCGTAGACCAATGGCGAGGAGATTCCTCATCTGACCCCCAGAGAAGAGATGGAGACTACCTTGATCCGTTCGCTCATCGCGAGCTACTTTGGTATCACCAGGCAAACCATCCAAGATTTGGTGCCCAAGGCCATTATGCACCTTCTCGTAAGTCACCTCCTTCTCTTTTTTGAAAGTCTCCTGACGCAGCTCGCAGGTCAACTTTTCGAGGGATGCCATTCAACAGCGCCTCGTCACTCAACTCTACAAACCCGACCTCTTTGCCAACCTGTTGTTTGAGGACGAAGCCCTTGTGTCGGAGAGGACGAGGGTGAAGGCTCTGTTAGATGCGTACAAGGAGGCTTTCAAGGTGCTTAGTGAAGTCAGTTTGAAGAGCACATAGGATACATGATCTGTGCTCGGTTCGAGAGTAGGAAGAAGATATTTCTGTAGAGAGTACATTCACTATTTCTATTCCTCGTTCATGAAAAGCGTCGCTCTTGCTGTCTCGCTCTGCACCGGGATACACATACAAAAACGACACATAGAGTTCTATGTATCCACGATCACCCAGCCACGCAAACCTCCACCGGTCCAGGGAGCGCAATAAGGTTTCGTTATTTGGCTCCCGAGTAGGGCATCGTCCGGTCGATCCTGGTAAAACTTGTTCATGTCTTGTTTCACCTTCCGCCATCATCCGTATCAGCTCGACCCCCTGCTGCCATACCCATCCGCCCGGGCGATACCCAGCAACAGCGCGTACGACTCTTACAGACCGCTTCAAAATCGGTGCGAAACTCCAACGTCTCCCAAGACGTCGTCCGTCCCGAGTGGTCCCCTTCCATACCCGGCGCGCTTTTCCGAGACGCCATGCTCACGCTCGCCCCCTCTCGTCTCCTCTCGAAACCCATCCTCGCTATCGCCTGTCTCGGGCTCACGTTCCTGCTCTTGTCGCTAACGCTGGTGAGCCATGAAGACGGGAGAGAGTATGTGCTGGGTGTGGTGCAGAAGGTCGGAAAGGGGCTGAGTGTCAAGGGGAGTAATGGGGCTGTGATTGGGGGTGAGCATCAGATGGAGGATGCTATGAGGTGAGTCTAGAGTTCTAGCAAGTAGGATGTCGCTCATGAAAATGCTTGTAGGGAATGGGAGCTGAGACGGGCGTTGCAGCATGAAGGTGCGTTACCTGAAGCTGAGGGTATCCACTTGCTCACTAGACCTACAGGTACTGGGTCCAGAATACAGGCCTTCCTGGATAAGGCTAGAGCAGGACAAGGCTTTACGGTTGCAGCTGTTGGAGGAAGCGGTGCGTTCTCAATCCACAACTAACAAGTCTCAAGTCTTAACAACGGTACAGTCTCAAAAGGTCGAGGGCTTACACCTCCCCGAGCTTCCAAAAGACCCTCTTCTCGCGCCAACTCTCCCAGATCACCAGAAGACGCGTCTTCAGACGACAAGCTGGAAGACAACATTGACATTACCGACGCCCCTCCTGCTTCAGACGATGCCATACCAGCTGAAGCAGAGTCGGACCCAGACAGCAGCGAAGAGAGTAAAGAGGGGTCGCATCCTATATCTCCATTGGCACATCTGGGAGCTTCGACGTTGTATTCGCCAGAGAATCTGCATGTGCAGATATTCGAGTGGTTGGACAGGGCTTTTCCGAGTAGGAATCCAAAGCGGAAGAATCGGTTTGTGAATGGTGCGCAGGGTGGAGTAGGGGCTGCTTATTTCGGGTGGTGCTTTAGTGAGTCGTTCTTGGTTGAGACGGGGTGGGTTACTGATTCGTGATGTAGAGGAACATATCCCTGAAGAGGTAGACCTGGTGCTGCTCGAGTTGGGGATCAATGACCTGCTGGAATTTGACGTTGTCAGTCAGTATGAGCATCTTGTCCGAGGTATCCTGGAACAGGACAGCAAGCCTGCCGTCATCAACATTGAGTGAGTGCAGTGCCATCACCTCGACATTATCCTAATCAAGCCAACAGGACATTTACCACACTCTTCCCTTCCCTCATCTCCTCCTCTACTTTCCACCACGACGTCCTCTCCTTCTACGACGTCCCTTCCCTCTCCATCCGCGACGTCATCATCCCCCGTCTCGTGGCCGACCCAGAGCACCAGATGAGCAGGTGGTTCAGGACAGGGGACGATGTGGCGTTGGGTGATGCAAAGGTGCGCGAGTGGGGTGGAGTGCCGGTTGACGTGATGCATGTGAGTTCTTTCGAGTTACTTTCACGAGAGGAGAGAGGTGCTGATGGGGGGTGGTAGATCTCGGCGATAGGACATTCACTTGCCGCTGGGCTGGTCATCCGGTATCTGCAAGACCAGATTGACAAATCGGCACCTCTGGGGTTTAGTGCTCTCGGCCGATTCGCAGAGACCATCTCGCGCAAACCCATTTTACGAGTCATCGACGTCCCACCCGTACGTCCCTTTCATTGTCCCATCTCGGTGAATTTGCTCATACGGTGCTTGGAAGACTACTTTGACGGGGCAGTTCAACCCGTTCAAAGCTGATTTGAGACATGCCCCCGTATGCCGGTCACAAAACTCTGGTAAAGTGCACGGAAAATGGTCGAGCCTGGTGGACGACTTTGGGGATGGGAGTGCGAAAGGCCTCGTCCTCGCTGATGGCTCGCATGGATGGTGAGTCCCCATCCCCTCTCCCCCTCCCCCGCATTGTATGTACACTGGCTAAGAAAGGAAAAAAAATGTTGTTTGTAGGTCGGAATGGTCTTGGAAGGAAAAGCGTTACCTCATAGCGCGCACCCCCGGGTCCCTCGCCAAATTCGAATTCACAATCTCCCCTCCGCAAAGCGTGCCCCACACTGAAGATCCGAGTGCGGCGCTGTTGTTGGCGGAGGAGGAGTTTTATGAACATGATCCTGGGGAGGGGGAGGGCGAGGAGGAGGATGATGTTGGGGAGTATCTCAAGTCGGAGGAAGGGGAAGGGGAAGAAGATAAAGAGGGGGGTAGGAGGTTTGAGCCGCTGCCGCTGGCTGCTAGGCCTGGGGGGCCTTACAACCCCGACGCAGCGCACCACTCTCGTCGTTCCCGCGCCCCATCCTCCTTCTCCCCGCACCACGCTCGCCACTCTCCCATACCTCACGGCAAACGCCACCTCTCCTCCCCCAACGCGCGCCAGAACCCGCAAGCAGGCGGCTCCATCCTCATCGGCTATCAACGCAGTGCCAAGCTCGGACTGGGGAGTGTATATTGCTGGGTGGATGGGGATAGAGAGGATGAGAAGGGGAAGAGGGTTGATGGGTGGTGGAAGTTGGATAAACGGAATATGGGGATGTGAGTCTTTTTCTCTTTCCATGACAAGGTGAAGTAAGCTGATGGATGGGCGGTAGGGTGAGCGAGATCCGATCGGGGCTTGAGCCAGGGAGACATACGCTCTCTTGTGAGGTATTGGAGGAGACGTTGGATCCTGCGGGAGGAACAGAGTTTAGGCTGTTTGCCGTCATGCACGATTGAGGGGGGCAGAGGGAGGATTTGGATTTATTTTGGACATTATGTTGATGTCATTGCGTTGTATGTATACCCGTCTTCTATACCCATGTTGAACGACGTTTGAGGCGGGCGGCCAAAACAAAAGCTCGGCGTACGCCGCCTGAGCGAAAATGATCCCCGAGTCTGTGATTGGCTCTCCGTCACCGACCACCGAATCGACCTCCTGCCCTCACGCACTCCCATGCTGCTATGCGATAGACCCATGCATTGACCCAAACGTCGTGGACGGTAAAAGAATGGCGGTTCCCCACGGACCACGGACCAGAATAATAAAACAATTGTAGAAGAAAAAAGTCCGCCATTCCCTCCTATCCCCTCTCATTCAGATCAACACCTCCCCAACAACTCGCGCCTATTCATCGTCTTCGTCGTCACCACCAGCTTGGAGGTACTTGTGTCGGATATCGTGCCATTGCTTCTGTATCGGGCGTCAGCGAATGCTATTCGATAAAGACGCGCGCGCGAAAAGAAGACGTCGTCGGTCTTTCTCTCCGTGACTCTGCCCCCCAAACGACACTGTCCAAATATTGAGAGAAGAACCAGGACTCACGCCTCGGTTGTGGGCATCCCAGTAGGCAGTAGTGGCGAGGTCGAAACCGATCGAAAAGGAGAATGCAGCGACAAAGGTGGTCGCGACAAAGACAGAGTTTCGTCGGAAGAAGGTGTTGTAGATGAGCTGTTGGGGGGAAGGTCGAGTGGTGGGGTGGTGCGGAGCGGTATGCAGGCGAGTGAAGGGGCAGTGGTAGGAGGGACAGGGGACGGATTGGAAGAGCGAATGAGAAGAGGTAGGATCGTCAGCTGGGCGTTGGGCGGGAGACGGGGTGGGGGAGAGTGGTACGCACGTCCTGGACACCGGGCATTGTGGGCTCTGGGTGGGGTGTGGTGGGTGAGAGGGAGGGAGGGTGAGTTTTGTGGGATGGACTGAGAGAGTTGCAGGAATGCGCGGAGGGGCGATGTGTGGTTGGCGGCGCTAAGTGGGGGGCAGAAGGGAAGTGCGCGGGTGTCCTTACTCTAACGCATCATCTCCCGCCTCAAGTGCGCCCTCTCATCCACAGCGCACAGACCTCCCCCTCCCTCTCCCAGTGCCCCTCCCGTGCTCCGTCCTCCCGCGCCTATACCATCCACAGCCCACCCGGCGCACCCCGCCGCCCGCCCGAGCTAGGACCGCCGCCGCAAACAACACTCCCTCCATCCACTGGCCCTCCCCTCGCCGGACCAGCTGCAAATCGCGTGGCACCCGCACTCCCTCCCCAGCCTGTCTCCGGCATCCCCCGCCCCCGTCTCCCTCCACCATGAAGGGGCTCAAGAAGGCCATGGTGAGTCCACATCATCCAACTTGCTGCGACGCGTTTCTGCCCCTCTACTCGCTCTCCCATCCTCCTTCTGACCAACACTGACCCCGCGCTAGAACCTGTCCCGTACCAAATCCGAAAAGTCCAAATCACCCAACCCGCCCGCCCACAAACCCCAACCAGGCGGATCAAACCCCCCCTCCCCCTCCGTCAACTCGCCCAACAGGCCAGCCGCTGACCAGGGTAATGGCCAGTCCCAAGGCGCCTCAAGCAGCCAAGGTCTCCAGGGCGGCGCGCCCATTACCCCCCGTCGATCGCCCGTCTCTGACAAGACGTCGCCTGCCCCGCCGCTCGTCGTCATTTCAGGCGCGCCCCAGCAGCCCCCTGTCAACAGCGAGATGCCGCCCGACCCCATCCCCCACAGCCCTCACGGCAGGTATGGCTCGCCAGAGAGGAATCTGGGCCCTGACGGACAGCCGACGCCCCCCAAGGCTGGGCCCCTGAACAGACTGAGAGGTCCCAAGGACACTATTCCTGTCGTTGGCAAGACCCCGAGGAAGCAGAGGAGCAGCAGATTCTACGTCACGGAAAAGGTCGAGATTGAAAAGCTGCCTGGATTCAATGGTGAGTAGTGTCGATCTGTGTGGGCCGTCCCCTGACAATGCTTGCAGAGGTTCGACCAGAGCAGAGGAATGAGCTTTTCGTTCAAAAGCTCCAGCAGTGCCGTGTGCTGTTTGACTTTAACGATGCGAGTAGTGAACTCGAGGGCAAGCAGATCAAGTCTCAGACTCTGCACGAAATGCTCGAGTATATCACTACTCAACGCGGTGTCATCACAGAGGCCATCTACCCCGAGGTCGTCAACATGGTAAGATACTCGTCCGCTCCAATCTGCCTCGGCTGACCCCGCTCCAGTTTGCGACCAACCTCTTCCGGTCCATCCCTCCTCAAGTCAATCCCACCGGCGACGCCTTTGACCCCGAAGAAGACGAGCCCGTGCTCGAGCTCGCTTGGCCTCATCTCCAAATCGTCTACGAGTTCTTCCTCCGATTCGTCGAGTCTCCCGACTTCAACACCAACATCGGCAAGCGCTACATTGACCAGTCTTTCGTCCTCCAGCTGTTGGAGCTCTTTGACAGCGAAGACCCCCGCGAGCGCGACTTTTTAAAGACGACTCTGCACCGAATCTACGGCAAGTTTTTAAACCTCCGTGCCTTTATCAGACGTTCCATCAGCCACGTCTTTTTCCAATTCGTGTACGAGACGGAGAGGCATAACGGTATCGCCGAGCTTCTCGAGATCCTCGGCTCCATCATCAACGGTTTCGCCCTTCCATTGAAGGAAGAGCACAAGACGTTCCTCACCCGTGCCCTCATACCTCTGCACAAGGCCAAGTCTCTTGCCCTGTACCACCCCCAGCTCGCCTACTGTGTCGTCCAATTCCTCGAAAAGGACCCCAGTCTGACAGAGGAGGTCGTGCTCGGCTTGCTGAGGTACTGGCCCAAGGTCAATTCACCAAAGGAGGTCATGTTTTTGAACGAGGTGGAAGAGATTTTGGATGTGATTGAGCACAGCGAGTTTATCAAGATTATGCAGCCGCTGTTTGTGCAGCTGGCGAGGTGTATCAATAGCTCCCATTTCCAGGCAAGTCGTCTCCCCAGTGTTGCTATAGGAAAGCGCTTACGGCTTGTAAAAAGGTTGCGGAACGAGCACTCTATTACTGGAATAACGAGTACATTGTCAACCTGATGGGCGAACACATCAGTATCGTCCTTCCAATCGTTTTCCCCGCGCTCTACCAAAATTCCAAGTCGCACTGGAATAGGACGATTCACGGCATGGTGTACAATGCTCTGAAATTGTTTATGGATATGAACCAGGAGGTGTTTGAAGAGTGTCAGAACAACTACCGGGCACAGCGCAAGGCGTAAGTGTGATTCTTTTCTGGGGGAAGGGGGCATGGGGCTTACGCGTGGGACGCAGCGAATCCGACAAGGCCCTGGAGCGCTACGACGAATGGATCAAACTCCGCTCCCAAGCCACCACCAACTGGCACCAGACCCACCCCAACGCGCCCTTACCCGCCTCACTAACAGAACCTCCTCCCGAGCGCCCCGAGCCGTACGAGGAAGAACCGATCATGGACGTGTCGGTGGATATGACGGCGAATGGGTTTGATCCCAGCGAGAGCTTTACGTTGGATAGGAGTATGGCGGAGGAGCATGTGCCCCTTGCTGATCCCGGAGTCGACCGGGCGCCTATGAGTGTGAGTTCAACGTTTACATACGAATGGCATGATCTGATGAAGGTTACAGCCGGCGTCACCGACACAAGCTGGCCCTGGTCATCCCCAACAAGGAGGACCTGCGGATGGGACACCGCCCCATATGAGAAGAAAGTCTGTGCTGCCGATGGATGCGGGTGTCATGCGAGATCTCCAGGTAAGCAAGGACCGCCCTGTTGGATAATTGTAGTTTGCTGACGAGTTCGAGTAGAGCCACCGAAGCTTGGAGGGTGACGTCAACCCCGGTCCTTAGAACTGCCTTTGTTCCTCTCTCTCTCTTTCTTTCCTCCATACGCATACGACCATTTTTGGATCATCTTTTCGCATTGTGTTTAACCTTTCTGCAGCTCTTTTTTTCATTTCTCCACAAAGTAAATATTTGAATATCCATCCCATCATCCTCTCTGTATCTAGTGTTTCAATCGCCTCGTTCTTCTGAACGTCTTTTTTCCTGGTTTTTTCCTCTTATCTTTTCTCTTTCTCTGCGTACATATATAAATATACCTTGGTGATTCCTCTCTTCCCCGTGTGCTCAAACCTTTCCCTCCACCAAACAAATCAACTCGAAAAGGGAAGAATGGGAGAGAGGAAAAGACGCCGCCGTCACCGGGGATGGGTTTATAGTCGATATAGGCTTGTTCTGGTGATGATATACCCCTTCTGGTCTCTGCTTCTTATGGCGACAGCTCTATGGACCGTGTTAAAAGTCTCTCGATCTTTCCTTGCCGTGAACATGCTGAAACATGGTTAATCAGAGTGGATTTTAGGTATGCTAGATAGATACACTGTGACGAGCATGTCGACACATTTCACCCAGACCACTGCCAGCCCTCAGCAATCCTCACCCCCACCCACTTGACAATCTCCCCAATGTCCGCCACACGCTTGATACCCCCTATACTCGGCCCATCACCTTGTCCCTCCTTCACTTCCCAGTACCTCTGCACCAGTTCTTCCTGTACCTGTTCATTGTCGTGAGACTGGAATTTGCTCTTGGGAAAATGGCCGTTGGAGCGAAGGGCAGCGAGCATGGCGAGGAGAGATGAAGTTTCGAGGCAGGCTGCTCGGTGTTCGAGTCTTTGAGCGTGCTGTTGGGATAACAAGAGGTATTCTACAGCTTTATCTAAACTCTTGTCAGACCGCTCGACACGACACGGGGATTGATGATGAGTAGACTCACCATGCTCTTCATCGACTCTGCTCTTCAAGCTCAATTCGATCCACGCCCTGCCCAATACCCCTGCCCCTCGCATGACCCCCTCCGCATCCCCATCATTCACAAGCTGCGCCCAAATACACTCCACCTCATTCACAACCTTGCCCGCCATCGGGACACCTTCCATCAAGAGCATCGTTTCGGCAAGGAGGACGATGGCGAAACGGTACATCTTCCAGAGACTTAAGGAAGAAGCGAGAGTGAGGGAAGAGAGGATTGAGGGGAGGATTTGATGGGGCAGGGCGGGAGAGGGGGCGGATAGGAGGGAGGAGGCGTGTCGGAGAGAGGAGAGGATGTGGGATTGGGTGAGGGCGACGGGGGAGGAAAGGTCAGAGTTGGGGTCTGGAGGACCCTCGATCGAGATTGGGGATGGATGGGCGCTTGTGCGAGGGGGTCCTCCGGGGCCTACTTGGGATAGGGGTGAGGAAGGGCTTAGAGCTGCGATGTATGATAGAGTATCAGGATCGTTGCTGCCCACCATGTCAGCTTTTGTCACTCAAAACTGTGAAAAGAGAAAACATACTTGAATTGGGCTCGCCGTTCGAGTAAGGCCCAGAGGACTCTGGCCCAGCAATGATAGGCCGACATGGACATGCCTCGTAGTGTAGACAGATCTATCAATTGCGCCAGGGCGTCATCGTAATCTCCACTTTCTGTGGCCTAAGCAAACAGTCAGCAGCAGTTCGACCCGACCACAAGACTCACCCTTTGAGCCTGAGCAAATACAACACTCAACCTGCCATCCGTCCCTCCATCCACATCCCCTTCCGCCAGCTCCTCATGAAGCTCCAGCAACGCCCGGCTCCCCATCATCCCCCACAAACTCGATTGAGCCGCATGCCACGCTGCGAAATCGAGTTTCTGGGCCGTGGGCCATTGTTTGGCGTATGGCCGGTCGGCATCTTCTGTGCCTGTGCTCTCTGGCGGCAAAGTTTTTTGGTTTTCGAGTCCGAGAGCTGCATAGACACGGCGGAAGGCGACGTGTACAGGTTCGCCGAGGTCGAGAGCGGCTTTTATTGACCAGAGCTCGTCCATGGGCGTGGCTGCTTCGGGTAACCTACTGAGAGGTATAGGCGTTTGATGGATCTTGATGGTCTCTGTAGAGGTGAATGCTACAGAATTCGTTTCTGTTTGAAGCCGGCGAGATAGGCTCATGCAGTGTTGGAGGCATTCCTTGTCGCCAGCGGTACGGGCTACGCGGATGGCTTCGTCTATAGCCGAACGGGCAGAGTCGAGGCCGTTTGAGGCGTAATGAAAGGTCGCAATGTTTAAGAGCGCATGTTGGTGTTGTCCACGGCCTGCGTGAGGGGATTGGTAATCATAAAAACTCCTTAGGGACGCTAATGCCCCAGAGTAGTCCCCCGAGGACGAAGCCGCTCGATAACTACACCCGCTGTCAGTGACATTGAATCTCGACACCTAGATCACATACTCCTGCATAGACTTCATCCGCTTGTCCAAGCTATCTTCCATCCCCGACCGCCGGTCCAAAGACCACATCGTCACAGGTCTGGACGGCCCACTATGGTCGACCCCGCACCACAGCGCGATCTGTCGAGCAAGATGAGCCGTCTCGTCAAAGGACAATTTGCGATGTATGTTTATAAGGTTTCGAAAAAACACCCCAAGGGGTGAATGGCGGTCCATAGGTGGAGGGTTTTCTGTGGGCTGTTGAAAGGTTAGAATTCGCTTAGGGGGAAAGAGAGGTACTTGCATCGTCGTCCTCGCTAAAGTTGAGCCTCTCTCGCAATTCCTTTTCCAGACCTGAGGAAAGCAGTTAGATCCTGTCCCAAGGATTCCAAGGCTGTGTCACGTACTGTCGATAAAGGTGCAGCCTTCAGACACATCCTTGAATCTCTCAGCCTGCTGTGATCAGCCCTTGGTCTCTGAAGGATCCGCACCACTTACCAATTCCCCAAGCCAGCTTTCCCCTTTCTCTGCCTTTTCATATTCAAGATCGAGTTCCAGACCTCTTGCCCTCTTCTTTTCATTCCGCTTGATAACTTGGGGCAGCTCGTCGTGCAGCAGCTTGTCCGTCTCTTCGCGCAGAGAGACGAATGTCGCAGGTTGGCTACCGACCTATGCAGGATTAGCCAAGCACGAGAGAGTAAAAATTGCTCACTTCTAATACTTCTCGAGCAAGTATTTGCAGTATTTGATGTGTGAATCCAGGCGAGTACACGTCTGACAAGTATTGATAGTCGAGATTGATAGGAAAGACGCGTATGATGACCCACGCAAGGGCAAGGTGGAGGGGCAGAGCAGGTTCGTGGAGTTTTCTCCCCTGGTACTCGATAGCTTTGGGATGTTTCCTGGGGGACGACATGGGGATTGAGGGATTGTAATGATAGAGGGAGTCGCGAAAGCAAGTCGCGTCCGAATTTGTGGAATGCAATGACGTTTGCACTTTGCATCTCTCTCTTCCATCCACATCTCTCAGCGTGCATGCCCACCCTCCGCCACTCTCTCCCCCTTCGCCTCAGAAGAATGCCTGTCCCCCGCACCCCGCCGCCCCCCACCCACGACGCGTCGCACCACCACCGCCGCCAGAGCCGCGAACAGCAAGCGCACAATGTCCTCGACGCCGCTCCGATACAAAATACCAAGGGAAAAGGACGAGCGGAACCTCTGGATATAGATCCAAAGGGAGATCATGGAGAGGGGCAACCCAGGAGCTCTGAGCCCATGTCTGTCCTCCTGGACGAAGCACTCCATACATCCCTCTCGCCACCTTCCTCATCTCTCGCTTCGAGCCTCGAGTCCACCTCGCCTTTCGCCAAAGACGCCCACTCTCCTATACCCGAGCCTCCACAAGCCCACTATCCTCCCACTCTTCGCCCCAGTCATCCTCGTATGTTGTCCCAAGTGCAACTTGCGAGGCAAACATTACCGACAACGAGTATGACGTATTCCGGTTCATTCGACGACCAGCCCAATGGACGACAGAGATCATCCTCTGCAAGCCTGGTAGCAGGCCTGGGAAGGAGTTCTGGGGAGGGAGAGAGTTCAAGCGGGTGGCAAAGGGCTCGAGCGACGACTGCATTGTTGGACGACCCATTTCCTGATCTGGATCCTTCCACCGGGCTGCCTGTAGAGTTGTCTCCCAGGAGAAGAGGGTCGGACGTATCAGATGCCCCTTCGCTGCATCTACAGCGGACCATCACAGATCTTCTCTCGGCGCCTCCCAAATCGTCCTCCAGCAAGAGTAGTTTCATGCCGTCTTTGCCCAATCTCTCTCTCCCTAGGGTATCATTACCTTCTACCCCCAGCTTTGACTTTACCGGGAAAGGCAAAGGTAAAAACAAGGAGTTTTCTACGACTGCTACTCAGGAAGATTGGGGCACCTGGGCGACGGGTTGGTGGTCAGGGAACAAAGGGAAGGTAGACACCATGATGAGTGATGAAGACAAGGCCGACACTGTGGAAGAGGAGAAGGCGAAGCTGAGAAAGAAATGTGAGTCCAATCCGATCATGTTTCTTCGTCACAATCTCATGATCGATAGATCGCACTCCTAAAAACCCGATCGTGTTCTGCCATGGTCTCCTCGGATTCGACTATCTCGGTCCTGCCAGTCTGCCTCCGTACGTCAATTTGCTTTGAAAGGCAGTCGACTGATGATATACAGGCTTCAAATATCACATTGGAGGGGAATACGAGAGGTCCTAGAGTCCAACGGCTGTGAGGTCCTTGTAGCTCGAGTCCCCGCCACTTCGTCTGTCAAAGATCGTGCCACCATCCTCGCCGAGGTCATTTCCGAAAAGTTCCCTGGTCGCGATGTCAATCTCATCGGGCACAGCATGGTACGCATCGATTGAAACCATGATCAAGATGTGTACTGACACTCATTGCAGGGCGGTCTGGATTGTCGCTATCTCGTTTCCCAAATCCAACCAAAGACTTTCACCCCCGTCTCCCTCACCACAATATCTTCCCCGCATCGCGGTTCGCCCTTTGCAGACTATCTGATCGACAACGTGATCGGGCGAAGCAACCTCCCTTCTCTCCTAGGCATGCTGGAAGCTATGCGGCTGCCCCAATCTGGCGACGGCACCGCTTTCAGTGCGCTCGGTGCACATTCAATGCGAGAATTCAACGCCGAGGTGATTGACTCTCCTTCTGTTAAATACTACTCCTGGGGCGCATCCTTCGACCCCGGGCTTATCGACACCTTCAAATGGCCCCATTCCATCATTCTTGCCAAAGAAGGTGCGAACGACGGCCTGGTCTCGGTCAAGAGTGCGAAATGGGGAGAGTACAGGGGTACGTTGGTAGGGGTGAATCATCTGGATTTGGTGGGATGGGTGAATACTATGAGGTATGCGGTGGCAGGATGGTCGGGGAAGCCTATCGCTTTCAAACCGGCCACGTTCTATCTAGAGGTGGTGAGTCAAGTGATGATCTGACAGATTTTTTGGTGACTGACATGGCCATGCAGGCGGATTATCTGGCAGAACAAGGGTTCTGATGCCGTCGCTAATTTTGAATTCATAGCATATAGCATCTGTAGACATACATCATGTGACATGGCCAGTGCGCCAGATCAAGAGCAAGGCGGTCTCTCATCCGGCACATTGGCGAAGACACAATATGATTGTCATCTGAGCTAATCTACTTGGCTTTGAAGCAAGTACGCCTATCATTAGTGGGGCTCTACCACTGATCCAGTCGTGAAAGGTTATAAGAGACATGGACCTTGTCCTTTGATCGAACTGCTGATGATGATAGATTATGCCTCAAACTGAGCATTGTCGACTGATGATGATGATTGAACAGCTTCTTTTCAAGTGGAGCTGGAATCTGATCGTTGATCAGCGCCCTTTCGCTGTCAGCAGCGCAGTCGTCGTCTCCTCGATCGTTTGGGATAAGATATAAGGGGCAAACTCGATCTCGGCTTTTTACGTACTGGCTAAACAAAATCGTGCATCAGTGGAGATGGAAGACGACACATCGAAAGAGTCTCGCCAACCACAGAGCCCGCCACCGCCGCTTCTACAGGATGATGATAACAGCCACATGTTGACTGAAGAACCCATGGAGATTGATGAAGATGCGCCAACAGAATCAGCAGAACCAGCAGAGGAAGACCCCTTCGACCAGGACGACATCAGGTACATGTCGGCATCAGCTTTGACGCAAGAGCTTGAGCGGGAAATGGCTATCATGTACGAGAGTCTCGGCGTCCACTCCCAGATAGATAACGCAGCTTCTTCACGGTCAGCTCGAATGACGCCACCCCAAAGGCACGGATCAGCAACGTCGAGTACTGCTACGGCATCGCCAACAGCGCGGCGCCGGCTGCAGATCATCACGGGCGGTATGGCGGGTACTGGAGCCAGCGGATCTTCAGAGTCGCCGCATAGCTTTCGGGATAGGGCACCAAGGAGGAGAGGCTCGCCGCTCGTACAGGTACAGTCCATGCAAGCATTCTCGGCACCTCCTGAAAGCGACGCTGGAGGTCCTGGGATTGAGGCGGAGAATCAAGAAAGCCCAAGTTTGGAAGACCAGGCGTCAAAGGAGAAAAGCCCATCTCTGTGAGCCGTCTGTTTCATGACAGTATTGTCGTAGGGGGTGGTCGGCTGATGGACATCCGTCCAGTAGTCCAGTTGCTCATCGTGGAAGCGGGCTCTCCATGTCGATGTCCCAGTCATCGATGGATATACAAAGCATCCCGGAAGAGGAGCATTCGGGGGACGAAGTCGAGTCTAAAAAAGAGTGTTCCGGTGACATTTGAGCAATATCTGTGATTTTGAGTTTGGGTTCTAGCAGTCGTCAATATGCAGAGTGAGCCAGTGTGTTGGCCATGTTGGAGTAAATATGTTGTGAGACAGCGCTTGCATGACCCTCTTATTGAAACATTGTACTCTTTTCTATTCGTCGCCCTCGAGTGGCAGGTTGTTCTGCAGCATCTTGCAAGCAATTTCAAACAGATAGTCGAGACACTCGGCCTGGGTCTTGGCCTGCTCCCAGGTGTTGCCTATAGCCGGTCTGTCAGCAGGGACTCTTGCGAGTAAAGTGATAGCCCTCACCCCAGACGTAGACACCGTGTCTCCTCACGAGAATGGCGGGGGCATTGGGGTACTTTTCCATAGCCTATTGACAATCACATGAGCGAGCTGGAGACGGGGACTGATCGTTGCACTTACAGCGGCCATGCTCTCTGTCAGGTCTTCTTCCTGAGCAGTATTGTCGATGATGGGGACTTCCAAAGTCTCATAGAACTTGAGCGTCTTGCCGTTCCCTCCAAGACGAACGCCCTTGATCATTTCCTGGTGAGAGATTCGGAAGCTGGGAGCGTTGCGAGGTAAGAGAAGAGTGAGAAGCACGGCGTGTTGAGAGTGGGTGTGGATACAGGCTCCGGCCTCTCGCAATGTAAAGGCGTTCCAGAAAAGAGGAGTGCATTGCGACTCGTTGAGTCCCTGCCAGGTAGTATGAGTTTGGTGTACAGATGCAGCGTAGACGTCCACATACCTTTTTGGCGGGTACTCTGATGAAGTCTCGCTTAGATCCAGGCTTGGGTACTGACGACTGAGCGAAAGGAAGGACAAAGACATGCTCAGGCTTGATTCGTTCCTTTTGCACACCAGACGGGGCGAGGTAGACAAGTTCGCTATGACACATCAGCTATCGACTTCATGAGCTTTCTGCAGGCGAATCTCACTCTTTTCGGATGCTGATGCCTATGAGTCAAGTCAGCTCGGTTTTGTGCAGAATGTTTTCAACATACCACCACCAGTACCAGTAACCCATCCAAGCTCTGAGCAGTATCAGTATCACACCTTAGTCAATTTCGATGTAGCTCACTGTAGAATTCTCGGCACAAGTCACAGATCAGGTTGGCGGGCTATAGGCGCTCATGAGCTCTTGCACATGACTGACGGGGATACTTACATGTTCGGGGTCGTGGCTATGGACAAGGGCTTCCGCCTCTTCGGGAGAGTATGTTTTGGACATCTTGATGAGTTGCAGGCAGTGTTCAGAAGATGGCAAGTCAAAAAGACAGGCAGAAACAAGAAAAGTGGAGGTCGCCTGCACGTTCGATGTTGTGATCTTTGTGCATCCATATCACATCCCTATAGCTATACCATGTACCATCTCCTCAGAGGCCTCCACGACTACCTCACCCGCAAAGACGAGTACTCGGTCGTCATCATCGGCCTCGACAATGTGGGTGCAGTGGCCACCCCCGGGCCTTCAGCTGATGTAACGGTCCGCAGGCAGGCAAAACAGTACGTACCGGAGATGCATGTACACCATGACGACCTCTTACGTTGGCGCAGACCATGCTGGAGAAGATAAAGACAATGTACAATCCCACTCCGGGCATGGCACCTGACAAGATTGGACCGACCGTCGGCCAGAATAGTGGGTTCCACGCGACTGCCATGGATCGGCGCTGATGCCTTGAGCGTAGTCGGAAAGATATCTCTGCCATCTACGACCTTGCACTTCTATGATCTGGGGGGACAAAGAGATATCCGATCCATATGGGAAAAGTACTACGACGAGTGTCATGCGGTGGTCTTTGTACTGGACGCGACAGACCAAGCTCGTTTGTCAGAAACATGGGAAGTATTTGGTATGTTTTGATGGAGAGGTGTAGATGGTACGCGCATACTAATGATACACAGATGAGGTCCTCAATTCTCCCAGACTGCTCAATCTTCCCTTGCTTCTCTTGGCCAACAAGCAAGATAGCCCCACCTCCCTCTCAGTAGCCGAGATTCGCGAAGCTTTTGACGCCTGGCAAAGATCTCGGTCGCACCGGAATGGACATGATGAGAATCAAATATTGTCAAAGGACAAAGGCAAAGGCAAAGCAATTAGTCAAGGGGAAGAAGCGGGTCATCTTGAAAGAGTTTCGGAGGCTTTGCCGGATGACGGAGGTGCCAAAGATGAGAGGATGGCGAGTCTGGATGTCATGGGGGCTTCTGCCTTGGAAGGGTATACACGTCTCTTGAACGCTCAATGATTTACAGCTGACATGATGTAGCACGGGGATAAGAGAAGCAGTCAACTGGCTGTACATCCGGGTACAGAATGCGCGAAAGATGTGAGTGTACGTGTGCTCTGTCAGAAACTCATACATTGCAGTGAACCCAGAGAATGACCGCTTCTGCATATCAGCACTCAATGTATCTGCATGACGAATGTATACTAAATCACGACCAAACCTCTCACCTCCTGGGCTTTTCGGCAACCTCTACGTCGTTCTGAAACATGCTCATCCTCCTGTGTTCCAGCCGTCGCCGCTCATTTTCATCCATTCCTGTACGCCCTTTGCCCCCAGAGACCCCGGCTGTCGATTCTACATCCGAATAAGGATCGTCGTACGCGGGCTTTTTCGAGGACTTTTTGCCATTTTCGCGGGAATGAGTTGGCTTCTGCTCGGAGACACGACTACTTTGGGAGGCTACCGATGTGAGTGAGGGCCTGGGCGCCTCTTTGACAGACATATCCGACTGTGTCGGGCTCGCCACTTGGGACTGCCTTCGACTTCGATCACCATTGGGCGGAGACTCCCTTGCCCTAGGGAAGGTCTCTGTGGTCGGTATGCTCTGGACGCTGACGAGCTTTCGCCATGCGACGTGCGCTGGTCGCTCATAGGATAATCATGGTTCATACGGGACGGCGATGACGGCATGGTTGAAGTAGGTGAATAAGACTGGGGCGATGCTGAGATTGCGTTCTTGGCGAAGCTAGGACGTCTTCCATCTATAGAGGAATTCTGCTCCTTACGGCCCCAGTTGAGCTCGCTTTCCCTTGTGTGACTCCTCCTTCTATCCATCGGAGGGTGTGAGTGCAGGCCTTGGACGTATTTGACACCTTTGATAGGCGATAGAGGCGTTCTTGTTGAGTGGCTCGATCCTTGCCTTGGTGCATCTTCATACCTTCCTGGAGAAAAGCGGCCTTCAGATCTTTGGGCATGTTCCCTTGGTGAGTGGTTGCCGTTGGTGTAAGACTGATCTGAAGGAAAGTAGCTGCTGTCTGCTCCCTTCCCCTGAGGCCTATCTGCACCAGCTCTGCCCGAGTTGTCAGGCCTCTCGACACCGTATTCAGAGCGTCTTTGCGATTGACCCGGAGGCGAAGTTCGTTCACTTGCCTGACGTGGTTGGTCTCTTATGGTGATTGAAAGACGTTCTCGCTCAACGTCTTGCCTTTCGGGACTCACGTACCCAGGCTGGCCTTTGGTGGGGGTATATCGGGAAGATGGGGCATAAAGACGTTCTCGCTCAACGTCTTGCCTTTCTGGACTCACGTACCCAGGTTGGCCTTTGGTGGGCGTATATCGGGAAGATGGGGCATATTGAGAGTTTGCGTCGACGTCACTCGTTTCTCTTTCAACTCTGATGATGTCGTCGCTACTATGTCGGGGGTCTCTGTAATAATACTCGTTGATCTGAACAGGCGCCGAGCTGACTGTGACATGCTCCACCCGCAAGGATCCATCGCGATCGACAGTCTCTATTGGATACGCGCTTGTTCTCTTCTCCGTCACCGTTCTGCTTGCCTCGGTACATCGAGGACTGCCAGCCCCTGGAGGCGACGCCCGCTGTGACGCTGAACCTCGTCTTGAGCTATCGCCAGATGGGGGAGGGGCGTATGGGCTAGGCGCATGCTGGGTAAGAGGCTGCCTCGAGGAAGTAGACGCCCTATCATCGGGTGACGACGGTGTTGTCTCGTCACGCCCCCGGTGCGCAGGACGCGCTCGCCTTGCATCATGACGCTGATCGTCTCTATCCCTCTCATCTTGCGATAGTGTGACGCCCTGGCGTGCTCTCCTCGCACTGCCTGAAGAGTCCATCCTGTCAAGCACTTCTCCCCAAGTGACTGGGGGGGACTCAGAGCGATGTCTATTTTCTCGCCGCCGATGCCTTGAATGCTCCGGATCATCCCATTCATGGTCATCCCGATCGAAATGACTAACGTCCTTTGAGGATGACCCTCTCTTTCCTCCATTGACCCGCTCGTCGTCATGATGACCAGAGCGCCCAGAGTCAGATCGTCGTCTTCTTGAACGATCCGAGTGACTCTTGCCAGACTCTCGATGCCCGTCTTTCCTCCTACCTGCATGCTTATCATCTGAGCTGATAGAAAGGACTGTTGTGATCAGTTTCACCCAGGGTTCTGCTATGGAGGGGATTATCTCCTTCAAAGCTTCTTCTGTTGTCATTGCCATCATGTCGAACCCATCGATTTCATACGTGTCTCGATAAGAAGGCCCACTGCTAGCCGATGTTGTGTTTCTCCTCTCCTTGGGTTCAGGGCGTGCGCCTACATCATCATAAGAAGCGGCAGGGTCTTGGATAAGGTTTCTCCAGTCCTCAGTGGTAGGCTGCTCATTTCGGGTGGTGGTGTCATCATCAATCCTACGAGAGACAGCATCGAGAGGCCAGAAGTAGTGAACTCTGTCGAAATCACTGAACCTCACAAACTGTTTCACGCTTCCTGTCGTATTCGACCTCTGGAGAGTATGTTAGCACTGGGCTTAAGGAGACGTATACACCATATATACATACGCGTGATCTGCGGAAGCAGCTGTCTAATGTTGTACGACCAGAAGCTTGAAAAGTAGGATCGGTCTGGGACCGTTGAAACCTACTCTGCTGGGTGTTGGTGTGGGTATTTCGTGAGCCACTCGATCCATTGACCGAGGTTGTGTGTCGGGACGATTGAGGCATGGGGAGTAGCTATGTAGAGGCGTCTAACAGAGCTGTCAGGTTCAAGAGGTAATCCTGTCAGATGAAAAGCATAGTATGGGGAAGAGAAAGAAATAGATGGGGATCGGGAATCATTATATAGCACCATAATTACAGCCACATTGATCATTATCGCCCACAATAAGCCCGTGAGAGTGCAGGGTCTTAATACTCTCAATGGAGTAACAGGAATCGACTTCAGCCGAGTACCGCGAACCCAGGCTTACCTCATAAAGGTTGTTCACGTCCGGCGGTGGAGCTCACAGACGTGCCGGGACTTGAACAAACCGTCGAGCTATGCGAGTTTCCTATAAAGGAAGTCTGCATGATGATCCCAGTAAAGACAATATCTCATTCAAAGACAGACAGCTACTGTAAAATACCTTTTTGTCCGTAACTTGCTATTTGTGAGTGGTCGCGTGAGCAAGGTGGATAATCATAACCAAGCGGCGGAGTCAGGCTTGAGTGGGGGTGAACTGAAAAATAGACACTTGTCCTTTGAAAGTACCATCTCAAGATGTCATCATGTGAGTCATCTAATGAGCTCGATATTGCCACACAACAAACGAAGATGCAAATGTGATGGTTATAACTCCGCGATATCTGCATTCAACTCCGCACAGCTATCGCCAGGTCATCCTCCTCCCACATCCTCCTAGCGGTTCATGTTCTCCTCCATCTCAACCACCCTCAGCTCCAGCTCCATCTCCTCCGTGATCTCTGTCAACAGCCCTTCTTCCCATCTTCCCCAGACGAACCCAGTATAAAGGAACGTCGCCGCCGTGGCACCCAACAGTGCGCCGATGATGGTGAAGATGGGTTGCAACCAGCTCTTGGGCTGCCACGCACAGCCCACCGTCAGGCCAATGAGTGCCAGCAAGGCGAGCAAGCAGATCTGGAGATGACGCTTGGCAGTGTGCTGAGAGATACGGGTATAGAGCCGGAGGGTATTCAGAGCGGAGCGGATGGTGTTCGACTTTTGAGTGAAAGGTATGGATGTGGAAGGTGAGAGGTTAATATCCGATGGATATTTGAACGGATCGCCAGCAGCGTACAAGTTGGATCCGATGCGCTCGGGGTCGTTTTGAGAGATGAGGGGCTCTAACGAGTTTGCCGTGGACGGACCATGGGATCCGTTGTCGGTGGCGGAAGGAGGCTCATGTGATTGGTATTGTTGAGATGGGCCTTCAATAGTAAAGGTCGACAAAAGGGCAAAGTGATCAGAGTAGGAGAACTGATGCCCCGGTACTCTGTCGGTGAGGATGACCTCGGAGCTGATACAGCGGAGCTTGGGAGCTTGTGCCATAGAGTTCTGGAGAGGCTTGCCAGTCTCAATATACGCATCACCAGAGAGACCAGCACCGCCGTTCTCAGCACCTGCGCTCTCGGCATCATCCCTGTACTTCCAAACCAATGGCCTCTTCCTAACCACAGCAGGCTGTCGATAGAAGATGTAATCGAGCCTCTTGCCGCCGTGCTCTAGCACATTACCGGGGATGGGCTTTCCCGCTGAATAAGTACAGAGAGGAGAGTCGCAGGTGGTGCCATACTTGATCAAAGCTTCAGCAGAGGAAGGGGGATGTGGAAGGTCGGTATTGGCGGAAGGATGCGTAACGAGGAAAGAGTCTTGTAGGTTGGCGTGATCGCGCATCATAGCTATCGGAACAGAACCTGGTTGAGAATTGAAGTCGCCCGTCTATGATTCCGTCAGATCGCGGCTTAAAGGAACGTTTCAGGATACACACCACAAGGATGTACCTGCCCTTTGCAGCGCCTCCGCGGATAGCGCTAGCCAATTGCCACGATTCAGCGATTCTGTGGGCTTGTCGCGTGTCAGGACCGTGCTCGCCTGCTGCGTGCATCTGTAGCCGGGTGTAAGCTATAGTTCAAATGGGGGACGCAGACATACATGGGTGTTCCAAATCTCCACTTCACCGAGGACGGGGTGGAGGATCACCACGTTGCCCGCCGCCTTCTTGACAAAGAAATCGCCAGCAAATGCCTGGGCCGGGGTTCCGGAGAGAGAGTAGGGGAATGCTTGTGCTCCTATGAGTGGGAATCGGGTAAATATGGCCAAGCCGGAGCCCAGTGCGCCACTGTCCAGTTGCGTCAGTCTTGTAAAGTCTCAAGATGCAAGCCTCGCTTACGTGTGGAAGAACCTAGAGAACGGCAAGGCGTGCTGTATCTCTTCCCGTACCATCTCATAGTCCTTGTAGACCCATAGCTCTTGGAGACATACGATGTCATAGCTTGCGGATGCTATGTGCTCTGCGATCGCACGTAGTCTCTGTATCCTGTCCTTGGATATGATAGCGAGGCCCCTGTAGATTGTGAGCAGGCGAGGGGCGACTCTCAGCGACTTACCAGACATTGAAGGAGAATACCTTGAGGCTGTGGTCTTCCATGTTGCTTGTGAGTGATATAGTCCTGGATATACAAGGCCGAGTGCGTCGTCTCATCGCCCGACGGCCAGGCGGACACCTCCGCGCTTTTCCGTCGCCAAGTCACCATACACGTCAGACGCGGCGGTCAGAGTTGCATTGATCTAGACTTGTGACCATCTCAAGGATACCAAAATGACCCAATGATCCTGTTACACTCCCCACCTCTCCTCTCCATCCTCCTGCTCCTCCTCCTCTCCATCGCTGTCTTTGCCGATACTCTTCCGCGCAACCCTCTTCGCGCCCGATCTCTCCATACTCTTTCAGCCTCAGAGGTCCAGCGGATTACCGAATTAGATCCCCCAGAGTGGGACAGCGTGAGCGAAGGGCACTTGGGGAAATTATTGATACCTAGAGCTTGTGAGTGTTATATAGAGCTAGAAAGATCAGTCGCTGACCATGTTATCCTAGCTGGGTCAACGAACAAGTATGTATCCTTCTTGGAGGCACTCTTTCTATGCTTTTCTATGCTGATAGCTTACCAGCACACTTGTACAAGAATACATATCCTCTGTTCTCACGAGACTCGGCTGGCACGAGGAAAAAGTACGCTTGGGCATCCAGCCGCGGACAAGCCGCTGACTTCTACTCTTAGACACCATTTACATGGGGAACGCCTATCGGAGACGTAGACTTTACGAATCTGGTATACACTTTCAATCCTGACGCACCTCGCAAGGTCGTTCTGGCAGCTCATTTCGACTCAAAATGGTTTCCTGATTACCCCGCAAACCAGGTGAGCATCAGACGCCCATACCGCCTCAACGAGCACTAAGCTGATGGACGAGCGCAGTTCATAGGAGCAACCGACTCGGCAGCTCCCTGTGCAATGCTTCTGTCTCTTGCCGAATTCCTCACACCCCTCTTGTCTGCCCGCACGTCCCGCATATCTTCCCTTCAACCCCTCTCCCGGCCTTCCGATCCATCCTTCGACGAGGAAGAAGCCGCCGAGACCACCGTCCAGCTCATCTTCTTTGACGGCGAGGAAGCTTTCCACGACTGGACGGATACAGACTCCATCTACGGAGCGCGATTCTTGGCTCAAGATTGGGCCGAGACTTTTTTGCCTCCTGAGCACCCTTTATCACGCAGGAGGCTGAATCCTGCGCCCACGACTCTTCAAACGATCGACCACCTTATTCTACTAGATTTGCTTGGACATCCCGAGACTACATTGAGGAGTTACTATCGAGAGACTGATTGGCTCTTTGATGGAATGGCGGCGGTCGATAAACGGCTTAGGGAGGCAGGGCTGGTAGAGGTCGAGGTTGTAGAGAAGTTCAAGGGGAGGAAAGGGGAGTGGTTTATCAAGCAGAGAGGGTGGCCTGGAGCCATCGGAGATGACCACGTTCCTGTGAGTAGAATGTATTTCGCTGGATCATCACTGACTTTGTCATGTAGTTCGTGGACAGAGGTGTCAGTGTGCTGCACTTGATATCCGCGCCTTTTCCACCCGTTTGGCATACCCTAGCAGTGAGTCTCTGAAGATCTATCGGCTCACAATGCTGACATTCGTCCAGGACGACGCTTCTGCTTTGTCTTTACCTGCCCTGCGCAGATGGAACAGGTTACTGAGAGTGTTCATGTGCGAATATCTACAACTCAGTCCGGACGATTCGACCCCGGATGACGGAGAGGGGTCAAATAGGGCGAGGGACGATCTTGTGGGTTCCTGATACGCTGCATGCAAATATGTCAATTGGCTTATGCGGCGACGTTTGTAGTAGGGCTTGTCAGGATTGTCCAAACCGAGATCATGAACTGCTGCGCGCCGCCGTCGACACCTTGCGCTGTACCGAGCGGGTGTGAGCCCGGCTACATCGTGGACATTCCTCCACCGGTCCACTTTAAGCTGAGGCAAAAGCCACAGGGTGTCGAAATGCGGTTCATGATGATGTAGATATGCAAAGCCAAGAACGCTTTCTGCTCTAGCTTCGGGGAGTACCGGCCTGCGCCCTTGAAAAGATCTCTTTCGCCTCCTACAATAATCGTATCAGCTAAGGTTCTCGATGGTCAAGCGGTGAGAAGGAAGAACGTACGTCCATCCCGACACCGGCTTTTTGAAGCTCTGTCATTAGCTAGAGGTAGAGGGACATATCAGCGAGAGATATGTTGAAGTAGAAGCAGTGCATACTGTAGAGGCGGCAGCTTTCAGCTCGGCATCACTAGCCATTTGCATCATTTGCATGATAGTGGGCTTTTTGTTCTTGTCGAAGCCTGCGTCGAGAGTCATGAGCTCCTGATAAGGCTTTAGTAGAGATCGGACATACCCTTTGCTTGCATTACATTCATAACACTCTTCATAGCATCAACAGCACCCTGGTGCTGCTTGACCCGATCAGCGAAAGCCTTGAAAATGGGGTCCTCGAAAGGGCTGGTCGGTATTTCAGAAGCCAGTAAGCGGGAGGTGGAGTGGATGTTTCGGGTTGCTCGGGGGATGGTCCGGGGCAGCGTTCTCAAGAAGGCAGTGCGCATGTTTGAAGCTTGGGAGTGGGCTTGCTGGAGTTGCGTATATGAAAAGAAGGAAAAGTCGGGTCGAGCTAGGGCTAGTCAGTACGTTCGTTTCATGGCCGCTGTTGCTTTCGGCCTAACTGTAAATGGGCGGACACCTCCGACCATCACCCCCGGCCCCCGCCCGATGAACTTGAAGTTCCTGCCAAGTCCCCAACCACTGCATGCACCCGGTGGAAGGCAGCGCTGCATTGGTCTCTGACATACAATCAATCGAATAGGAAACTTAAAAAACCCTCATATACAAATTAATAATAATTCACTTGAAACAAGACCGCAAACGATATCCAATCAACACCAGCTCCGACCTCCAACAAGGCCTCTAGGCCGGAAGCACAATCTTGACACCCAGGTACTCTCTCTCAATGTGCTTGACACCCTTGACGTAGAAAACTCTGTCGTTAGGGGCAGGGTCCGTAGAGTGATGAGAATCGGCAATCTGCACCTCGCGCCACTCTCTGTTGGTGGGGATCTAGCAAGCATTACGATCAGCCACGAGACTGGAGGCAGAGGACGAGGGTTACGGACAGGAATACCCTTCTCGCGAAGCCTCTTGAACTCGCGGTATGCACCTTGCGAGTCGATACAGCCCTCACGCGCGAGCAGGGGAGACTCTGCAAAGCAGATTGTCAGTATCATCGGACTCGGTGTGGATTGAGGCTTCCTGTCACTCACCGTAAGCAGGCTCCATGCGAAGGTCACCCTCGGAGGCTTGGAAGAGAACAATAGAGAGTCGCTCGTCATTACGCTGGTCCTCGGGAGGGTCGACCACTCGGTGACGAGTGGCTCTGAAATGGCCTCCGGAGACGACTACATCCGATCAGATGATACTCACACCATAAGTATACGATATACTACTCACGCTCAAGGGTCTCTCCAATGTTGATGACCAGAGCACCAGGGTTGTATTTGACGTAGCGCCACTTCTCATCGCGGCCCCAGATCTGGAGGGACGAGATGGGGACAGAAAAGAGCATGGTGGTGGTCCCGTAGTCGCAGTGTCTATCAGAAGAGGCATATCAGCACTGCGAGCACACCAGTAGTAAGGTTGACTTACCCGTTCATTCTCGAGCCCTTGGCACGCTCCGAGAGCTCAGCATCGGCCGGGTAGTAGATTGCCTGGCGGAAGTACCCTTGGCCGACTGGACTGTTCTTAGACTGAACCCGATCCCAGAGGTAGTCGTCGTCGAGTTCGAGGACCTTGGACAAAAGCTTGAGAAGGCGTTTGTTGACTGAAAAGGTGAGGTAGTTGCAGAAAGCAACGATCTCGTCCCAGAACGGGTGCATGACAGTGGGCACGCGGTCAAGGCTCTCGAACTGAGGGGCGTAGTAGTTGAAGTGCTCGATGCCATCTGGGGCACCCTTCTCGGTCTATTGGTGTGCTGTCAGCGAGGGCCCGACAAAGTTCGAAAGGTGCCAGCTCACCTTCCACCCGTACTGGGGCTTCCAGCCTGCGAAAGTTCCATTGCCATCGGGGTTCCAGTGGAGTCTCTTCTTGTCCTCGTCGCTGATGTTACGGTGCAGGTGTTGAGCGATGTCAAACTGCCTGTGCAGCTACAGCCTTCAAGTCAGCTAGATGCCCCACAGGTATATGCGATGGTCCACGTACCTGCTCGTAAGACACACCATAGTCGGTGAGGAAGATGAAGCCGTCATCTTTGATGGCAATGCGACATGTGTCGACGAGCTTCTGGACCACTGCGGAGTCAGGGCTGTCGAGGAGAGAGAGCTCTATGGTCCTGAGCTGAGCCCAGTCGATGTCTTGCTTGGTGGTAGGGGGAGGAACCCATGCCTCGACAAGGGGTTTGCCAGGGAGATCAGCAGCAGGAGGGTTGAAGGGAGCGGCCATTATCACGGAGAGGGATGGGGGAGAGAAGAGTGTTGTCGATGATGGCGTCGTTTTGGGGAGACCTTTATATACATGAGATCAGGCATCCTAGCGTCCCACAAGGGGAGCTCGGTCGATCAGCTCGAAGTCTTGTCTTGATCTCGGGATGATAGGGCGATTAGTAGATTGGGGACTCGCGCCGAAACGCTCAGAGCTCGGGAACTCAGTCACAAGAAAGGTCCCAATTCCGAGTTCCCGAGTGATGCATGTGCTACTGATTGCAAGTGTGCAAACCCGAATGTACTTAATGCAGCGTGCAGCTGGTCAAAGATGAGTCCCTTCATCAACGACATAAAATCTCATACCACCCTCACCTACACAATACCAATCCCACATCAATCGAAATCATGTCCACCAAGCAAATCATCAGCAGCGAGAAGTACCCTCTCAAGCCCCACAACTGTGAGCCAATCTTATAACCTTTGCATAGACTCTAGCTGACCTGCCGCTACAGCCCCTGCCGTGAAGGTCCCTGGCCTCATCTTTGCGTCCGGTCAGGTCGGTACCGGTGACATCGAGACTGCCACTGTACGTAAAACTCTCCTAGCCCTTGACATACGCTTGAGTACTGATCTATGTCTAATGAGTAGAAGCAGTCCGTTGCCGCCCTCAAGGATGTGCTCGAGCTTGCTGGCTCCTCACTCTCCGCCATCGTCAAGCTCAACATCTTCTTGGCTGACATGAACGACATGGTCGCCATGAACGATGTCATTGTGCCAGTGAGTAGAGCCATTGTTCTTCTCCACGGCCTGTCATGTAAGCTGATACTGTTTCCTTAGCTCCTTCCCGAAGGCCCCAAGCCCGCCAGAACCTGCATCCAGGCGGGCAAGCTTCCTGGTGGTCCGACCGCTCGTATCGAGATCGAGGCGATTGCCCAGGTGTAAATAGGTCCCGAAATGATAGTGTCTATACATATTATTGTGAGCTGCGCATGAAGTCAGATAGCAGCGCAGACCCAATGGTGCCGTTAGTACATAGCGTTGGATATGTCTTGACTCTTGAGACCGCGTTACCTTGAGACGGAATAGCTACTACTGATGAAGGCTTGCCGAAGACTTCTCAGTCGTCACTACCACCACGCATACGAAGATAGATGCATGGTCACCATAATGAGAAGTCGCCTAGAGGTGGCTCTACTACGTTGTATGGAGAGAGTTGGACCGACCAAAATGCGCATGAATCTTTGCATCGCTACAAGAGGATGCTGTTGCAAGACTTTACACTTTAGGATCTCGCAGCCTCCAACTCGCTCGCGTACCACATCATGATCGCCTTGATGTCAGCACCCAGCGCCACGGTGTCGTAAGTCTCCAAATGTTCCTTCGCCAATGCACCGCTGTTGGACAGACGGCTCACCCACTTCCCGTGCTTTTTGGCAGCAGCTACGATCTTGTTAAGAGCTGCTACGAACTCGGGCTCGTCTCCTTTGGCGGGCACGTAGCCAAGAACCGACTGAGCGAGGTCATTAGGGCCAATGAAAATCATGTCTACGCGCATCGATTATATCAGCTTGAAGTGCTCTGAACATGTACTGCAGCATGGTTTTGGAGGAAAAAAATCTCACCAACGCCGGGAACAGCACAGATGGCCTCGACGTTCTCCAAGCCCGCAACAGTCTCAATCTGAATACAGGTGAGAAGTGTTTCGTTTGCCGATTGCATGTACTGGGCGGTAGTCAAGCCGTGAGCGATGGCGGGGAAGGCTGATCCTTGGCCACGGATACCATAGGGAGGAAACTTGGAGGCGTTTACGACAGCTTGAGCCTCCTCTGCCGAGTTGATCTGGGGAAACATGATGCCGCTACGGTGACGATGGGTCAGCGAGATCCTGAGGGTTATATCAACATGAAGAAAGCAGCCTACTGAGCACCGGTATCCAAAGCTCGCTTGATGAGGTCAGGCAGGGGTCCGCGAATGCGAACGATGGGAGATACACCAAGCGCCGCAATTGCCGAGACCGAGTTGTGCATGGAGTCGTCGCTGATGTGACCATGCTCGCAGTCGAGAATGATACCCTGTAGATAGTATCAGCATTGCGGCAGTTGTGGAAAGCCGGGCAGCTGTTTCAGTACTCACATCAACTCCGCTCAGGGCGACAAGCTGAGCTGTACGGACCGAAGGAAGGCCCACAAACGTCATCAGGGGTTTGTCTCCTTTCTTGAGCTCATTTAGTAGACGGAGTCGAGGATTGTCAATAGTGGTAGTTAAGGCGGTCGGGCACGACATGATATGGGAATGGACACCGGGATTTTGTTTGTGGTGGTCGAGATGACGAGAGTTGGAAAAAAGAAAGACGGATGAGTGAGATGTGGACCTTCAGACTCATATATACGTATTCGGCAGTGTGTATAGGTGGTCAGGTAATGCCTCACCTTCATAGGCTGCAGATGATTCAATGGAAGTCGCAACAAGAGCGCATGGTCGTCCACTGCCCACAGTGAACCGAGTTCCCGAGCGCTGAGGCACAATCTGCAATTCCGAGTTACCCGTAGGAAAGAGTCGCCACCGGCGGTCGACATGTCCTGTCAGTGGTCAGTGGCCGCCTCGGGCGAATTGGGGCACATGCTGGCAGTCATATGTGGCATCAATACCAAGCACCTGGCAGAATTGACGACGCCCGGATCCTAGAGGGTCCTTTCAGGTACAGAAGAGTGCTGCTACGTACATTATTTTCACTGTGGGCAAGGGCCCCCTAAGATTTGGCCTTCTAAAGTCCCGACGAAGGGCTGCTGCAGCGACGCCTGAATTTCGAGGTTAGGCGCGCTTTTCCCACCCTCCAAATTTCAGAGTTAGACGCGCCAAATCGATCCCTAAAGACGGTATCGCCCCAGCGGCGCTGAAGCATTCCCTAAAGTTCGGCTAATACAGAGACTCTTTAGCGGTCACTTCCATGCATTCTTAGATACAGAGAGCCTCTTCGAGCGCGACCTTCTGCTTTGACTTATGGACGTTTGACACCAAAGAACACCTCATATCCTCCCCTTTCTCTGCCTGGTATCCCGACGCTTTCCTCCCACCTCTTCTTCCTCCATCTTCCGCCGTCATCCTCCATGCAATCAATACCTTCCCAAAGAGCTGGCTCTCGATCCAGATTCTGTTATTTCATCAGCTCGACTAGAACGCTTCATCATGGTCGGTTCCGTGCTTCTGCCTAGCCCGAATTTGATGGACACTCACTCACGGGGTTCGTCACAGGTACTAACTCGGAACGGCTCCCTCGCGTCGATTAGACAGGACGACCCACCACCTCTCCTTCTTCCCCTGCCTTGCCCAATCAAAGCCCGGATGGCTTCAGAGAGTCTCTTGCCGGCATCTACGCTGCCGGTCAAGCCCTCGTTCCACCACCTACGGCATCTGCCGATCCGAATGCAACAGCATCATCACATCTCCCACTGCCTCCTCCCCCCACTCCCTACCCGTTCGAATCGTTGATTCATTGGCTCACAAGGGTGCACAATATGATCGTGACTCACACATCCACCAATCCTGCCCCGCTCTCTCCTCACACAGTCGACGTTCTCACCACCATCTCGTCGTATCTGAGGCATGTCGCGGAGGAAGCTCGAGCGACGGAGAACAGTCTGAAGTTGTTGGTGAGCGACCTTGAAGACCGAGTAGGGGAGCTCGAGGATGAGAGTCGGATGCGGCAGGCGCGAGAGGCTGCCTGGGAGGAGCGGTTGAGGCGGCTCGAGGAGGCCGATACGAGTGGGGGGGATCGCAAGAAAAGGAAGAAGAAGAAGGAAGATTTGGACGTGAGCAAGGATGAGAGAGTGAGCATGCGGTTTCGTATACTTATGATCGTTTCGACCTACTGACATCTTGTTGTCTCAGGCTTACGTGAAATATCATATGAACACCCTCATCCATCGCTTCTTCTCAGAGACCGTCGAAGACAGCGACGGCAATGTCCTCCGGCTTCACGTCAGCTCCGAGAGCAAGAGGTGGCCCGAAGCCACGGACGACGGTGTTCTGGGAGATGGTGGGGAGGAGGACGATCATGATGAGATGGAAGAGGACGAAGGTGAGGGCGCAGTTGAGAGCGGCCAAAGACGGAAGTCAGCGGGCATAGCAGGAATGCTATGAGCTAGCGTGAAGCAGACATGTGGGGTTGAGAAGGAATGATTCATGCCGGTGAGAGTGAAGGCATAATAGAGTGGGGCAGCCTCTTCTCTGCTGAGCGGACGGCGAAGAGTGTCGGCAGCGGCGGCGGATACGGAGGTGGTTGCTAGTAAACGGTGGCCCAGATGCTGGAGGAGTGATATGTAGCTGGACGTGTCTATGTATAGAAATGGCCAAAATAGAGATGAGGATGATGAGGATGATGAGGATGTTGAACGAGGAAGATGCATGACGAGGACGTCCGTGCGTGGATGATGGGACGAGGACGCACGTGACAGCGAGGCCTCCACCGCGCGCAAGAAGTCGATTAGAAGGTGGCGTGACAGAGATGTAATGGGCATTAGAGCTGAGAAGCGACTATTAGAAACGCGACTTAGTCGCCCGACGGGCCGTCTTGACTCCGATGGTATTGTGGCGATACAAAGATATACATGACAGATCTGCTCAAAGTGGTATGATACCCTGCGCAGCTTCTATACCCTCTTCAACTTTCAGAGCTTGTACCATTTCAACGATATCCGCCCGCTGATAAGTCACAAACGGAGGAGACTCCCCGTGTTTTGCCCATTCGCAGATGACTTGAATGCCCCTGTCGAGTAACAGACCCGACGTGAAAGATCCTTTCTGAGCTGCCTTTGCCTGTACCACCAGACAGCAAACTTTCACGTGCTGTCAGCATCGCACAGCATATGGTCCCGGCTCTACCGCCGTGAATTGGAGGACTCACTGAAAGGATGTAACAATGTGGACCAAATGTCGAAGTAGAATGACCCGGCGCCGCACATCCATTCTATAGATTCCCCAGCCATTGTCAGGATACTGTCCCAGAAGGCATCCGGCGGGCGATACGTGACATTCTCGGGAATAGGTTGGGTAGGCCAATAGAAGGGTTGGATGAATGTATACTGCAACCAGGGTCAGTGACGTATCACTATCAGAGAATCGATGAGAGACCCACCAAGACCGCCACGGTGAGGAGATCCAGAATGGGAGTGGCTTGAGGAGTGTCGATGTGGGCAGAGTAGGGCCAGTTCTGCGGTATCTGTGCCCTCCATTCGAGATAGTCGATCTGCCAAAGAAAGTGGCTATACCCTTCGGATCTATTCAGGCCGTATGGCGAACAGGACAGGCGATCTGTAGGTATCGCATCAGCTGCCTTCACCAGCAGTGAGGTAGAATTGTGTACTGACAAGCGCGCCCCAGTAGATCTGCCAGTTTTGTCATCTCTTGATGGAAACGAAAGCAAGGAATGGTATCGAGAGGGTAGTTTGTACCGTCAAGGATGTGGTCTGGGAGGTGTGAGGGGAAAGGGGCATCTGCGTACGATAGGTCGATGCTAGGCATTTGGCCTAGGCGTAGTGTCATCCTGTGAGGCGCCATCAGGACCCATACTGACGAGACGTTGATAAAGGGGTGGGTACTCACCATCTGTCAGCAATAATACAAGCGCCCTATATCCTCGCTCGGCGATTGATTTGTGCTATCGGTATAGCCTGCCTGGAGACACTGCGGTGGAGCGCCTATCTCGAGTCAGCTTCGCCGGTTCTCCCCTCGAAGACAGAGCTCACCAGACCGGTCGCCATCCTTGTCGCAGCGTATACCGCCCTCCCCATGGGTCCTCTTTTCCATAATCCATCATTCACCGACATGAGCAGGTGCATCTGGACATTGGACAGACTTGCCATCCCCATCGAAAAGTCCATCGAGTCTAGAGCTGAGTTGAGTGCAGAGAAGATGGACTCGCGGATGTGGACGGGTACACCCCGCGACGCAGCCGGTATCGCACAGATGAGGAGGCGGAAGACCTGGGGTAAGGATGTGGGTGGAGTTGAGTTGATGTGGAAGTTTCCAAAGATGGCCTCAAACTCGGGAGTCGGAATTCTGCGGCCAAGACTGGACACTGCCGTCAGCTTCCATCAGACAGCGGGTATGGACAGGGAGACAGGCGAGGGCAAGAGGAGAGTAGATTGACCCACCTTTCATGGACCGAAACAGCCGGGAACAGTGGCAAGAATGAACGCTGGCAGGAAGACATGACTGGTCAAGGTGTCAGCGTAAACGGAAGAATTACACATAGCACTCACGATCGTTCAATATGGCCTCCGTGCCCAGCTTCTCGATCAGCCCTTCTTGCACCCGTATTGCGGTAGCTGCTGCCACAGCCCGTCTTCTCGCAGTCTCGCCAATATCAGGAGGTCGCCCAACCAGACGGCCCCTGTCATGATTCTTCTCAAAGGCATCATGATATATGTCTAGGCGATCTTCCAGGCGCTTTATCTTGCGTTCTGTGCTTTCTGAAAGATAGCAGTGGTCGTGTACCTGTTGAGTGACACTGGACGGGCCTATGGTAAGCTGTAAGCCTGGTGTGCATCGTAGGAAACATCAGACGATGGCTCACCTAGATATCCTGGCTCAATACCTTGAAATGACTGAAGTTCACCATGTGAATCAGCGTCTTTGGTGATAGTGCGCTGACGTTTGTCCTGTCAATGTGTCAGACTGAACGTAGCTGTGGAGGCTTTACGGAAACAGGAGCAAGACCAGAGAGCGCTTACAGGTGGTGGGCGCGTTTCCTTTTTGCAATGTATCTGGTAACGCTTGCAGTGGTTGCATACATCCTGGTCTGTCCCGAATTCACACCTGAATATGAGTCTTTGTCAGCCCTGTGTCATGTATTGTGAGAGAAAAGTGTACCGGATACGGTGCAGCCTGCAGTAGTCGCAGGCGCGTTTGGTCCTGAGGCGTTTAGTGGCTGGTTCCCTCATGGCGTTTCTCAATTATCGATAAGGGGACGCTCGAGAAGTTGGATGTGGTGGGAAATGCAGGATGTCTCTGAAGATGGAATAAATGCATAGCTACCCGTGTATTTGTGGGGAAGAGCTCCTCTTGTTCCTATGTGCTCCGCCTTATCGCTGCCCAATTGCAGCAGAGCGCGGGGCCCCTGCTGCACAGATATCAACAAAAAGCACAAGAAGCGCGTCCGTAAGATCCGACTTCCCGAAATCATATCATTATCACCTGCACAGTCATCCTGCATTCGTATGTGCGCAATCTGGGCCACCAAATCAGCACTTAGATATATAATCTCCCTATCATGATGATAAGTCTCGACCGTCACCCCCTCAATCACTCTCAGCAACGACATGTCTACTATCATCGAGCAGCCCCAGAGCGAGTCGCCAGGGCTCGAAGCTGACATGAAGCTCAATCTCGCGTCTGAGACTGTCTTGGCCGTCGTCGAGGACGATGAAGAGGTTGAATGGACTGAGACTGACCAGAACAACGTCGACCGTGCTATCCGAAAGCTAGACTTTACCCTTGTTCCGGTGTTTGGCGTGAGTGGTCTGATCCCATCCCTATAGCGCGTGTATGGGCCACAGAGCTAACCTTGACATGTCTGTCGCGACTCTAGATCATCTTCATGATGTCTTCTCTTGGTAAGTTTTCAGCCCACCTTCCATAACGTTACGCTGCTTACCTACTGCCATTCGATCCTGTAGACCGCTCTAACATCGGTAACGCCAAGCTTACATCCTTCGGCACCGATCTTGGTCTTGTTGGTAACCAGTACGGTGCTGCTGTGTCTGTGGTTTATGCTACCTATGTCATCTTCGAGCCCATCTGTAAGCCCATTATCTGACGCCGAAAAGAGATATCTGCTGATAGAACGATCGCGCAGTTGGCGTTCTGCTCAAGATCGTATCCCCTCGCATCATGTGTGAGCTGCATTGCACTACCATTGCCTTCGTCATGACCAACGACTATCCCTAAGTGACCGGCTCCATTATCTGCTGGTCGGCTGTCACCATCGGCTCCTCTTTCGTGAAAAACTATCATCAACTCATTGCCACTCGACTCCTACTTGGTCTGTTTGAAGCCAGTATATCCCCCTGTATTGCCCTCTACCTCACTATGACCTACAAGCGGGACGAATACGTCAGGAGACAGACTGCTATCAACTGCTGCTCCGCTGTCTCTGGCGCATTCGGTGAGTCCTGCAGTCATTCAGTCACTATACTAAACTGTTCGCCGATTGGACTAACACGCCACATACAGGTGGTCTACTTGCCTACGCCCTTACCAACATCCACACTGGAAACATGCACGGCTGGCAATACATGTACTTGGTGGAAGGTCTGATGTCGGCTTGCATCATACCGGTGGCCTACTTCTTGGTTCCCAACCGACCCTCCGAGTTGCGATTCCTCACCCACGATGAAAGCACGGCTCTTCTGAAAAGGCAGATCATGAACAGGAAGTACTATGACGATCGCGAGACCTTTTCGTGGTTTGAGATCCGCAGAGCTTTCAAAGACTGGAGGCTATACGTCCAGTAAGTTCAACGCGGTGCGGGCACGGGTTATGACAAGGCTGACACATCGTCCACTAGTGCCATCAACCACTTTGGTATCGACTGTACTCTTTACTCTCTCAGTGAGTTTTCTGTGATTACTTTTGGTTGTAGGGCAATGACTTACCTTGTGTATATCTTAGCCACCTTCATGCCCTCGCTGTGCTCTTCTCTGGGATTCGCTACGACTGTCCAGTCCCAACTTCTTACTGTGCCGGGTAAGTGGAACGTCTTTTCTATTGCCAAATTGTATCTTCTTCCTGACATTTCACCCCTTTCGATGTACAGTCTACGCTATCGCGGCTATAGCTTTCGTCTGCTGTGGCTGGCTGTCAGACAAATGGAACCTCCGTTCTCCTTTCATACTTCAAGCGCTCGGCTGGAACCTCATCGGCTACATCATCCTCGCAGCGGCACCTCAGCCAGGCGTGCGATACGCCGGTATCTTCATCTCATCCATCGGGCTCTATGTTGCCACAGCGCTCAACAACTTATGGGCTGCCGATAACATAGCCGGGCACTACAAGCGAGCTGTTAGTTGTGGAACCATTCAGCTCACCGGTAGTGAGTATCTACGCCATGTTCCCAACGTAGAGAGCTGACGCTACTATATAGATATCAGTGGCGCCATCATTGGGTTTATCTTCACGTCCCAATCTGCTCCCAGGTACCGCAAGGGCATCTACTTTGACATCGGTGAGGACCAAATGCCTATCCCATGATGATTTGTCTATAGCTGACGATGTTCTAGCTGCCACCGTCATGTCGATGTGTTGTACTATCATCTTGGTGAGTGCTATGTATGACGTCGATTCTCAACCAATATGCTGACTTCATGCAAAGCTTCTCGGGACTCGGGCCAAGATAAGCAAGAAGGCCAAGCAAGTTGCGGCTGGTGCTCCCGACGACAACTCCCTCGGGGACGAGAACCCTCATTACAAGCTATTTCTCTGATCTGTTTCAGGTGTTGAGACCGAGAGCGGGTCCAGCAGCCAGATACGATATGGTTTGATTTTTGGCGAAGGTTTTTGGGTCCAGTGGTGGCGAATATGTGAGAACGTATCGATTGTACTTCCCTGTTGTGCTCTGTTTCGAATCCAATGCAGTTGTCTTTGTTGTTCATCTGTCTGGAACCTGGCCATTTGCGACAATGCGTCACTCATTCTACACGATTTGTTCACCATCATCATGCTATCGGGACTCGCGTCATCATTGTTGACTTGTGTCATCTAGTGAAGGGCTTCTTAGCCTTCTTCGCAAGCTGCTCGAGTCCAATGACTGTCAAAATGATTGTTGTGCGCCTTGATGTTAAACAAGTCAGGCCGATTGTATAACTCAACAAGCAGCATGCATGATTCCGTTCACATAATCAGTTAATCTTCCAACTATACGAGTACAACTCCCATGTAACGAATTCAGAGCCCAATCACTACTAACTCGAGCCGCCCGCAAGACATGAACGATTACTTCTTCTCGCCATCGACAAGCTCGTACTGAAAGTCGGTGTCATTATATCAGCCAGGTTCCATTGTCAGAAGGCTTTGGATCGTACAATTTCCTCAGGCTTGTCCTGGATGTCCTCTGCATCATCAGCAGTCCACACGCCTTGCGAGATGGGCGTCTTGGCACCTTGAAACTGCCACCCCCAGCGGAATCGGGGCTTGTCGAACAGCTCGTCCACTTCTTCGAGCGTGCGGCCACGAAGCTCGGGGAGGAAGAAGATGGAAAAGATGAGGCCGCCGCCAGAGATGAAGGTGAAAACGTAGCCGATCTTTGCCCCAATGGCGGTCACGACATAGGGAGAGGCGAAGGACACGGCGAAAGAGGACAAAACGTCAAACAACGCCCCAACAAACATGACTGCCAATGCTTGTCAGTATCACCCGCGTGAGCATATCCAAAACTAGACACTCACGCTTCTTTCTCATACGCGAGCCGCCCATCTCGATTGTGACGATGAAGGCGTGAGTGGCAAAGGCCAGCTTGGTAGACCAGAGCAGCATGACGAACGACGCCACCACCGCGTTCTGTGCCGAAGTGTTTGTCGTGATGTCCTTTTTAGACCCTAATGCTCCAATAATCGTGACCCAAATGACGAGTAAGGTTGAGCCGAAAATGCACAGCGGCCGGCGACCAACTCGGTCGGTGAGGAGGATGGTCATGAGGGAGCCAATGGTGCCCGCCATCTGCACAAGACAGGCGTAAATGAACGACTTGGAGCCGAGACCGCTGGCCACGAAGAAAGAGGGACCATAGGAATTGTAGAATTGATTCCCGCCTGCATGGTATCAGCGGTCATTTCCATGAGAGTAGAGAAGCATGGAACGACGCACCGGCTTCGTAGACAATGAACATGATCATGGTGTACAGGGTACGTCGCCACATCGAGCCAGAGAACAAGTCTATCCAGCGTCCTCCTACCACCGCATTGTCGTCTTCGATCGCTCGTGTTATCAGCTCCACTTCTGCCTCTACCTGTCCACTGGCTGAGTATTCCTTCGTCCTGAGTTTGCGGAGGGCCGAGATTGCATCGTCGGTCTTGCCTTTGGACACAAGCCATCGAGGGGACTCCACTGTGAACCAGACGAGAGACAAGGTGATACAAGCAGGCGCGAGCTGGACGGCGACGGGCACGAGCCAGCCGATCTTGCGAGTCTCGGTAGAGTAGGCGGTGCACATGCCACTCGCCCAAATGGCGGAGGCGTTTTGAAGAGGGACAAAGAGGCCGGAGAGGAAGCCGCGCAAGCCAGGAGGTGCGACTATTTGGGGGTGGATCATGTCAGTAACCGTACTGATACAAAGCAGGCAGTAGTGATACTCACTCTCGGCACAGTACGAAGGGATGCAGGCTTCGATGAGACCAATGGTCACGTATGAAATGACACGCCCGACAGTGCTATGGGATAGGTGTTAGTTACGAGCTAAGCTGATCGTCATGAAACATAATCCACAATTGAATCCACTCATGAGCGGACAGCTGAAGAACGACCGCAATGGTCTGCAGGACAGAAAGGAACACCAGAAGGGACTTGAACCCGAACCTTTCGGCGAAGGGCTCGAAGATCAACACACCGACCAGACGACCGACATATACGACTGGGCAAGTCAAGTCAGCCCATGTTCCGAATGATCAGCCTTCGAGGGCGGGACATACTGGAGTTCATGATAGACTTGCGCAAAGTGGGTAGCACTGGGGTAAGGTCTGCGCCTGCTGGGTTCTCCGAGCCAAAAGTATTGAGCCACGAAGGCAAAGCTTGGAGAGATCCGAATAGAGAGGCATCGAGGCCAAACATAAAGTCACTGGCGGAGAAGACGAGTACACAGAAGATGAGGAAAGGGGAAACTTCCCTCCAGTTCTCCCGAAAAGACTGAAACTTTCTCGACATCTTGGATGAGAGGTGGGCGGGTGAGGCAAGGGTGGCCGCTGTCTCATGCTATATAGGCCTTCGCATGTGATCTGCCAGCCAGCTTATAATGCAGTTCGTGTGATCAGCTGGAGACGCCCATCGTTATCTCGCCGCGGCTCAGTCAAGACGCCAGGCACGATCTATGGATAAGATCCGACTTCCCGGGCGACTATACGCTGTCATTCGGCGTGTTACCATCTCGGGGCGGGCTGTCGGGCCACTGCAGGGAGCACAAGCACCGTCGGTGCCACTAGAGACTGCAATTTTACTCTATCTGTCGATCTAAATATACTCGCTTTATATATAGTCGACAGGAGGAGGCAGCTCTACCATTTCATCCACACTGTATCAATCCGCTCCAAGCCTCCCCTCCACGTACTTTCTAGTCCATCACAAGATAACGACGCCTCCTTGTTAGCTATGCCTGCTGTCCAACCTGGATCCACCATCCTCGTCACCGGCGCGTCTGGATACATTGCTGCGTGAGTTCGCTTTCCACCTTGTCGTCATTCTGAAAAGGATTCATCTACCGGGAGCGGCTGCTGATCATACACGTCTAGTCACGTCACTCGCGAGTTTTTGGACCAGGGCTACAATGTCCGAGGGACTGTACGCGACAACGCCAAAGGAGACTATCTCGCCCAGCTTTTCAAGGGTACTGCCGGTCGATTTGAGTATGTGATTGTAAAGGACATTGGAGATGTGAGTGAATGATCTGTTACCATGTCTAGATGGCACTCCACGGCTAACGCGATAATAGGAGGGAGCTTTCGATGAGGCTGTGAAGGGTGTCGATGGAGTCGCGCATGTTGCCAGGTAAATGAGTCTCTATCTCCTGCCGTTCCCGGCTGATCAGGAGTACAGTCCGGTGACTTTTGTGGTCGAAAAGCTAGCTGATGTGGCTATTCCTGCCGTAAAGGGTACTGTTGGCGTGCTCAACAGCATTGTCAAGCAAGCGTACGTGTGCATGCCCCTCCTGAAGCTTGATGTGCCGCTGACTCTTGTCGCTTCGGCAGGCCGAACGTCAAGCGCGTTGTTTACACTGCGTCTAGTGGGAGTATCAATGGACCAGGAGGACCTCCTACGCAGTGAGCTTGCTGCTATGAGGCAAGAGATTGAGCTAACGCCAGTGACAGCTACACCGAGAAGGACTGGAACAAGGTAGACCTTAAGATCTGCGAGGCCATGGGAGATGCCGCTCCCGGTGACTCCAAGTACCGAGGTGAGTAGCGACACAGGGTGATGTATATCGGCTGACATTGTTACTCAGCCAGTAAGGTCCTTGCTGAGAAAGCCTTTTGGAGCTTTCTTGACAACACAAAGCCGGCTTTCGATGGCGTGACCATACATCCTCCTATGGTATACGGTCCCATCATTCATCAGTGTGATGACCCAAAGAAGCTCAACCACTCAGTCGGCAGTACGTGGTCCCATGTACCCTCTCGCAGGCCAGTTCAGCTTACGCGCCTTGGTTTGTAGATCGAATCTTCCCATATATCGTCGGGAGGATGAAGCAGGCCGACCTTCCGGAGAGCGGGTCAAACTATGTTGACGTTCGCGACGGTGAGTGACCTTCTGCAGTGTCTTGTCCGAGCTGTATCTGACGTTATACAGTGGCTCTGGCACAAGTAAGGGCTATGACAGTCGAGGAGGCAGGAGGAGAGAGATTCATCTGCTCCAACGGTCCCTACAGCGGCAACGACGTCTGCGTGGTAAGCTACGCTTTCATATATACCTATCTGGAAACTGATCTCCCTCTGCTCAGGTCTTGAATCGCGAGTTCCCTGATCTCAAGGATGTGCCCGTCGGCGATGTGACACCTGGATACCGAGAAGAGTTGAACGCCAAGTCGAACTTTGTGGATGGTTCCAAGGCATCGAAGGTGCTCGGCATCAAATATCGGTCGCTGGACGAGACCATGAAGGATACGGCTGAGAGCTTGAGGGCTAGGTTCAACTTCTAGATAGCCTTTCTCGTCGCTGCATGATGCAACACCTCCTTCTCCTTACGTACACAGCCACGGTGGCGGACATCTCCGTCGATCAGTCAACGGCGCGGATGGTGATGCGGCCTCTTGTCCAGATCTTGCTGCTCTTGGTGAAGAGATTGCAACTTCCTTTCTTCAACTCAAAGAGTCCGACTACCTTCTCTGAATCCCACAGTCAAACCTCAGCATGTGTGAAATGGGATCCGACAACCCCTGTACACTCACACTGGAAGACGGCACCCACTACGACCTCAACCAGCTCTCATCGTCTAAAGCAGACTATACCGCCCAAGTCGGAGACATAAGCTACTATCTCAATGTTTGCAAGAGTGTAGTGGGAGAGCTGTACAAGATAGATAATCCGGATGAGGTAGGAGGCTTTGTGCGCAGGCCGGACGGGGACTTCTCACTGGGGTAAGACGAAATCGCTCGGGAGGTGGCGGCACGCTTACGAATGGAATATAGTCAGGTCAACACAAACCTAACACTTTCGCCTATGGTCAACGACCCTTTGTTGACTATGACCGGTGGCTCGGCGTGTCCTGGCAACCCTTCCGAAACAGCATCAACAGCCATACGGGTGAGTGCGCAGTTCAGCCGCAAGCACTTGCTGATATCATACAGTTCATTTGCAGCCCATCAAATTTTGATGCTGGCAAGCCTTTGCTGGTCGCGAGTCTTCCTCCTCAAGATCCGTGTCATTTCTACTTTGAATGGAGTACTCATGTGGCATGTCCCACGAACCCCAAGAGAGAACTTGAAAGCCACCACTATTATATCGCTTTCGTTGCCATGTACGTCCTTTCGGCAAACATCCAACTAGCATCCACTGACGCTACGCCTGTAGCCTGGCGATAGCCTTCTTGACGTGGTTTGGAGGTGTGACAATGTACAACCGCCTGAAACTCAAACGTCGCGGCATCGACCAATTCCCTCTGCCCGACTTTTCCTCATGGCACCTCCCCTCCATCCACCTCCCCAGCCGCTCCAATGTAAACTCTTCGTCGAACGGTGCTTCGAGACCTGGATGGGGTTCATGGAATCGAAGGTCGTCTGGGTACAGCAATGTGAGAGCGGATGAGCATGACGATGAGGAGACGGGCTTTGCGGGGAGGTTCAGTTTGGAGGAGAGTGATGAGGACGCGGAGGACTTGACCACTGTCGGGGTTGGGGAGGCGAATGTGTGGAGGAACCATCAGCAGGAGAGGGATTCGACAGATGAACAGGGGAAGGGAAAAGGTCGAGCTGAGCACGGCGGATTGGTGGACGTATAGATCGTGAATATCATTTTATAATACACCAGCTCAGCTTCCTATGCAGTCTGGAGCACATGCCATGAATGATCAAATAGTGGGATGCATGATGCATGCAGCAGAACCAAATGCAATGCCAGCCAAGTGCCACACCGCCGCCCACGCGGAGTTTTATCCTCCACCTGGTCATCTCCGCCATCTCATTCGTCCACGGGCTATACCTTGACTCGCTGCACCACGGCTTTCCCCCAGCCATCACTCATCCCAAAATGCTCAGAAACCTCCGCCCTCTCCTCCGCACCGTCCCTTCCTCATCACGCGCCCCCGCCACCCTCCCCTTCAGGCAACTCTCAACGAGCGGCCCCAGCTATGCCACTTCTTCCGAGGGAGCTTCCCCTGTGAAGGCTCACTCTGTTGAGGAGTATGTGGATTATTTCAGACATGTAGGAGGGAACTGACTTGGTCTGTAGGCTTCACGCGATGACTGCCGATGAGATTTTGAGCCAGCGAGGTGGAAAGAAGGCTGAGGCTGAGATGAGGCATTTCACGGGTGCGCGCGTATCCTATCAAGTGGTCGATGGTCTCGCTGACATGTGTCCAAAGTCAACTTTGGTCCCCAACATCCTGCTGCCCACGGTGTGCTCCGACTTATCCTCGAGCTGAACGGTGAAGTAAGTCGCAACATCCTTACGAGGTCGATCTCCACCAACCAGAATCTATTTATTATCGCGGCGAACATCGGTGTAATAGGGAGGGGCTGGGGAGCACTGGTCAAAGGGCATGGGCTGATCATTGACTATAGGAAATCTTGCGTGCCGACCCACACGTCGGGTTACTCCATCGAGGTACCGAAAAACTCATCGAATACAAAAACTATACCCAGGCTTTGCCCTACTTTGACCGATTGGACTACGTTTCTATGAGTACGTACTGCAAGGTGCACTGTGGTTATATTGGAGCTGACGGTTTCATAGTGACCAACGAACTGAGTTACTCGCTTGCCGTGGAGAAGCTGCTCAACATTGAGGTGCCCGAGCGAGCCAAGTGGATTAGGACATTGTTTGGAGAGTTGACCCGTATTCTCAACCACTTGATGGCTGTTCTCACGTGGGTCATGTGCTTGGAGAACAAGAGGAATCCAACTGACATCTGCAGCCACGCGATGGATGTCGGTGCCCTTACCCCCTTCTTGTGGGGTTTCGAGGAGCGTGAGAAGCTCATGGAGTTCTACGAGCGAGTCTCTGGTGCCCGTCTTCACGCCGCCTACTTCCGACCTGGTGGTGTCGCCTTCGACCTTCCCCACGGAATGCTTGACGACATCTTCAAGTGGGCTACCCAATTCTCATCCCGAGTCGACGAAATCGAGGAAGTTGTGACTGGTAACCGAATCTGGAAGGGACGAACGATCGGTATTGGACCTGTGACGGCGCAGCAGGCTTTGGACTACAGTTTCACTGGTGTCATGCTGAGAGGAAGTGGTATCCCGTGGGATATCCGAAAGGTGGCGCCGTATGATGCGTACGACAGGGTCGAGTTTGATGTGCCCGTTGGAAAGAACGGTGACTGCTGTAAGTGCCCGACCATTGACATTGGACACTGCTGACTCTCCACAGACGACCGATACCTGTGTCGTGTGCAAGAGTTCCGAGAATCCCTCCGAATCGTCGGCCAATGTCTCAACAAGATCCCCGATGGTGCCTACAAGGTCGACGACCACAAGATCGTCCCCCCCCCTAGAGCATCCATGAAGGAGTCCATGGAGAGTCTTATCCACCACTTCAAGGTCTTCTCTGAAGGCTACTCTGTACCCCCTGGAGAGACCTACACCGCCATTGAAGCCCCCAAGGGCGAGATGGGTGTCTATCTTGTTTCAGATGGTTCCAACCGACCTTATAGGTGCAAGATCCGTGCGCCTGGGTTTGCCCACTTGGCGGGAGCGGACTTTATGATGAGGCACCACTTCTTGCCGGATGCGGTCGCCATCATTGGTACTATGGATCTGGTGTTCGGTGAGGTTGACCGATAGAGAATGTAGAGGGGGGAGGTGTGGATCGTTGTATGATAGGGGTTCTGATGCATTTATCTCATTATATGGTTTCGTATTATGGACCTGGCCATTTGATTCGCAGCAGCAATATCTGGATGAAAGCCACTGAGGCCTGCAGATGGGCACTTGAAGAATGCTGCCCATGGTGTCCACTGTCCGCCCAGCCCAGGAACGCACGCGTCAAAATGGACGCGTCGTACAGATGACCTGACGTTGACTTTTGTTTCGAACCACAAAAGTACGTGTCTGGCCCACAAGCGACTATATCGATGGCCCAATCTCCCACCCCGCCAACGATCCACCTGGTATTCGATGCTCTCACCAGGAATCTCCTTCCCGACCCACTCCTGCCCTGCCTCGCCAGCACGCTCAACCTCTACGCCCACTTGATCCTCTTTTCCCGCCAGCTCTCTGATGACGCGGAGCAGATCCTCAATATCCACAATCAGTTGCTTATAGAGAACGAGTCAAGGGGTGTCCAGGACGGGGAAGCACTCGTGGGGGAGCGGGGATGCCTGACGGAGGTGGAAGGCCTGAGGGTCAGTGAGGTCAAGCGGAGGAGCGTGGAGAAGATGTTCAGGCTGTCAGTGGAGATCAGGAAACATGTGGGTGCTAGTCTCTACATTTGAACCTCGTCTGATCTTTCTATTCACAGCATATCGCACGACTATTGTCAACTAAAGGTGCCCTGCTATCCAGAGCCCATACTCTCATCGACCACTACTTTCCAGACTACTCTCTCGAGAAGAAGTCTTACAAGCAGCATGCTCACCTCCACATCTCCTCCATGACCAAGCCTGAGGCCAAGGTTGTCGCTGAAGGGAGAGAGCAAGTATTGAGCTGGGTAGAAGATGCTGAAGCAGTCCTAGCGTACGTCTATCCCTTTCACGCGCGTCCATTTCTGACATGGATTCACCAGGGCGGACGACTATGAAAGACCTCTGCGATACGACATTTTCATTCCCGACCAGTTCAAAGCGTCTGTGCATGCAAAAGCTCTCGCAGAGAGTATGTGTGCAGAGGCGGAGAGGATCATTCGGGATGCCGAGGATATACAGGCCATACTCGCGAACGATGGGTCGTGGGATTCGCAGGCCTATGAGGCCGAACTGAAGAATAGGGGGAAGAAGAAAGGGGATGTTGAGAAGAAGAAAGAGAAGGCTCGACGAAGAGTTTGTCTTTTACACGCTCAATTTGAGAACCAGGAGCTGATAAAGTACCAGCATACGCTCCCCGCCCGATCAGTCAACCGTTCACCTGCACCCGAATCAACGCGGAATCCGACGCCCTCTCCACCTCGCGATATACTCCCTCCAGCAATTCCACTGACACCCCCTCCTGCCCGCCATCGTGCGCGTGAATCACTACCCCTACCTGAATTGCACCGCGTCCATGACCGTGGACCTTCTCCAGACCCGACTCCAGCCCACGTAAAGAGTCTGCCAAGGCGATCTTTCAGTACTGGAAAGAAGACATCATTGCGCGGCTCTTCTATCAGCAGGGTTGTAACACAAGTCGAGGCCCAAGAGACGCCTTCGCACGCGGCTCTGCCGCGACGCGAAAGTGGTCCTCCGAGGCCTCCGATCAACTGGAAGGTGAACCGAGAACGCTTCAGCCACATGAGCAGTGATAGTGAAGATTCCAGTGGTGAGAAAGAGGTTGCTGCTTCCATCAATCCTACCACAAGTCGAACAACGGAGAAAGCCTCTGTTCTTCAGACCATTGAATCACCGAGATTCGTCCCATCCTCTCCACCTCGCCGGGTGTCCTCTTCCCCTGTACCTCCTCCCACCAAACCGGCTGCCAGAACGATTGCTGTGAAAGCAGCCGCGGGATCTTCGAGACTGTCGCACTCCAATGCTGTCGCCGGGCCGAGCAGGATCCCCGCATCCTCTCTGCCGGCGACCGCAAACGGCAGAGCGTACGAACCAAGAGTGTCTGATGGGCACAAGACAGCGAAAGAGCGAGATCTGGCCACTCCATCTGGGACCGCCTCGAAGGCGGAAGGATCTCAGAGGGCCAACAACGCGGAAGCCTCCAGCAAGAAGCGTGTTCGTCAATCTTATGGGTTTGCAGGACCAGACTTTACTGCTCCCGTTGGCCAGGAGAGACCCAAAAAGAAGGCAAAGCCTCGTGCGACGGGGTAGAAGATCGCAATGAGGGGTGTATGCATAAATGATGGCAACATGCTGTGAATTATATTCTTTTCAACTCTTCCGATAAGCACACAGCTCCTACACTCCAGCGGCGGCGTTGCCACCAGCAGCTTCCCATTTCTTCATTGAGTCGAGGACCTTTGAAGCGACTTGGTCGGCTGTGGTAGCCTTGCCGAAAGCATCCACGAATTGGCCCAATGGGTCCATGAGGTAGAAGAAGATACTGCAGAGCCTAATGTCAGTACACTGAATATGCGAGAGTCGCAAGACACTTACCTGTGGTCTACGAGATAGTCGTCGGCGGCAGTAGCATCAGGCGGGGTCGAAAAGTAGACTCGGTAGACTTTGCAAGTCTTCTTAACTTGTTCGTAGTCACCGACCAAACCGACCATTCTGGGGTGGAACTCTGCGTATGATGTCAGCAAGGGGCCGCGACCTTGCGAATAGACTGCTCACCCTTGATATACTTCTTGACTTGCGGCAGAGTGTCCCTAGCCGGGTCCACTGTGATGAACACAGGAAGCACTTCACCCTTTCCGGTCGCCTTGTCCACCATATCCACAGCCTCTCCCATCTTGTCCAGCTCTTCGGGGCAGATATCTGGGCAATGCGTGAAACCAAAGTAGATCAAGCTCCATTTCCCTTTGAGGTCTTGCTCAGTGAAGGGCACACCGTCCTGGGTGGTCAATTGGAAGGGACCGCCGATGTTGGGTCGGCCGACAGAGCAGGAGGCGAGCTCTTCCTGACGACGTTGTTGGACCTTGGTCTTTTCTGATTCAAAGTACATGTAGAGACCGACACCAGTGACGATGAAGAAGGCAGCGGCTTTCAGAGTGAAGGGCTGCTTCAAGTAAGATTACGTATGTCATAAGATGGAGATGCTTACCCCGACGGTAGACTGGTCTCGAGCTTTCTGCTGCTCAGTGTCCAGACCGCTTCTTGGCGGTTTGGGAGAGTCGGCAAAGCATCTTTTCCAGGGCAGCTGGGCGGCTGGTCTTGTGACCACGGGAGCAGCTGCTCGCCTCGCCGAAGAGCGGAACGATGTCGAGGCCTGTAAGAGAGTGGTGCGGAAGGGGTTCATGGCGGTTGGGGTCGGTGGGGAGTGATAACAAAAAGTCAGAGTATTCATAAGGCATCGAGATCCAACGAGATCATGAGAAGCTTAAGTGGGGGTGCAGTGTGATTTCGTGATTGTGCCTTGCATTTGTTTATCTTTGGCGGCCGCGAGATTTTTTGAATGGTCTCTGCAGAAATCGTCAAGAACCGCCTTCATCAGCCCGAGCCCAGCAGCAAATATGGACAAGCCAGTCGGGAAAGCGCCTTCCTTCGCAGGATCATGGACTAGGCTCAACCCGCCCCTTTCGCCATGGATGTAAGTACAAAAGCGACCACTCTGCCAATGATTGATCCCTTGCAGCTCGAATGAGATTACAAAGATGGGCTTTACCAAGATGACTCCGGTGCAGGCCGGAACCATTCCCCGAGCCATCAAGAACCAGGATTGCGTAGTTGAGGCCGTTACTGGATCCGGCAAGACTTTGTCGTTCGTGATCCCTGTCCTCGAGAGGCTCTCGAAACGAGACTACTCTGTGAAGAGGGGAGAGGTGGCTGCCATCGTGATTGCCCCGACGAGGTGAGCCAACGCGTTTCTGCTGAAGGTGTTTCGCTAATCGATGTGTAGAGAGCTGGCTCATCAGATCAATGCCGTCTTCAACCAATTCCTCTCAGCACTCGTTCCACCAGAGCCAGAAGTCGATGAGAATGGTGAACCCATCCCCGTCGCTTCCTCATCTCGATCGCCCTCCCCCGAACCATACGAGAAACCCCAAATACCCCTCTCAATGTTGATCACGTCCGGTACCCCTACACCTTACGAGACATTCCAGGCCACCAGCCCTGCCATTCTCGTCGGCACGCCCGGGCGACTGGCTTCGTTCCTCCTCAACCCAAGAGGCCTTTCGCTGGTGAAAGTGTCCGACTTTGATGTCCTTGTGTTGGACGAGGCGGATAGGCTGCTATCGAGTCCTGACCACAGGAGAGACGTGGAGCGAATCATGAAGCACTTGCCAAAACAACGCAGGACGCATCTCTTTTCGGCTACGATGACGGACGCTGTTGAGGACATGATTGGATTGGGGCTAAGGAACCCAGTGAGAATCGTGGTCAACTTGAAGGAAAAGCAACAAGCTGGAGAAGAGCAAAAGGAACGGAGGACGCCCATGGCGTGAGTCATCTAGCAGATCCCTTTGACGACGGCTGCTGAACGTTCAACCCAGTCTCCAAAACACCTACCTCACATGCCGCAATGCGGAAAAGACCTTGCAGCTCATCCGTCTCCTTCAATCCGAATCCCGCGCTCCCTTCGAGGCATCCAAGTACATTGTCTACTTCTCTACCTGTGCCGCCGTCGACTACTTTTATCGTGTCCTCTCTCGCCTACCCCGTCTCTCCAAATTCCACCTCACATCCCTCCACGGCGACCTACCTCCAAAGATCCGGGAAACCGCTCTCGAAACATTCACCACACATCCCAGCTCATGCCTCAACCCGTCTGTACTTCTTTGTACGGATGTGGCTGCGAGAGGTGTAGACTTTAACGATATCGATGTTGTCATCCAATATGACCCACCGACAGACCCGAAAACTTTTAGTCATAGAGCTGGCCGAACTGCGAGAGCGGGGAGGAAAGGAAAGGCTGTGGTGCTGCTCGCAAAGGGCAGAGAAGAGGACTATGTCGGTTTCCTCGAAACTCGCAAGATCCCCTTGACTGAGCACGCCTACGTCTCTGCCGACCTCGAGCCTGTCCCTATGCCCTCTACTCTCGACCCGGCGGCTGTCGATTTGATGAAGGAGATCCGCAAAATCATCTTAACCGACCGCGAGCTGGCAGACAAGGGCGCCAAGACGTTTGTCTCTGCCTACCGGGCTTATTCGAAACATGAGGCTTCGTTCATATTCCGGACGGCCGACCTTGACTTTCACCAGCAGGGTATCGCGTATGGTCTGCTGAGGCTGCCGGCGATGCCAGAGATCAAAGACTGGAGGAAGAAGAGAGAGGCAGAGAAGAAGAAGATCGTTGAGTGGAAGGAAGAAGGGAAGGATGTCGAGGAGAAGGAGGATATTTCCTGGGAAGACGAGGAAGTCAATGTGAGTTGGGCATCATTCATTGCGGAACGTTACTGACTCCGTACAGTGGGACACGTTCGGCTACACGTCCAAACAGCGCGAACAAGCTCGCCTGACCACTCTCGCTCAAAAAGCCGCTGCCAAAACCTCTGTTGCGGCTCTTGCCGCAAAGGCAGAAGCCCGCGCCAAGCGCAAGATTAAAGCCGAGATGCGCGAGGCGTGGTCTGACAAGAAAGACAGAAAGGCCAGAAAGGAAGAGAGGCATGACAAGAGGGACAAGAGGAAGCAGGCAGAGTGGGAGAGGGAGCAGGCTGAAGGGGAAGGAGAGGGGCAACAGGGTGATTTGGAGAGAATCATTAGGATGAAGGAGAGAGAAGCGAGGGAGGCAAAGAGGAGAAAGTTGGAGGAGGAGGAGGACGATAGCGCAGACGAAGCCATGGGCAAGGAGTATCAAAGTCTGAAGAGAGAGGTGAAGGAGGAGAGAAAGTCCAGGAAGGCCAACAAGGGCGGGGAGGCTGTATCTACTGGTGGAATGTTTGATGACCTCGAATAGTAGACTTCCATTGCCATGTTCCAATGATTGAGTATGAGATGATGAACTCTTTATAACATCGTTGGTTCGCGCATGAAGAGCATGATTACTTGAATACAAGACGGGACTTTCTACAATCTATATCACTCTTGACCCTCACGCCCAAGGGTTGTCATCATCTATACCATCCAGAGTCATTGTGTGCTTTGGAGGATCAACAATGACGCTTGTCTCCACTTCATCCACCACCTCCTCGGGTTCCGGATCTGCCCCATGCTCCCCGGGCGCATGTGCATACACCCTCTGCACCTCTTCTACCCGACCTCTCTCATCGTCCGCCTCGCCGATTGTCCTTCTGTACACATGTTTTGGTGCCTTTGTCTGGGGCTCTCCTCGTCGTCTCTCGCGCTCTCGAGCAGCCTCCACAGCCTCTTGGTCGTCTTTCACCAGGTCAACAGCGTCGGGAGGAAGCACCTTTTTTCTCTTCTTCCCGGGACGCTTGGCAGGTTCGTCCACATCACCCTGACTACCTTCGTCGTCGCCATTGTCGTCTTCGTCTTCGCCTATGGAGAACGGCGAAGATGGAGAGAGGGGAGACGGTAGCGGAGATTTGGACCTTTTGGTCGGGAGTGGTTTGGGTTTCAAGTGTGATGATTGAGAACGATTTGATGAGGCAGAACCGACACGCTCAATGGGATCTCGATCAGCCCCTATAGGTCATCAGCGTCAGACTTCCAGTCCCTTGATGCAGCACTCACAAGCACCGTATACTCTTTCTTTCCCTTTGCCCTTCCCAGATTTCGTCCCGGATTCCGTCCTAGTTCTTCTGAAAGCTTCCCTCTCCCGTCTAATCCTCCTTCCCGCAAGGATCTCCTCTTCTTCTTCCCTCCTTCGTCTGGTAGCTTCTTCTCTACTAACATCTACATTCGGAAATCCGGCATACCCAATCCTCCTCGCCCTCTCGTACAGTCCATCTTCCTCTTCCTCCGCCGAATGAAAGTCTAGACTGGGCGCATCAGAGTCTTCAGAATCGGAAGACGAGAAAAGTCCGCCCGTCCAACCGTGACTGGGCGCATAAGGATCGTCATGGACGACTTGGTTGGCTTGCTGTGGGAGAAGCGGGGCGTAGCCTTCCCTTTGCGCGAGCGTCTCGTCCACCCGACGTTTGAGGGACGTGAAAGGTCGGATCACACTCTTCGACCTCGCCTCGCTCTCTGGCGTGGGCATCCAGTACTTTGCCTTGCCTCCTTTCGAATATCGCAGCCCCGCTCTGATCCTTCTCTGTCTTCCGAGCCCGTAATGCAGTCCGCCTTCGGCAGGTTCATATGCTTGGTAAGAGACGCCTCTGCCTTTGAAGGTGTCTTTCGTGTCTTGCCAAACGTCTTTGAAGCCGAAAGCGTCGCGGAAAGCGTAAAGTACAGGGAGACGTGCGGCATGGATGAGGTTGTTGTCGATATAGTCGCTCGCTTGGAAGGCATATTGCTTGTTGATAATCAGCAAGGAATCACAGGGGTGAACGAGCCACTTACATGTGCGATGGCGAATATGGGCATCTCAAAGCAGATCAAAGAGTCGACCAGGGCAAGTGACATGTGTTCCGCGTCAGTATAGGGACCGACTAAGACAGGTCAGCTCAGTGGTCCAATCATTGCGATACTTGTGATCCAACATACCGCTCTTGATTGCGTGCATGGCCACAAGTAAGGAGATACCGATGCCCTGCCAGAACGAGAAGAAGAGAATCCCCTTGACACACAGAAACTTGGCTGCATGGATCTTAGCGGCCGGTCGACTGTCACAACTCGAGATAACTCACGGACAGGCCTAAAAGGCTTCAAGTCTTTGTTGACAGCGACCCAAAACATGGCCAGGCAGCTGAGACAACCGGTCAACACCCCGCTACCCGCAGTGGGAGTTTGACTTACTAGAGACTGAGGCAGATACTGATATTGTACACCACACTCACATACGTGTAACCGGAGGTGGCAGAGAATTTGCCTTCCTGATAGGTCCCAGTGGCTTTGGAGATGACCGTCACGACAACCAGAAGGGGCTTTACTTGCACATACTCTGGGGGGGGGGGTATTAGCAATGCTACTGCTAGTAAGTTCAAGGGCTTACGAAGTACTCCTCTCTTCAGGTTCAACAAGACCCAAGGATCACTGACATCCATAGGCTTCAGGAAGAGGCCAACTGGAAAGGGGTGCGGTATGGGTGGTCGGCCATGGAGGGTGATGAGCAACGAACGTTCGCCGCCCAGGTATGTGATTAGAAGCTGAAGAAAGGTGTAGATTACGAATGCCTGGATAGATTGTCAACTACAACGTATCTGTGCGGGGGCAGGATGAACTTGCCTCGTATAGATCGCGCACAGCATCAATGAAGAATGCAGCTTCCAGTGAGAATAGGGCGATCAGAGATGATATAGCATATAGTGGTACCCTGTGATATACCGCACATTAGTATATTGTCATGCCACGTACGCTCAGAGAGATACATACATGACCATTATCCGCACGACTGCCCGTTGCAGTGCAGGCTTGCGGTAATTCTTGAGCTGAAGCACAATAGACATTACTGAGAAGCCCGTAGCTAGAACAATGATCAGTACGTTCTTCAGTCATGAAGCGGTTACTTACCGACCGCTGTGAAAGCACCGCACAAGGCGAGCAGCCATATTGGCAGGTGGTTGCCAGCTCCTGCGGATGGCAAATCAATGAGCACTGGCGACGACTCGGCAGGAGGTCGGTGCGGCGATGAGGGAAAGTTGGGAAGGGACATGGTGAATCAATAGTCGACTCCTGAGGGCTGGGGCAGCAGCTATGGCCTATGGGCCGTCTTCCAAAGAAAGGGAAACAGCTATCGGGCGGTCCGAAAGATGAGCCGGCGGTCGGGGCTCGCTTTGTGCGTAGCTACAAAAATCCCCCTCCTGCGAAGAATAGAGATAGGAGAGGGAGAGGAGGGTTACGAGCTTGGAGATGTCGAGATGTAGTTACAATAGCAATTGAAGAGATATAGTATGACGCTGGTTGTTTTGGCCGCGAGAGTAAGTTAGCCGCGACTCGCCGCCCATCTCTTTCAAAGCCACTTTTCCAAATTCCATCCTTGCCTCAATCCCTCGACACCCCTTCCCACCTCCCCCGCACCGTCGCCATGCAGTCGGGACGGCAAAAGTACCAGCAATATCAGCACAACGTCCCTATCGAAATCCTCAACCCCGGCGGAGGGACAGACGAAGATGCTCCCTCTCTTACAATCACAATGCTCGGCGCTGGACAAGAAGTGGGGAGGTCTTGCTGTGTGATTGAACATCGGGGCAAAAAGGTCGTGTGCGACGCTGGTCTCCATCCTGCCCATCCAGGAATAGGTGCTCTGCCCTTCATTGATGAGCTGGATTGGTCGACAGTAGATGCAATTTTGGTGACACAGTGAGTTGCCGAGCGAGTGTAGCTGGACTATCACTGAGACCTTGAAAGCTTTCACGTGGACCATGCAGCAGCGCTGCCGTATATCATGGAGAAGACGAATTTCAAGGATGGAAACGGAAAGGTGTACATGACCCACGCTACGAGAGCTATCTATGGTCTGACCATGATGGATACTGTTAGAGTCAAGTGAGTCGAGTTTGCTGGGTGATTCTTCAGTGCTGACTTGCTTATAGTGACCAGAATCCCGATTCCTCCAGTCGTCTATACGACGAAGCTGATGTGCAGGCCTCTTGGGTCTCCTCAATAGCTGTCGACTATCACCAAGACATTGTCATTTCGGGTGGTCTGCGGTTCACCCCCTATCACGCTGGACATGTCTTGGGTGCTTCCATGTTTATGATTGAAATTGCTGGTCTCAAAATCCTGTACACAGGAGATTATTCGAGAGAGGAGGATAGACATTTGGTCATTGCCGAAGTGCCGCCAGTGAAACCGGATGTCTTGATCTGTGAGAGTACTTTTGGTGTCCACACTCTGCCAGACCGGAAAGACAAGGAGGAACAATTCACAAGTGAGCCATTTTGAAAAGCTACTGGACAAGGTTGACAAGTATAGCGCTCGTGTCCAACATTGTCAAGAGAGGCGGTCGCTGCCTTATGCCCATCCCCTCTTTCGGCAACGGCCAGGAGCTCGCTCTCTTACTCGATGAATACTGGAACGACCACCCCGAACTACAAAACGTCCCCGTCTATTTTGCGTCAATGCTTTTCCAACGTGGTATGCGAGTCTACAAGACATACGTCCACACTATGAACTCCAACATTCGATCGAGATTCGCCAGAAGAGACAATCCCTTCGATTTTAAATTCGTCAAGTGGCTGAAAGACCCTCAAAAGCTGAAGGAGACGAAGGGGCCTTGTGTGGTGATGGCGTCTGCTCAATTTATGAGTTTTGGGCTGAGTAGGGATTTGTTGGAGGAGTGGGCGCCGGATCCCAAGAACGGCGTGATCGTTACCGGTTACTCAATAGAAGGCACTATGGCTAGAGTGCGCACATCATTGCTGTATGTGGCAAAGCTGATATCCTCTTAGACGCTTCTCGGGGAGCCAGACCATATCGAATCCGTCAAAGGCGGCACTATCAACCGACGTCTGACGGTGAAAGAAATATCTTTCGGCGCTCACGTGGACTATGCGCAAAACTCCAAGTTTATCCAAGAGATTGGAGCTCAGCATATCGTCCTCGTGCACGGCGAGTCGTCCCAGATGTTGAGGTTGCGAGCAGCTTTGAGAGATACGTATGCGTCAAGGGGACAGGAGGTCAACATCCATACGCCCAAGAACTGCGAACCTTTAACGCTCAACTTCAGGCAAGAGAGAGTGGTCAAGGTACGTAAAGTTTCCGCAAGCTCCACGCTCGCTGATTGTTCTTGAAGGCAATCGGTACACTAGCAGACGTTCGTCCTGAACACGGGACCCACGTCAAAGGTCTCCTCGTCTCCAAAGACTTTTCATACACCCTCCTCGACCCCAAAGACCTCCGCGACTTTACCGGTCTTTCCACAAGTACGATCGTCCAAAAGCAGACCGTCCCCATCGGTGTGGATTGGAGTGTGGTACGGTGGTATTTGGAAGGAATGTATGGCGAGGTGGAGGAAGGAGTGGATGGGGAGGGGAAGGCAAAGTTTACGGTGATGAATGGGGTGGAGGTCGTGAGGGTTTTGGAGACTGCTGTGGAGCTCAGGTGGTCTTCGAGCTCGAGTAATGATATGATTGCGGACTCGGCTTTGGCCTTGTTGTTGGGTATCGATGGAAGCCCTGCTACGGTCAAGTGTACGTGTCGTCTCTTTTCGTAAAACAATGGTGCTTACTCCTTGCAGTAACGTCGGCCCCTAATCGACATGCTTGCAACCACGGCCACTCGCACGCACCTGCCCCGAAAGAGACTGTGACCAGTCCCGAATTCGAAAGGCTCAAAATGTTCTTGGAAGCGCACTTTGGCGATGTGTCTGGTCCTCATATTGAGGCGCCCCAAGACGGGGAGGAGGAGTGGTTATCCATGGAGGTGAAAATCGACAACCACGAGGCCAAGATTGATCTGATAACGATGGTGAGGAAACTCCTGACGCTTGATGGAATTCTGCTAAAGAGATTGTACAGAAAGTGGAATCGGACAATGGTGATCTACAGAAGAGGGTGGAGAATGTGCTCGAGATGGCGCTTACGACAGTCAAGTCGCTTTCACAGACATTCATGGGGAGCGGATTGAATATTGTGGCGGCGCAGAAGACGGAGGTTTGAGGAACAAAATATCCCCAAATATCTTCATAGAACTAATGCAAGATGTGGAGTCATTGATACAGTGCATGATAGTGATACTGGATGAATGAGAGTCATACTGCAATGGGCGACGACGTTCTCTGATAGTCGTCTTCATATGTATAATCTAACCTCTCGCTGGATCCAAAAGGAAGATGTGGTGGATATCGATCTGTTGGTGCAATCAGCGCAAGATACACCCATCAAAACAGTTCGCTCCGGGGTCAAAGATGGTATACATATATATACAACGTCGTCAAATCTGTATAGCCATCTATATCATAGTACGAGTCTATAGTCCTATCTGTAGTGTGCGCTATCTAGTCTCGTCAAGCTCGTTGCTTGGTGCAAGCCTTGCAAGAAGCCTCTTCATTTCATCCCCTCGCACTGAAATCATCCCTTTCTCCACCCTCACTAGCAAGCACAGACACCCCATCCTGAGTCTCATCAATCACACTCAACTCCCTCCTCTCTCTCGAGCTCTTCCGTCCAATCTCATCCTCACCATCAGCCCCATCCAGCCACTCGTTGAATTGTCCCAGGACATTATCGGCATTAATGCTTGACGAGGACGATGATTGTTTTGTGGGTGAGAGGAGTTGGGAGTGAGGTGATTTGGGGGGAGAGGCGGGTGGTCCGGGGGAAGTGGCTGATGCGGGTGTGGGTGATGATGTCCGGGGAAGACCAGGTTTAGGTGATTGGGGTGCACTGGAGTCGAGCAATCCCAGCCTATATACAGACATCAGCTCTGCCCATTGCTGAATTGTATGGGACTTACGGTGCAAGCACACTGAATATCTGCCCCTCCTCTTTCGGCGGCCCATACGCGTCAAAGGGATCGGGTATGGACATGACCATGGGCTCCAATATCGGATCACTCGCCTTGCCTGCAATCTTTTCATAAAAGTCCAGCTGGCTGCGTACGACAAAAGCAACGCGGCCGAGGACAGTCTCCCAGACTTCATCCTCCCCCTCCAAGACTTCTTCGTGGTAGCTCGCTTTGATGGTATCGAGGTCGTCGACTTGTCTTTGAAGTTCTGCGAGTGCTTCCCGGAACTGCTGCAAGTCTGGTGGGATATCAGCAATGTGGTTATGGATCTTAGCTGGGATGTCTTACCTCTCTTTCGTCTCCGTCCAACCTTCAAGTTCTCTGCTTCAGTCTTTCTGATCTTTTGGCTTTGCTCGTGCAGAGACTTCTCGTACTGCGCCAGACGATCCGCAGTGACAAGTTTATATTCGTCCAGAGCTTCAAGCAGGGGAATTTCAAACTGACGATAGACAGTGTCGGCTAGGAGTTGCTCATGATTGGAGACGAGATATTGAAGGCCCGAGGCACCTGCTAGTGCCGAATTGGACGACCTGCAGCCTTTCACTCTAAAACCAAGTAAGCCTTGAATTCGCCCATTGGTGAGCTACGGCGACACTAACCTGGAGCAGGCCTCCATGGCAGTCGCGAATGCGGCAGTGGCAGAGGACATGGCTAAGAGAGCATTACGGTACGCTTTGGCCGCCGCCATAAGCTAATCACAAAAGAGTCAGTAGATTATCATTGACCCATATGTCTAATCATCTTACCTCCTCAAAGCAGGCAATAGACTGTCGCAGATCCTTACGCGTTATCAGTGTGTGATTCTCGGGCATGTTGATCTTGGAGCCGGTGGTGGTGGTTGAGAACTGCGAGGTCGCGTCAGCGATGGACCGCAGATGTCCGAAGGCACGAGATGCGTACGGTGGGGGATGCTGGGCGCCCTCCCCACATGCTGGAAGACTGGCTCTTGAGGGAATTTAAGCGGGGCCTTGGTATAGACATGCGAGAAGGCGGGCTGCTGTTTGTGCTGATAGATGAGCCACAAGTCGACAACAACAACAGCTCGGCGGGCCCTGCGCGGGAAAGCAGGCGGGCCTCGCCGCCGCTACGGAAGCTCTTTTATCGGCACACGTCACGCTGCTTCTGCCAAACCACCTCCCTACAATTTGCATCTCGCTTTCTCTTTTCTTTTTCTTCTTTGAACAAAATCCACGGAGTGAGTCTGCCCATATCCTTTCACTTTGAGTCTCGCTGACCCTTTCCAGGACATAAAAGTTCGATTCCCTACCACTCCCGATGTTGGGTCTCGCGTTCCCGTCTCCAATAGTGAAAAGAGGGGGACTGTCGCAAGTCCCCTGTGTCCCTCCCTGTGATAACCAAACCGCTTAGGTGCTCCTGCTACTTCTATGCTCGTAACAAACATTGAGGCGCCCGGCTGGAAACAGCAAGTGGCGCGATGACGTTTGGCGGGTATTCGAAGGGGGGTGTCTGGAGGACCGACATACTTTTGTACTTTCATATCTGTTGCTTGCCATGTACATGTATCCATCCCATCGTAACTCTTTGCAGCCATGGTTTCTGTTGCATGTGTCTACTTGCTGAGTGGGCGACCGAAGCTGAGGTTGTAGTCTTGGTCTTGGTTGAACTTGAAATTTCTGTCGAGAAATGATGATCCAGGAACGGCGCGTTCAACTTGCTCTGAGCACGCGCGAGTGCAACGATGGATGACTTGTTCGTGTTCGTCTCTCATCGTTGGCCTCATCACGTCCCTTCCCTGAAACGTCTACACGCCCAACTGCTCTGCAAGTCAGCCCCCTCCCTCTCGACTTCTCCAGACCCTCGCGGTAACCATCCTCTCCCTCATCAACTCGTACTGTAACAATGACCATATACTCATTATACATCTTCGACCGGTAAGCCTACAACCAATAGCTGCTGTGATATGTAGATTGACGAGTATCTACAGACACTGTGACTGTGTGTACTACCAAGACTGGCACCGCACTCGCCCCATCAGGCCCCCACCTCCCTCATCCTTCAAACCCGGCGTCCATCGCATCCCCTCAGTCCCTCATCCATCAGACAATGTTCGGCCATCTATATTCGATGAGAATCACAACCCCAGGGCGGACGGTGTAAGCGTGCAGGACAGGCTGGGAGGCGGAAGTGGAAGGGCGCCAAAGGGGTTGCCCTTTGATGAAGAGTCAAAGCTGGTGTACGGTGTCTTGATCTCTTTGAGAAGTATGGTCAAGAGATTATCTGGACGGTAAATCCACATCGCTGGGCGTACAACTTGGCACTTACTTTCTGCACAGCGACGAAGCATTCACGTCATACTCTACTCCTCAATACAAACTCCACCTGTTCGAATCACCCACGGGCTACAAGTTTGTCCTCTTATCAGACCCCTCTTCCGACGACCTGCGCTTTGTCCTGCGGCAGTTATACGTGGGACCATTCTTGGAGTATGTAGTGCGCAACCCTCTGGTTAAAATGGATTCGCGCGAGGAGGGAATTGACAACGATTTGGTACGTCTTGCAATTGTCCAGCCACTATGATCTTTGACTGACTTGCGACCAAAGTTCCGCGGGGCTGTAGATAGACATATGCGTGGCCTTACCATGTTTGGCTCATGATATCTCTCATACAAGATGCATCATGACAAAGAGTACTCTCGACAAGACATGATATAGCTATATTTTACTGTGATCTACACAGACGTCGAAAACACATACTTCATAACGCCCCTCAAGATAACCCTCATGACTCGGTGCCCTCGACATCATTAAATTTGGTTCTGAGCTGTGTCAACAGCGACTTTCTCGTCTCCTTGGCCGTCTTGTCGTCTCCGCCACCGGCGTCAGTGCCGTCATTGGTGGTCTCTTCACCGCCGACCATGTCATCAAGCTGAAGCTTGGCAAGACCAATGTCCAGCATGTCCTCCTATGACTGATATCAGCATACGAGTCGCAAAACTTTGAAAACAGAGTGGTGACTCACATCAATGGAGCCTTTCGAGACAAGCTTGATAACCTCGACTTCCCGTTCTTGGCCGATGCGGTACGCTCGATCAGCAGCCTGACGATCGTTATGCGGGTTGAAGTCTTGGTCGTAGATCACGACGACTGAGGCAGCAGTCAAGTTGATACTATAATCCAGTCAGTCGTGAGTCCTTTCAGAACGGTTTATACTCACCCGACACCACCAGCCTTGGTAGATAACAGGAAGAGCGTGATCTCGGTATCCTCGTTGAACTCATCTACCAGCCCCTGACGTTCGTCCGTCTTGGTCTGCCCGTCCAGCCTGGTGAAGCGGATACCGAGGTAGTCGAGGGCCTTCTCAAGGATATCGAGAATCATCACAAACTGTCGCATGTCACCATGTGAATCATCAAATTGGAGAAAAACGCTTACTTGAGAGAAGAGCAATATTCTCTTCCCGTCACTTTTGCAGCGGTTGATGATATCGACGAGCGCAGTGATCTTGCCGCCTTCCAAGAAGACTTTGGGGTCGAGGGCGTACTTCCTCAATTCCTGAAAACGATGTGAGCAGGTGAACGGCGACATGTATGAATGAGACGCACCGCCTCCTCGGACGAAGAGCAAAAGTTGGAAATCTCAAAGTCGCTCATATACTAATATACCATCAGCTCGGGCTTTTCTGGGGATCATCCTGCGCGCTCACCTCCAAATCTTCAATGACATAGTCAAGATTACTATCGCAATACGAAGGCGTATTGAGACACTCCTTCGCAAGCTTCTTGATCCTCGCATCGTCATACAGTCTCCTGAACAGCAGCGGGTGACTCGCCGCCTTTCGGAGATCCATCAAGATATTTGACCCGCTCGTGGTCAGCCCACTCGCCTTCTTGGGCTTTGCCCCCTTCTTCGCCGCCGGTTTCTTGTTCCCAGCCTCATCAACATCCTCTGCGGCCCCTTCCAAGGCCTCTTCACTCATCTCACCCAGCACCTTCTTCGACTTGCGCATCGTCTCTTTGTAGAGTTTCGATTGCGCGGCAGTCATCTCGCATCGTTCGACAGTCTCGATTTTGGGGGGTAGAGAGAGTACGGTGGCTTTTCGTCGACGGAGAACGAAGGGAGTGAGCATCGTGCGGGCTCGGGTGGTTCGGGTGTGGGAGAGGAGAGAGGCGTGGCCTTGAGATTTGAAAATGGCACGGAGATAGGGCTCGGCGTCGTTGAAGGTCTCTTTGTGGATGAACATGAGGAGAGACTATACAAATGTTAGGCTGAATCTGAGACCCAAATTTTTTGTACTCACAACGAGCTCCTGGAGGTTATTTTGGAGAGGAGTACCAGTCAAGAGAAGTCTCCATTTCGGCTTGATGGAAAGCAGATCTGTGTATGCCTTGGTAGTGCAGCTCTTCAGCTTATGGCCTTCGTCGTAAATGCAGGTCTAGAAGCTAGTCAGCAAGGAATCACAAGACGTCAAACTGCCACACACCTCAAATTCAATCTTTCTCCTAAAGAAAGAAAGATCATCTGCCGAGCTCATCTGCGTATACGACGCCAACACGACTTCCAACTCTCCAGCTCTATATTGCTGCTTGAGCTCATTTCTCAGAGAGGCACGCTCTGATTGGGAGCCATAGTACGTCTGAACGTCGATGGAAGGAGCGAAGCGTTTAAATTCACGAGTCCAGTTCTCAAGGGTGGAAGCAGGGACGAGGATGAGGTGAGGGCCGGCGATACCACGCTCGTTGAGGGCGGCGATGAATGCGATGACTTGAATTGTCTTGCCGAGGCCTAAGACACAAGTCAGTCTGGGTTACAGTAGAAAGACTTTGATGATTACCCATCTCATCTGCAAGAATGCAGCCAATCTTCTTCGAGTACAATAGGTTCAACCAGTTGACACCAAGAAGCTGGTAGTCCTTGAGTACCGTCCCCGGGCTAAGCAGGGCAGGTTGTGTCTGGATGTACTGTTTCAAGATCTTCTTCTTCTTCATGTCCGTCTCATTCTTCAACAACTCCGACACCTTGGCGACATCGACCTTGACATCGTTCAAGCTATCGGCCTTGGGCGTACCGACCACACTCCCATCCTGCTTGTCTGAGGCTCCTCTCCATACAGCCAGTGTACGGGCCACCTCCTGGGCGATAGCATCGCATCGATTGAGACAGCTGTCGATCTGGACAAAGCCTTCCATGATCTCCGAGTACTGCTCAAAGAGCTTGAAGGACACACCCCGAGCTTTGCCAAGTTTCTCGCGAACTTCGTCGACGTCGTTGTATGGACGGTGTTTGATAATGCTGGTTGCTTGCTCGGGTCTACAAGCTAAAATGCGACAGTCAGCTTGACATACGCACCTCGCCATAATGAACTTACCAATGGTGCCGGCTATGCTGTCCGCTGTGTCATTGTTGAACGCACGTAAAGCTGCTTCCTGTGCGTCGTCGAGCTCATCCTCGTCGTCCTCGCCCCTTCTCTTCTTTCTCGATCCATCGTCTGAAAAATCACTGTCACTCTCCCCGCCTCCTGAAAACTCATCCTCCGAGCCATCATCTCGCTTCGCGCGCTTTCGTCTATCGTAGATGGTAGAGCTTTCGTTCTTCTTGGACTTTGAGCCGTTGCGGGGAGGGTCGGAGGTTACAGCGGAAGCTGAGAAAGGGGTTGAGTTTCGTTGTAGGGATGAGGATGAAGGCCCGGCAGAGGTCGTTTGTTGCTCTTTCACGACACTACTCATTTGACTGATCTCCAGGACAGCTTTGTCATAATCGCTCGAATGTTTGCGCAGGGAACTGAGGATGGTTGATCTGGGAATATGGGGGAACTGAGCCTTGAGCTTGTTGCCCATTTTCTCCTCCTCTCCATTTTGGGCTAATTGCGCGGCCAACACGAGGCTGGGAGCGCGCGAACTGGAGCCGTTTTTGGCCGGAAGTGGTGAGGGTTTCGTGGGAGACTCCTCCTCATCGGGGTCGACGTAACGGCGTTTCAATCGACGAGGGGGTTGCGGGGTATTGGGTGAGCCGGGAGAGACTACGATGGGCTCATGTGCGGATTTGTGACCGTGAATTGCTCTTAGGACATCCTGGGGGCTGCCAGCAAGAGATATCGGGTTGTTCTTCTGACTGGTACTGCCACCAGAGTTCCCGTTCTGGCCTGGCGCTATCTTGGAATAGTTGGCAGCTCTGCTGCCACCGAAGTATTTGGACTGCTGAACCGGCGTCTGGCCAGGTGAAGACGGAGGAACGAGTACGTCTGGATCGTCGAGGGCTTCGATACTGGGAGACCGAGATACGGGGGGTCGGGATGAGGACACCTTCTTTCTTTTGAGAGCATCGAGGACGTCCTGGATCGAGTTTGGCACAATGCCGACGCGTCAGACGAAAGTCACAAGAACATGAGATGGAGCGAAAAATTAACACTCACGCGCCGTTTCCTCTCTGCTTCAGAGGACATGGTCAGGAGTACTTGGGAGAGGGCGGGCAGGGGGTATGGTTGCGCTGACACGGAAAAGAACGGTACCCAGGAATGAGGAATAATAGTGAAGAGGAAGAAATCAAAGTGACTGAGACCGCTTCGTTCGCGAAATGTGTACGGCGTTCCTGGACGTCCGTTGATCCGAATGTCCCAGGTAATCGACTGCCAGCTGCTTTTCCTCTACAATCTTCACAAACCAATGAGCTACGCTGACTATATCACTGGCCTCTCGGCTAGGTTCTGGGAAAAGGTCCGCTTTCCCAACAAGTTCACCCGCGAGGTGGTCTGGGGCATCGTCCTCGGGATCACCGTATCCTTGTCGTCGACTTCAGCAGCCCTCATCGTCCAGGATTGGAGGCGGAAGAGAGCTATGCGAAGAATACCCCCAAGGCCGATCGAATTGCGAAGTGATGAGATAGTCCCGGGTACTATAGGCTTGATAGGTTCGTATACTTCTATTTGCATTGCGTACAGGATATGCGCTGAAACTCCGAAACAGGCAACACTCCATTGATGCGCATCAATTCTTTGAGCGATGCCCTCGGGGTGGAAATCCTGGTAGGCAACCTCGCATACTTCTAATGAAAGTCCACTGACGTGTCGTAGGGCAAAGCCGAGGTTGGTCGGCATTCTCCTGAGAGTGCACCACTGACCGACTTAGTTCCTCAACCCAGGCGGATCTGTCAAGGACAGGGTAGCTCTACAGAGTGAGTTGCAGTCAGGAGTGTAGCGGTGCTAAAGACTGATATTGTTCTTTTTAGTCATCGAAGATGCGGAAGCCTCAGGTCTTCTACATCCCCACACCGGATCCGTTCTATTTGAAGGGACCGTAGGTAGTACCGGGATCTCTCTGGCTACCGTTGGCAAGGCAAAGTACGTGCATACCCATCATTCTCCTGTGACATGGCTCATCCAGTGACAAGGGGCTATGAGTGCTGTATCATCATGCCTGATGATGTCGCCATCGAAAAGGTTCAGGTCTTGGAGAAACTCGGCGCGATAGTCGAGAGAGTGCGCCCAGCGAGCATCGTGGATGAGAAACAATTTGTTGTATGTACTCTATCCATCCAGTTCTATCGCAAGGATACTTACACGCCGCAGAATCTTGCTCGCAAACGGGCCCTTGAATTCGGACAGACCGAGCTCACAAACGCCCCCGCGCACGGCAACGCAGTCGCCGTATCTACTCTCGCCGCCCCATCCGAAGTCGAACATGACAACTTTCTACCTTCCTCTCTCGAACACAAGCCCAGAGGCTTCTTTGCAGACCAATTCGAGAACGAGAGCAATTACTTGGCGCATTACAAAGGCACTGGGCCGGAGATATTGAGGCAATCAAGTGGTAATCTGGACGCTTTCGTCAGCGGTGCTGGTGAGTAAAGTCTAATACCTGTCACGACCTACCCTAATACAAAAGTAGGAACTGGCGGAACGATTGCGGGCACCGGTTGTTTCTTGAAAAAAGCCCTTCCTAATCTGACCATAGCCTTATCCGATCCAGAGGGTTCTGGCTTGTTCAACAAGGTCCGTTATAACGTTATGTTTGATATGAAGGAGCGGGAAGGTACCAAGAGAAGGCATCAAGTGGACACTGTCGTCGAGGGCATTGGTGAGCTCCGCAGTTCACGCGACTACCTCACTTGCGCTGACAGCACGTTGTCTTTTAGGAATTAATCGAGTCAGTAACACACATTCCTCCATGCGTCCCTGCTCACACTTCTGCAGATCACTCACAATTTCTCGCTGGGCCTTCCCGTCATCGATGATGCTTTCAGGTGAGTACAAAGGATTCAGGCGTATACTGAAACTGACTTTGGGTTTCCAGGATCTCTGACGTCGAAGCTGTTGCCATGTCGAGATACCTTGTACAACACGACGGTCTCTTCCTTGGTTCATCCAGTGCCTGCAACCTTGTCGCCTGTGTGCGATTAGCAAAGACGCTGAAGAAGGGAGCTCGGATAGCAACCATTTTGTGAGTGCTCACCAAGTGGCGAAAACTTTGACTCATCATACAGCAGATGTGATTCCGGTGCCCGTCACCAGAGCAAATTCTGGTCCGACGATTACCTGAAAGAGCACAACATACCCATTGATACGACTATCATTGACACGCTTTTGATAACATAGTTCTATGAGATGCCGATGACTGCTCCTACGCTGGCCATCCACCGATTGACGTACTTTCGATCAAAGGTACCATGCTCTATACGGCACCCTTGAGCACAAAGCGGTGCATACCTCTCTCGCTCCGATCCCACCTTTCAAATGACGAATTTGGCAGTCATGACCATGATTATGTGGGTAATTTGGTGGCTTTTGTGATCTGATCACAACACTTGAAAGTCCGTCCGGCTGACACTAAGGCTCTTCCTTTACGGCTAATGTTATAACTGGACGAAGGTCTCTGGCCTGATTTTAGCCCCATGGTGCTCCTGTATGACTGACATTTGAGCTTTCGAAACTCAACTTCCTCTCCGTTGAGCATGGCCTTCTCGGCATCCGCGCGTGAGCGGCTCCAGGTGTATTTAGCTTGATGATGACCAGCTATCCTGTAATCTCCCCTACCAAAAGTCATTTCTGACGGGCCAGTGAACTCATCAGACAGCGCCATGCCTCAAGACAACACATCTCGTCGCAGTTCCTGGTACCCTCCTGATAACCGCTCAAGGCGAGCTTCTCGGGGCCAAGCAAGCGCCGATGCCAGCCGGTTCGCACCGACTAGTACTCGCACGGGCGATTACTACGATTCTGCGCCGCAATACCCGAGTCAACCCACGACTGGTGTGCGACCCCGTATGGTGGCCCAAACTACGGGACACACCCCATCCTACCCACCGATGTCCTCTTATGCGCCACCAAGTTCAGCCTACCTTGTACGACCTTCAGGCAACGTTGCCTCTAGCCAAGACAAATACCGACGAGTAGGAGGGATCTACACCCCTACTCCTCAGTATATGCCCCTTAGATATTCGGACCAGGCCACCTCGGGTCTCGGTGGCCCAGACTCATATGCACCCCAAGCTATACGGACTCAGGCATACGAACCAGCTGTTCGAATGCCAGGAAGCCAGCCTATCACTGTGCCGTCCCGTATTGCAGGTGAGACGCCAGGAAGATCACAAGACTCTCGTGGTTTCTCAAGGCCGCCAACTCCGGGCGCCCTGAGACGCCAAGATCGGCGCTCTCTGACCCCGGGGGCTCCACTGGCTTCTCGTGGCGGGGTAGATACGAGAGGTACCACCACCCCCACTGGTTCTTACGGCCGCCGCCGTAGTGAACCTATAGATGAATCGGGTTCAAACAAGAGTCGGTCAAAATTGGTCATTCGCAATGGAGCAGGCACCTTGACGACGCTTTACCCAGGCGATACTTACGAATCTGCAGCGGGCAAGACAGTACATTTCTCGAGAGATGGTATACATTATTCAACCACTGATGACTCGGAGATATCACATGGTCGGAGCTTCCAGCGGAGCGCGACGAGCGAGCAACGGGTACCCAACTGCCTCCCCCTCCGACACCTCCGCTGGCAACAGCGACCTCAGCGTCCGCAGCAACCCAGCGTCCGCCTTCCGCGGTTCGCCCTCGAACGCCCTTGCAGTCAGCGCAGAGTGAGTTCTCATCCAATGATAAGGTAGTTGAGGTTGGAAGTTTATCTCCAAAATCATCAGGGGGCAACAGTATGCAGACTGGTGGGCTCGCGACTATCGATAAGGATTTCGCAGATCGAAGACCTCGAAGCCGATCAAGAAACAACACGCGAGCAACGCATGATGCAAGCTACATGGCAACACGTCGCAGCGGAGACGCTCTCACTAGGGACCCCCCAGGATCCTCGTACCCCTCACACCCCGAAGCCAAGTATAGCGACGCACCCCCCAGAGGTCGCCAAAGGTCATCGAACAACTCAAAGCAAGCAGAGTATGACGAGGCGCCCCCCAGAAGAATTCCTGGCCGAGAGAGGACGCAGGATCTACCGTACCGCAGTCAGCGTTCTTCTATAATGAACAGTAGGCCGCCTAGCAGAGGTAGATACGCAGCGGACGAATCTCGTCGTGACTATCAACGTTCGGCCCGATCTCGTCGTGGAGATCCCAATATCATCAGTGTGGTACGTGCTTATATGACCTCAACTATGGCCTTTGCTGACGTAGGCCTTTGAATAGCAAGTTGATGAAGAATATGACGAATATGAAGACAGGAGGTCGCGACATCCTCGAGCCCGACATGACGAGGGCACCGAGCGAGTAACTATGAGAACTCATACACGCACCCCTGGTGGGCACCAGCAACCAGGCAGGTCGATTGATTCTCGCGAAGCCGTCGTGGGAGACGATGATCCGGACGCATACTACAAGTATGATACTCGCTTCTCGGGCCGCTCGAATCTGCCTGGTCGTTCTCTTCGAGATTCGATAAAGCCTAGCTCACGAAATAGCCGGTGGGAACGCTACTAGACTGGCCTTGTATAGTTTCAAAAAGGCTATGTATGTTCATCAGAACGTTATCGCATCGATCGTGTACGTATAAATCATTGAGACAAGCTGTACGAGTACATCACTTGGATCCGCCCTTCGCCTCCAACAACTTTTCCAACCTCTCCAGCTGTTGCTTCACACTCCTGATCTCACGATGAATCACAGAGCTTTCGGTGACGGCAGTGCTAGAGCGGATTAGTCGCATATATCTGTCGAAAATGCAGATACGTACTTGGGGAACACACTGATAAGCTCTTCAAACTTGACTGTAGAGATTTCTCCGCCCTCATCCTCATCGCAAGACGGGTCTTCAACCTTGGGATCGTCGTCTTCATCCGGGGGCGGGCCCTGGAAGTACTGTCGCAGGCGGCGGCTCTTTGAGTGAGCAATTTGAGATTCGAAAAGAGCAATGACGGTAAGTGGAACCACAAAGATGGCCGTCATGACGACACGGTTGAGAGCAATGTACTTTTCGCTTGAAAGAACAAACCTACAGGTACGTCAGCGTACATCGGCGCCACATCCAGGTATGATCTGTACTCACTCGAGCGGTGCAATGAAGAACGCTTCGATCAAGTTGAAGGGGGCAGGATAGACATACGAGTCCGGAGCTCGGATCAAGTCGATAGTCTTGTGGGCAAAGAAGACCAAGTACTCATCAGTCTCGTTGTCCGTCACGTCCGAGTAGGCGGAGCCAAACAAGGCGATAAGGACATTGACGAGGATAATGGTTGCGACGAAGTTCCAGCCGTAGAAGACGATGAGACCAAAGGGATATCCGAAACGTTCGGAAGGTGATTCAAAGTCGGGAGATCTTCACGGCCATGGTGAGCTTTGTTCCTCTTGACAGTCAACAATAGTCCTACCCTAAGAGCGCTTGAATCAGGTTGTTGATAACGATAGCTTTGCCGCCGCTCTCTCCATCGGCAGCATCCAGGGCATAGAGAGACTGCACGAATCCAACACCCATAATGGTCAATCTAAGAATGGTGTCAGCTCAGGCCACAGTGTCCTCCCGTAGGATTGCTCACAAGATGAAGAAGATCGTCGACTCTCGGCTACATCATAGTCAGTACTGCGCCTCAGGGAATGATGAAGACCAAGCTCACAGCATGCGGGATACGACGACTTGAAGAGTTCCGACAGTCTGGAAACCGTCAAAGACGGTGAGCTGAGGCAGGTTCATCAGCTTTTTGGCCCATCAGCCTCCACGTTCGGTGACCCACCAATTTCATCCAGATGAATGGCGCCACGCAACTGAGCACTTGGAAACTCCTGAAATGTAGGTGTTGGGATGTGTCGGTATCAGAAGGGTCCACGCTGAGTCCCGCTACACGAAGGCCGAAAGCAGTGACGAGGAGTACGTCGATGATGATGTTGACTACCGTCCAGAAGCCCTGTTTGATGATTTAGCGACTCATCCAGTCTTCAATGCAGTATGCGACTTACGACGGCCGCAATAGGACGAGGAGCGACTCGTACAATCTAATCGCTGCGTCAGTATCCTGGTCTACATCGTTGATGGCATATACCTTGAACATCTTGACGGCCTCTGCATACTTTGCCATCAGCAGACGTTCGAACACCAGGGAGAAACGACTTGCCTTCGATCAGAAATGACCCCGACAAGAAGTACAACAGAACCTCGTAAAAGTCCCATTTCCTATCGGCATCGAAATGCTCGAGGGGACTCTGGACGGTTTGAGAATAAACTGATATGCTTGTGAACCATGCACATCAATCAATCATGAAACTACTTACCGAACAGGAAGACAAACCATACCAAGATCTTGAAGACAGCTTGGTACCTGGGCACAGCCATTCTATCAGGGTTCAAGTGTCTCCAAAAGCTGTCTGTCTCGACGGGCTCGTAAGGTACATAGTCAATGTCCATATCATCGTTGTTGCGCTGTACCCAGTCTCCTCGCCAGAGAGAGTTGACGACGTGCTGAGCTTCACTGGAAGACAAAAAGTCCTGTCATCATGATTAGACAAGAGTTGTATCGAGCCAGGCTTCACTTACAGTGCAGTGTTGATCGATAGCAGTCTCAAGAGCGCTAGTGGGCGCCGAGACGTCACCGTCACTCTCTCTGTAGCGGTACCGAGTGCTCATGACGCTCTCGAGTCTGTCGGTCGGCAGGTTATGCACGATGCGTCGAGCTAGTACCTCTGCTGCGAGACCCCTACAAGTGTTCTCATCGTAGTCGGCCGGATTCTTGTAGGCTTCGCTGATAAAGTTGGTTTGGGCACGGAGGAGACTATCGTCTTCGTCAGGACCAGCCCATCTCGATCGAGAAGCGGCGAGACTCACGCAAAGGGGATCGTCTCTCCAAAGTCTCCACCGCACTTGGAGAATGCAGCAATGACCTCGGGAGTGATGATACTGCTAGTGGCATCGGTTATCTGCGATGGATCGACTTCGACAGGGAGTAGCTTGATGATCATGGCACGACATCGCTTGACGAGTTCTGAGCGAGTTTGTGTCAGCACTGCTATATACTACTTGCGCGTGAGCTGACTCGTGACGGTATCCTGGAAGACTTGGATCAGCCATGTCCTGTGTCGGGAAGGATGGACATACCGGCTCGGGAGCGACGGATCTAGCGCTCATGAGCGAGCGCTGCTCTTCCACTGCCTATGCACTGGTCAGCCTGTGCACCCTCATCTGCCAGCAGACTCACCAAAGCGTCACCCATTGTAGAGTACAGTATTGAAAGATGGAAGGAGATGATGTTCGATACCGTTGATAGTGATGTGTCGCAAGGCACGCTATGACGTTGCTCGGGCGAGGCACGGCATGTGTACAGTTGCATCAAGCCAGAGCAGACGTCGTTGTTTTGTTCGCATCGCATCTCCAGTCACCATGGGTTTTCTCGACAAATTCAAGGACCAGTTCTCCTCATCCAACCCAGAATACGACTTCCCAACCCCAGCCGCGCCCCTGCCGCTCGGCCCAGACGCCATCTACCGCTACAGGAAACAGCGCGGCGTCAACCTCGGCTCCTGGTTCTCGCTCGAGCAATGGATCTGCCCCCACGTATTCCGAGGCGCCGCTGGTCCAGGTCAGAGTGACTTTGACGTCGCCAGCGGAAATGACGCAAAGAGGAATCTCGAAGAGCACTGGGATACCTGGATCACGGAGGACGACTTCAAGTGGATTGCCTCAAAGGGATTCAATAGTGTACGACTTCCGGTAAGTGGCGATTCCCTTCGCTTGTCCTCAGAGCTGACAATATGGGAAGATTGGGTACTATCATCTCTGCGGGCCTCTTCCTGAAGTTCTCAAGAATACCGAATTTGAGCCGTTCCACCACATCTACGAGGGCGCTTGGGGAAGGATTGAACGTGCTGTACAGACTGCGGGTAACCATGGGCTCGGTGTCCTCATCGGTAAGCCCTTGATGCGGTGTCCTTTGTTTCCTGCCTAGACACTCAGCTTATGTGTCTCATTGCTGACCACCTCGTGCAGATCTCCACGGTGCTGCAGGTGCCCAAAACCACGATGGTGAGTGTTCAGCTATTTCTCTAGAACCCGCGCTCACCAACATGAACAGCCCACGCTGGTCTTTCCACAGGCAAGGTTGGCTTCTGGGACAGCAAGTCCAACCAAGCCTCGACCTCTCTCGCCCTCCGCTTCCTTGCTTCCAAATTCGCCCCCATGCCACATGTCGTCGGCCTCGAGCTCCTCAACGAGCCCCAGAACCACCCCAAGCTCGAACACTGGTACGAGAAAGCCATCGATTATGTCCGCACCGTCGCCCCCGCCGACTTTCCGCTCTACTGCTCGGACGCTTGGGACACTGACCACTTTGCTCACTTTGTCGGGGGCCGAAGCGACTTTGTAGTGCTGGACCACCACATGTACAGGTGCTTTACCGATGAAGACAAGCGCATGAGCGGGTATGACCACGCGAATGAGCTCAAGGGTAATTACCGAGGCAGGTTTGCTGGGCAGTGCGAAGCTGCCAAGGGCGCGCTCGTCGTGGGCGAATGGTCGGCCTCTCTCGACAATGGCTCGTTCGGCCATGGTATGCCCGACGGAGAGAAAGATGCTCAGAGGCGAGCCTTTGTCGCTGCCCAGCTTGAACTCTTCGAGTCGCACGCTGCGGGGTACTGGTACTGGACGTTCAAGAAGGGTGAAGGGTGGGACGCGGGATGGTCGGCGCAGAATGGCAGCCAGGCAGAAATCTTGCCTGGCTGGGTCGGAAGCAAGCAATTCAAGGGGATGCCGCCGGACCACATCAAGCAGCAAGAGTTGTCCAACAATCACGGCAAGTGCACCCATTCGCTTCATGCTTTGACTAATACTCGAAACAGGCTCGCATACAAACTACTGGGCTAACAACGGCGGCTCTCCCGATCCTACCGTCTATGCCCCGGGCTTCTCGCAAGGCTGGGACGATGCGCTCATGTTCCTCAGTGCCCAGGGGACCCCGAGCGAGCTTGGTTTTATCCATCAGTGGGCTCAGAGGCGCAAGCCCGAGTACGAAGCTAGCGCTGGCAAAAAGCTGGGTAAAGCCGAGTGGGAGTGGGAGCATGGATTCAAGCAGGGTGTAGAGGCAGCCGCCAGGTGTTGCTTGGGGTAAAGTATGGTGATTAGGCTCAAGTTGTAATATAGCAATGGCAGATAAACATGTATACATGCAGACAAGTATGTGCACGTCCTTTCAATTGACCCCATCCACCGCAATTTGCTAGAATGATGCCTAAATCCATAGGACGAATCAGTCTGTCTATCCTCCCCATATAGAAGTGCTCGTCATGGGTGTGCTTGTAGCAGACGAGAACCCTTTCGCGGGGGGATATGGTATGTAGAATATGACTGGACAGAACGAGTATAGTGATGATATGCATTGGGCCACTAGATAAAGACCTATGAAGCTTTGTGATTGTCAGCCGTAATTCTCATTTTTTCGTATCAAAACAAGATGGGATAAAGAAGGTATCAGATACCGTTGTAGAAAAATAGGTTGCGTGCATTCCCGAAGGTTATACAGTGTGAATACGATTAAAATTTTTGTTTCATCATTGTGAAATGGGAGAGAATGAGAAGGAGGATGGAAAAAGACGCACCATGGGAATACCTATGAAGGCGATGTCGATGAATGTCTGCGGAGAGGACTGATCCAAGCGACTATAAGATTAGCTCAGGCCACACCTCCCAGCAGCCCCGTCCAGCTCGCCAAAACGGCAAGAAGGAAAAGAATCCAGTCAACCCAACAAAACGTCGAGGACCGGAAAAGGGGCAATCACTATTCCACGGGTTGACTCAAACAAAAACCAATCGCACAGCCTTGCAGAGCTGGCGGAAGACCCGTTGACCCTTATGCTCACTTCACAGCCCAAGTTCCAGTCTCCGAGGAGAAAGAGGTGCGGGGTGAAGAGAGGGAAGGGGGATAGTCATCCTGGTAATGGATCTAAGAACCGCGGGTGGGAGTGTGGGAGAGGGAGGGGAGGTGTGGTAAAAGTCAAGATGGATAGAAGGGTGGTAGGATAAAAGCCTGCATGGCGTAAAGTGAGAGAAAGATGAGAGGATGAGAAAGGGGATTGAATGGGATATAAATTTGGTTGACGTGTGTCGGGTGCCACACAGGGAAGATAATGCCGTATTCCCGCAGGCGGTGACGCTGGTGCTTATGATGGCAGTATGTGGTCGCCGCAGAACGCATCTACTGCATTGCTGTACTCGCCCATCCCATACATTACCGGGACCACATCTCCCCCCACCGCATCGCCCCTCCCCATCGTACCCCACGCCGCCGCTCGAGAAAGCATTGTTCCCAGAATGGTGAGTCAGATATCCGGCGCGTCCCCGGAACCATCGCACTCCAACATCTATGCATGGGGTTACGCTGTGAACACTACTCGAAATCTGTGCTGACGGTCTGTTCAGCAACAACCCTCTAGCGATGTGCAAGACATCGTCATCGACGACAACAGTCCCGCGCCAATAGAAGTAGAGGACGTTCCCGATGTCCACCAGTGTATGTACAATGATTCTCATCTCCCGCACACTTAGACACCTACTGATGTGCACTACAGACGAGGCGTATGCGGCGAAATGCATGCCGGAACTTGGCTTGGAAATCGAGGACTTTCAGTTCCAGACATGGCGAATCGAGCATTGGAGTCAGCAGCCCAAGAGAATAGTCGGCCCAGAGTTTAGCTGTGGTGGTCACAAATGGTGAGTAGTGTCTTTCGCACCAAGCTGCTGTCGTTCGGACGACTCATCGAACACCGAAATTGACATCTTTGCGCAGGCGCATCTTGCTGTTCCCTCAAGGAAACGCGAATGGCCAACCAAACGACATGGTCTCGGTCTATCTCGACTATGCCAACCCCAAGCAGGCTCCGGAGGGCTGGCACGCCTGTGCGCAGTTCTGCCTTGCAATCTCCAACCCCTGGGACTCTACTATCCAAACATCCAGCCGTGAGCACGCCACCGGTCAACGTCATGCAGATGGAGAGCTGACTTGCGGGTAGATGCTCACCACCGATTTGTTGCCGAGGAATGTGATTGGGGATTCACTCGATTCGTTGACCTGAGAAAGCTTTACACTGCCGACCCGGCGAATGGCAAGAACAGGCCGACGATTGAGAATGACGAGGTGGAGATCACGGCGTTCGTGCGGGTTTTGAAGGACCCAACTGGTGTCCTATGGCACAACTTTGTCAAGTGAGTGCGGTCATATACAGCTAACATATTGCTGACCGTCTACAGCTATGACTCCAAGAAGGAGACTGGGCACGTTGGGTTGAAGAACCAGGGTGCGACGTGTTATATGAACTCTCTCTTGCAGTCTTTGTTCTGCACGAATTACTTCCGAAAGGTAAGTCAAGGTGGCGCCTGACATGATCGGCGCTCATACGCTTCCTAGGCCGTCTATCAAATACCCACGGAAGACGATATCCCCTCCGAAAGTCTGGCACTCGCTCTCCAACGTGTCTTTTACCATCTCCAAACATCTAATCAGCCCGTAGGGACGACCGAGTTGACCAAATCCTTTGGATGGAAGTCACTCGATTCGTTCATGCAGCACGACGTGCAAGAGTTCAGCCGAATTCTACAGGACAAGCTGGAGATCAAGATGAAGGGAACTCCCGCCGAGGGCGCTATTCCCAGGCTATTCAAGGGGCAGATGAAAAACTACATCAAGTGTATCAATGTGGATTTTGAGTCTTCAGTGGTGGAGGATTTCTATGGTCAGTCAGGCCAATCTTCAAGGCGAGCGCGAGAATTGACCAGCTTGTAGATATCCAACTCACTATCAAGGGACTAAAAGACCTTCGAGCTTCTTTCAACGAGTATGTCTCTGTTGAGACTCTTGATGGCGAGAACAAGTACCAGGCGGAGGGCCATGGTCTGCAGGCCGCCAAGAAGGGTGTCATCTTCCAGTCGTTCCCTCCCGTCCTCCACTTGCAACTTAGACGCTTCGAATACGACATTGAGAAGGATGCTCTGGTTAAGATCAACGACCGCCACGAGTTCCCATACGAGCTCGACCTCGGTGACTTCTTGGACGAATCCGCCGACCGGTCCCAGTCTCACGTATACAAGCTCCACGGCGTGTTGGTCCACTCTGGTGATCTGCATGGTGGCCATTACTTTGCGCTTATCAAGCCAGAGAAGGACGGGCGGTGGTTCAAGTTTGATGACGACCGGGTAACTCCAGTGACGGACAAGGAGGTGCTGGAGGACAACTTTGGAGGCGATATGGTAAACGGACTTGTGCCCTCGCATCAGAGGACACAGGCTAGGACCTTGAAAAAGTTTACCAACGCCTACATGCTGGTGTACGTACGAGAGACCGAGCTCGACACTGTCCTTGCACCCTTCACCGAATCCGACACCCCGCCCCATCTCAAGGCCCGTCTCGACCACGAGAGGGAGCTCCTCGAAGCCAAGAAGAAGGAGAAGGACGAGCAGCACCTATACCTCACTGCCAAAATCATCACGGATGACATCTTTTCTCAACATCAGGGCTTCGACCTTGCCTCCTTTGAAGACAAGAACATCCCCGCAACCGACCTCCCGACTTTCCGAGTGTTGAAGAACGAGACTTATGCTGTATTCAAGAGCCGCGTGGCTGAGCACTTTAAAATCCCTGAAAAGGACTTTAGGCTCTGGGTGCTTGTCAACAGGCAGAACAAGACGACTAGGCCGGATGTGCCCATACACGACAGTGACGGTGCTCAGTGTAAGTGCATGCGAACGATTGAAAAGCACATCTGACATTCGTCTGAAGCAATGGAGAGCATCAGAAACACGATGGCGGCGCGAGCGACTGATCTCAGACTTTACCTTGATTACAACCCTGATCACACCCAGTTCAATACCGTGCGTTCATTTCCTTTCGTCCCGCCTCTCCATTGGGTCTGAATCTGAAGCTGACTTTGTGCTGTGCAGCTTCACGCGGATCCCAACAACCATCCAATCATGCTTTTCCTTAAATGGTTCGACTGTTCCCGTCAAACGCTCCTGGGTCAAGGGAAGGTATTTGTGGACAAATATCAAAAGACCTCAGATCTATTTGGCATCATCCAAGAGAAGATGGGCTGGCCGTCATCGACGCCTATAAAGCTTTACGAGGTTTGTTCACCTTTCGCCATCGATGCAATCATCAAACAAAACTGACGCACTTCTACAGGAAATCAAGGCTGGCATGATAGAGGCTATGAAGGTCAAGCAGTCTTTTGTTCAGAATGAAATTCAGGACGGTGACATCATCTGTTACCAGGTCGAGCTCCCCGAAAAGGAGTAAGTTGCTTATATTGACATTCTAATATGTGCTGACCGACTTCAAGGGTTTCCGATCTGGATGCTCAGGGTCTCTACTCTAGCGTCCCCGCCTTCTATGACTTCTTGCAAAACCGAATTTTGGTCCACTTCAAGCCCAGATACGAAGACAAGAGCAACGTGGCCCCTGAATTCGAGCTCATCCTGAGCAAAAAGTCGACTTACGAGGTCGTGAGTACTGTGGTAGTTGCAGTATTGCAAAAGCTGACATCCTGCAGATGGCCAACAGAGTCGGTGACTATTTGAAACATGACCCTCTCAAGCTTCGCTTCACCTCTGCCCACAACCAAAACGGTGCTCCCAAAAACACTGTCAAGCGGGGCTTGAATCAGAGCGTCGCGGATATCACCCAGACTAGCTACTACAGCCAGCACTCGCACATCGTCATCTACTACGAGCTTCTTGACATCAGCATTGTTGAACTTGAGACGAAAAAGTCTCTCAAGGTTATTTGGACTGGTGTTCACAACAAGGAAGAGACTACCCACCCCTTCTTGCTGCCAAAGACCCATACCTTCACCGATGTTGCTGAGCAACTGTCAAAGCTGGTCAAGCTTGAGGCTGGAGGCAGCGGCAAGATTCGAATCTTTGATATTTCCCCGTCCGGCCGTTCGCAGCGCGAACACACTGGTGCCGAGATGATTGGCAACCTTGCGGAGCCTACAGAGCTGTTCGCGGAGGAGGTCCCCGTGGAGGAGGCGACTGCCGGTGAAGGCACCAAGGTCGTCAATGTGTTCCACTACTGGAGAGAACCCACACGGACGCACGGTGTACCTTGCAAGTTTGTGTTGCTCGAGGTAAGTTGACTGGCGCAGCACAGTGCCATTGCTGACCGTCTACATCAGGGAGAGCCATTCTTGGAAACCAAGCTCAGGCTGCAGAAGCGCCTTGGTGTCTCTGAAAAGGAATTCTCCAAGTTCAAGTTCTCTCTTGTCACCTCGACAGTGTTCAAGCAGCCCTCAATCGTTGAAGAGAGTATGTCCATATCCCTTTCCCGCCGGAGCGGTCTTTCAAGATCAAGATGCAGTGTTGACCCGTGTGCTGACTCGTAGTTGAAATAGACGACACCATCTACGACCACAAATGGGCGCAAGATGATGCTCTTGGTCTTGACCACGTCGACAAGCGGCCAAGCAAGAGCTCTGGTGAGAAGGGTATCGTCATGAGATGATCGTGCGGACTTTGCGTGGATTGAGGGGGAGTATGGAAGACCCAGGCAACTCTAACGGGGAGCCTGGTGAGAAGCAGTAAAAGCAAAGAAGAATCTTGAAGGTGTAAGAAGAGGGGAAGCTCTCTCGAGTTGTGATCTAACATTCTGTTTCTGTTCTATCAAGTATGGCTAAGCTTCCTTTCTCTTTCCTGCCACGATCTTATACCCACTCTCAAGCATACATAAAATAGTATTCGAGTTCATCATCTCATCTCAATTGGCCGCGAGAGGGACTTTTGTCGCTCTCCAACATATCCGACCTACAAATGGTAGAGCAGCGTTTTCGTACCTTCAATCTTTTCGGTAGATCTTGAAATGTCTCTTTGTATGAATTTTCACCGTCATAGCATCGGAAGACCAGTAAGCACATCACGGGACCATATGCCGAGGGTTGCTAGGTGGATCAAACTGAAGCCGTCTCGTTCGTCGAGCTGTTTCCTTGGTGCGCGCGTGATTGTGTTCAATCGTCCGTCTTTACATTCTCTGCCTTGCGCTCGCCTACTGCCTCCCCGCCTCGCCTCCCCTTTCCCACCCAATGCCCTTACCCTACGGAAGACCATGGCTCCTCGAGATCTCCGACCAGCCATGGTGCCCGCCCTATCTTCGGGATCCTGTGCGCGACATGCTCACCTTTCTCTGGACACACCGCGTTCCGCCCTTCCAACATCGAGCGCCCTATGAGGGGGCTGTGGAAGTCTTGAATCAAGTGGTGGATGAGATCGAGACGTATGACAGGGACAACGGAATTCGTGGGGAGACGATGCGCATTGTGGATTTTGGGAGTGGTGCAGGGGGGCCGGTGAGGAAAGTTGAAGCTGCCTTGAAGTGAGCTCGAAAGTGTGCTGTGGTGGACGTTGCCGGCTGATACACGAGGCTTTTGTAGCGAGCGTCGATTAGCAGACAACAATACACCAGTACCAGTCTCTCTCTCAGACATCCATCCAGTCCCGTCCGCCATCTCAGATTCCACCAGCCCCACGCTGTCCTATATTCATGAGCCTGTCAACGCTTTTCATGCTCCCAAATCCGTGTCGTCCCTCAAACATCTGCGGACGTTCTTCCTGAGCTTTCACCATTTCAATAACGATCATGGACGGCAAATCATTGCCGATTCGATGCGGAGCGCCGAAGCATTATGGTGAGCTTTGCAGTTATCGTTTGTCAGGCGGTGGGATACTGACAGCATTTATAGTATATTCGAGCTGCAAGAGTGCAATCTGGGCAGCGCTATCATGATTTTGATGTTGGCGCCTTTGACTTGGATACTGACGCCTCTGCTGCGTCCCAGTGCCAGTGAGCTCAGAGCTTTTGTCTTGCCACCATTCGCTAAAGCCGTCTATCGCAGAGACACTCTTCTTCACATACTTGATCCCCCTCATCCCTCTTATTCTCGTCTTCGACGGCCTCGTCTCCGTCTACCGTACCCGAACACCCAAACAGATCCTCTACCTCGCCAAGCTCGCCAACCTCAGTCTCGCTCTTGAAGGAGAAGCCAAAGACAATGGTGATACAGATTGGCGCTGGGAGTATGGATACAAGCGGCATACTTGGCCATTTGGGAGACTGTCTTGGGTGGTGGGTCGGAGAGATAGGAGGGATGATCCGGGGGCTACAGAGACGGAGACGGAGACGGAGGGCGAATGGTCAGAGGCGGAGACTGGACATGATATGTAGGAGCAATAGCGAGTGTTCTTAGGCTCGAGTTGTACGCATGGTCACTTGTGAATCCCAATGGGGCCCAATGGCTCTTGGGCATGTATGATATCCACGCACAAGCGTATTCGAGTACCCGAGTACAAGTAGAGTACGAATGCTGTTCATCAAAGACCCTTTGTTGCCTGCGGTTGGTAGTCAGTCGGTCGGCGCGTCGCGTCGATCGCTCAGTACAAGGCTAAGAAGAAGGTTGAGCGTGACTCGTGAGGGCAAAGGCAAGATGCTAGATCATGCTAGACCTGAAGGAGCCCCCAAAAGGCCGAAAACGAGGTAAACAATGGTACATGTCCGCGATTGGTGGCCCCTTGTGCACCTCGTGAGGTTGTGATGAGATGGCCGAATCTGTCGCTAAACATGGCCATGGCCAAAGGCCGATTGCTTTCTGCACACCCAACGGAAGTACGATTGCTGCTGATACTGTACAATTGAAAGTCCTATTCCCCACGCTACTCGTACTTGGCAACCGGCATCATGTTGTTGTGATTATAGGCGGCCGCGCGGCATTCCGACGGCTGAGCGTGGCTTACATACGCACCCACCCTGGATGCAAGGACCGCGAAATTCGGCCTTCTGTGTCGTATACAACGCGTACATCTGTGTGCTCTCGTGTGTCTCGATCACCATTTGATCCGAGCTACGTCGAGCTGAATCTAAGTAGGATCTCACTAGGCTTCTACCTCGAAATTTACTGAGGTTAGAGGCCTCAGAGATCAGAGGAGAATTGAACTATAGATCTGTGCATGCCGAATGCTAGATGATGATTGGAAGCTATGGAAGTCGAAGATGATGTCAACAATAATCGGCCAGGGATTGATGATGACTGGGCTTCTCTTTCGCCTCAATCACTCTCCATAACGAACTATGTATAGCATTCGCAGCTCACAGACATTTGAGGCGTGTGAACATACCTTTTGGGGGAGGGGGGGTGGGAAAGGCCCCGAGTTGACGGGATACATACCAAGCAGCCTCTGAACTGAGTATGTACCGAGGATACCGAGGATACCGAGGATGGATACGAACACGGCTTCCAATTCGGTTCCGACAGAACCAACTGTCCGCCGGCTCATTCATGTGGTCCTCAGGTTGAACGATTTCTGGCACCGGCCTGCATCCAGACGTATAGCAGGCTCTTCACTGCACTATGCAAGCACATGGATGATCATAGGCCCATAGTTGAAGAGAGCGCGCATGTAGTATGACTGACGTTACGCTCTCGAGCCGGCTGCGATGTAATGCACTGATGGATGGCAAGTTTTGCGAGGGCTGGCATCTCCGCTACTCTACCCAGTCTTTAGCAGTCCACGTGCTTCATAGGCCTACTAACCAGAGCGCCTGTCATCCAGTCGTGCTCTTTGGCTGACTGACATGTGGTGCCGGCACTCGGTAGGCCGCCGGCCGAGGAGATATAATATGCTTCCGAGGCATTGCAGTGGGGTGCTTGGGGGCTGACGGTAGTAGTATCGGCATGCCCGCTGGCACCTGGAGCATGTGGGTCATGGATGCATGGAGGCCTGGATGGCCATGCGGAGGATGAATCGCTGCCGAGGAGGATTATTGAGCACAGGCAGCGTCAAGTCCCCCGCGGCACGCTGCTTCCGGGGGAAAAGGAACGGCGATCGCGATGACAAGTTGCGAGATGGGCATATATAACCTCCCGCGAATGCAATCCAATGGCAACCCAGAAATGCTGCCCCAGAGCCATGCCGCACCTCGCCAGCCTCCCCCGCCACATCCAGTCTCGCATCGCCTACCATACCGTCCTTGATGCCCCTAATGCCCACCCCGCTGCCCTCCTCCCCCTCCTCCTCGCATGCCGTACCCTTAACCACAATCTCACGTTTGCCCACAATCCACAGCTCTACCATGAACTGTACCTCGCCACCTTCGATTCTACGGCAATCACTCGTCGGTATGAGTGGATGCTCACCCACATCTTTACACGAGGCGTAAAGGGATACAATCTGTTCTCCGACCCGCGGCCTTGGGCGATCGACTATCGCACGCGATGGGAGTTGTGTGGGAGATGGCGTGAAGTCGCCAAGCTGGGGACGATCGACATTCCAGGCCTCTGTGGTTATGCCAGGTTCGCGGAGGACCTGTGGGATGTTTTCTTTTTGTTGAGCGAGAATGGTAAGTTGAAACCACACTCTGAACATTTTCTCGCAGCTGACCCCTCAAAGACGGAAAGAACTTGGTTTTCGTAACACAAATGTGCAGGCTTCAGGAAGTACTGAACGCACGATTCCAACGGGAACTTGCCAAAGAATCCTTAGCACCAGGCTATCCCCGTATGACCTGGGACAGATCACTTTTGACCTGGATCGGTTTACTGGGTGGTGTAGGCAAGTGATTCATCTCGTTATGAGGACATCGAATTGATGCTTTTCTTTACAGATGATCATGTGGGCGAGGCTGAATCAGCGGAGGTTGATGAGAAGATATTCATGCTCCGGCCCTACATCTTTGCAGCTGCTCAGGTGCGTAGCACAAACAGAGTAATATCCAGACAAGCGCTAAAGTCCTCGCAGTATGGCATAGGGTTTGGACCATGGAACCAAACCAAACTCCCGCTCTGCCAACCCGGCTGCACAAAGCACTCCGCCTCACCCGCCAACAGCCACGCGGTCACCTATAAACGCTTCGGTTACGCTTGGCGCCGATCGCCCCCCGACTTTATCACCGGCATCTACATCCTCTTCTTCCGTCTTCTAGAACGGCATTCGGATCGAGCTGGCACAAGGCAAGGGAACACTTCTTTCACTCACAATTCAAAGCAGCAGCAGGGAGGTGTCTTTTCTGGAAATGGTCTTCCCTTGTCAGAGATGCAAGATCTCGAGTGGCAGCGCGACACCATGTGCCAGGATCCCCACACCAGTCAAGGCCTCCCCGCTCTGGCGCTCCGTGGCAAGGTGCAAGGCTACTGGCGGGGCAAGTTCCTCTTCTACGATTACGAGCTCTACAGAGAGATGACGGAAGGCAACATGCGCCGAGTCTACACAGGCATGTTTGCAGATCAGGCGGTAGAAATGGAGTTGAAGGAGATCGTGGTGAAAGTCAGGGAAGAGGATGTTGGTGGAGACGGGCCCATGCTCGGTGCTGGATTCAAGGATCTAGATGATGTGGATGAAGAAGTCAAGGCCGTAGAAGAGGGCTATGGGCATGAGATTGTTGGTGATGATGAGCCTGTGCCGGAAGGTTGGACGAAGGAGATTTTGATTGCAGGCAGAGTAAGTCGCAGAATATTTCAGTCGGAACTATCTGACAGCTTTCCAGGGACGGGATGCTTGGGGATGGTGTAGAATACGAGGTCGCGTGAGGTCCTGGGATGGCCTTGTGATACTATGTCTAACCTATGCCGTGAGATGAATCATAACACGCCCTCGCAAACATACTAATGATACATAGCGAGTACCCGGTACAACCTGGTTATGGCGTGGGTATACTCTTCCAGGTGGCTATCTCACCGGTCGATGGCACGACACCTTTACCAACAGCACCGACTCCAAGAGCTACGAAGGCCCATTCTCTTTCATCCGTGCCGGAGACCCTTGCTATCCCCCGCACTTTCCACTACGACTCCAGGAGTCGCTCGGGGTGGACACGTTTGGCGGCGGCATGCCGAGCGCGCCGATTCCGATTGCAATCCCGAGCGAGGGGCCGGGAGGATCCAAGCCGTGGCATGCTCAGTATCCGCCTTATCCGAATATGGACGTTGAGGCTGTACCGAAACGACATGCGGTCGCGCAGGTGGAAGATGCAGATCGAGGAAAGGAAGAGACCACATCGATAATATCACCGGGAAAACCTGAGAATCAGGACAACAGTACTGTACCCCATGTAACATCCGGTGTAGTAGTATCCGCGGAAGATTCATGACGAGTCAATACAAAGCCTTACGAGTATAGCCAAAACATCAATGCATCATCATAGAGTGGATATCATCCCCGCTCATCTCGCGCCCTGTAATACTCTGTAGACATCTGCTACCAGATACAGACTCCCACATGCCACCGGTAATCTCCCTTCATCTCTAGCTCGAACCAGAGCACGATGCACACCCTTGACCCCTTTACCACCCATCACAACTGCTTGGGGTCCGACATAGCGAGAGGCAACTTGGGCCGCTTCCTCTACCGGCACAGTCTTGATCCAAGGCATGCCCTCGACTGGTGTGGTGAAATCAACGACTTCGACTTCATCTCCTGGGAGGAGGAGAGGCGCTAGCACACTCTCAACTGTCTTGCCCGGGGAAGATGAGAGAGAGAGGATAAAGCGCGTAGGCAGTCGTGGCCCTTCAACATCAAGCGAATTGAGGTACCCTCTCAGAGCGTGCGCAGAGTCCGCATTGTGAGCTCCATCGACCAGGATAGGGTAACTACGTTGCCCATCTCTCCAATCGATCCAGGAGCATCTTCCTTCCCAATGACAATTGAAGACACCCCGCTGGATGATGTGATCTGACAGACGGCCCAGAGTAGGCATAATGTCCAAAGCTCGAGCATCATTTCGAAGAGCGTGTAGGATGGCTAGCGCGGCAGACAAGTTGTCAAGCTGGTGTTTACCAGGAAGAGGCATCTGGGTATCTATGACCGAGAAACCCAGATCGCGGATGGGAGAAAGATGCGTCCTGACAGGGATTGCCGGGGGCGGACGGAAAGGATATAGTGACATTGGCGGGAGTCGCACGGAATGAATCTCCGTGGGGAGAGCATCGAAGACCCTAGCCCCTCTTGCTTCTGCAACCCCTCGAGCTACATGCGGCACCTCCTCATGCATCTGGCGGCCCACCACGAAGACGGCACCTTCGACGGCGATACTAGCCTTTTCGTGGGTGATCTTTGCTATAGTGTCGCCCAAGAGATTGGTATGGTCCAAACCGACTGTCGTCAGCGCGGAAGCCAGCGTTCGCTCCGGCGGTAGGATGTTGGTCGCATCTCGAGCGCCACCCATACCACATTCGATGATCATGACATCGACTCTGAGATCGTTGATGAGCCAGAGCGCAGCCGATGTGGCAATTTCAAAGGACGTGGCCCCGAGCTTCGAGCCGCGATTGATGCCCTCCACTATGCGATTTGCTTCCTCATACTTCTCTTTGCTAGGAGGGATCCCGTTGATCCGAATGGCATCGCGTGGCTCGAGCAGATGGGGAGAGTTATATCTGCCCACCTGAAGGCCTGCAGCCATGAAGACGGATTCAAGAAGAGCCGAGACCGAGCCCTTTCCATTGGTCCCTGACAAGTGGATGGCAGGCACGGTCAATGGCTGTAGACCTGACATGATAGTCTGCATCCTCGAAAGCCCAAGGTCGATCTTGCCAACCCCAGAGGCGTCAGATCCAACAGGGGGAGGAGGGCCCGCTTGGGAAGCCGGAGCCGCAGGGTCCTGGGCGGCAGAATTAGAGGTTCGAGGATCTGCGCTGATAGACGGTCTGCCGTTAAGAGGGAGAGAGTGATAGGGAGTGATGGCGCTATGAATGTACCCAGGATAGCCACTCTGTGAAGTCACGGGTGGGTTTCGAGGCCACGTCTGCGGCGGAGGGGGCCCTGTTGCCAACGTAGATCGCTGGGCGCCGTCATGGAACGACTGAGGTCGAGGTTGATGCCGTTGACTGGGAAGAGCGTATGACTCTAGGGAAGGTGGACATGTCATTGGATGGGGATGAACCATACGAATAGGTGCAAGTGCTTGAATATAGTGACTCGACGGAACAGGGACAGGCATGTTGGACTGTCTCTTGAACGAGTCTTCGTACCGTTGCCTACCCGATGGTGTAGGGTTAAGCATCTCGTCCATTCTCAACGGCCTTGCAAGTGCGGGCTGAGGGGTGGGGCTTGGTCGAGGTGCGTCCGTCGAGGCTGGATCAGGACGGCGAGTGTGTGTATGCGTTCGGGCTGGGGTCGTGTCAGCTAGACTCAAGGAGAGTATTTCATGACGACTCACCATACTCGTTCTCCTGCATCTTCACCTGACTCGGCCTCAGATCGATGCTAGACCATGGAAAGACGCTCCGCTCCCTTTGACTTTGATCAGACACTGTAGACTCTGATGCTCGTCAAACGACTCACCCTGCAGGAACTTGAACAGATATCTGCTCCAGCTGACCACTGATTGCAAGCAAAACATACTCCAACGACGCTCCTTCGCTCTTGATCTTGACTTTTGACCCCAGCGGAATCGACAACACCTTGTCTCGCAGTGCCTGAGCCTTTTGTTTCTCAAGCCTCTCTTTCATGTCCTGAGTCATTCGCCATCAGTAAACGCCAGTCCACGAGTCAGCTGAGGAACGTACAGGGTTATGTTGCGGACAGAGCAGTTCGACTTTGATGGGATCCTCCACCTCTGGTGTATTCACAGGTGAAGGATGAGTCGACAGTGGTGGGGGCTCGACGACCCAAACATTTAGTCGAACCGAGGCATCCACATGGGCGCACGAGACATGGAAAGCCCGAGGACACTTTCCCTGTGGCAAGATGATCAGCACAAAGCGAGACCACGTTGCCGTCCCGACGATTCAGGAAGGGCCCTTCGGACAGTCGTCTCCGAAGAGCAAAAACAGAGGGATTTACCTTGGTGCACTGTAACTTGGCGCCCATCTTCTGCATCCTTTTATCACTGCACGACGCACATTTCTATCGTTGTTGACAAGACACAGTAGCAAGAAGACATCAATGAGCTCGTCCCTATCGTGTGCAGATCGACATACGTACAAGATTCCACCTCGCCCCTTGGACATTCTCCGCTCCCACCACAAACGCCCTTACGCTCCCGTCTGCCAGCTGCATATCTTCAATACCAACGCCGGGCATGGGAAGGGCACAACTATGATGTACTGTGACGGGCCCATCGCGTGGGTACCATTTCGCTTTGACCGATTCTGGAGGAGCCCAGACTGGGAGGAGGTCTTCGACAGAAGAGCCGGGACAGAACAGGCATGGGCATGGGCATGTACGGATGTCGCGAGGTGGCACGGCTTTTGTTTCAACAGCGGGGCTAGATAACGGCAGGACCTTTTTCGGGGGACGTTTCTTTGGCGCAGGGGCAGGCCGGGGCGGGGCGACGGGTGGTTCGATAGGCAAGTCGAGCACGCTGGGAGCAGACTTGATCTTTTTGCGCGGTGTGGCCTTGTCTTCGCTGGAAGGTCTCTTCCGAGGCTTCTTGCGTTCCTCTACGATAGCCTCCAAGAGCTCTTGTTCACCTCGAAGCCGTTTTGCTTCGCTTGAAAGCATCTCATCGACGTCTATCCTTACACTGTATCGACTATGAGCACGGTCGATGATGACACTGAGGGATCTTACCTGTAGTTGACACACTGACATGCCTTTGCCCGTCTACCCAACTCAACCCAGCTCTCCAAGGCGAAATTGACACTCTCTGCGCAATTGAAACCCATGTTGAACCCCGCATGGTAGCCTCGTGGATACGTGATGACAAACTCGCCCTGATTGTGCTGTAGCATATTCACATGCAACCCTTCTTTGGCTAGGCGGTAAGGCGACACAGCAAAAGATTTGTGACGGAGGAATTGGTCGCAGGCACGAGATTCCTCGGGAAAGTAGGCTTGAAGGACGCGTTCGAATCGCTCGGCTTGTTGTTGGGGGATCGCGTACCAAAATTTAGGGGCACCGAAGTGGATGTAGTTGATTGAAAACAAGTCCATCTGATCACAAATATCAGCACACCACACAACAATGATCCGAGGAGCCTCACATCTTCAACATGCCAAGCGAAAGACGCGCCCCACATTCCGAAATATAGATAAGGGGTATTGACACCCGGCAGATGCCTCAGGTCCCACCTGTTGAGTAGGTTTGGCAGGTGGGCAACATTCCAAGGGGTGTCCTTGTCCGCAAAGAGCGTTCCTTCGGTATCTGCCCCATACCAACTAGGTTCGCCCAGCCCTAGATTCTTCCATAACCGTCTTTCGAGGGCAACACACGATTCCGGGGTGTAGTCTTCCAGCGTCGTACCCTCCGCTAGCCAGTCTCTTGTGTAATCAAAGGTACGGTAGAATGGGCGAGGTTCACCTGCCAGGGATGGATCGTCCGATTCAGGTTCTGTCGGGTTGGGGAAAAGCAGACTGGACTCTTGCTTGACAAACGTCGTTCGGTTCAAGTCTTGCCTCTTACCGCTCTCGTTCATCGCCGATTCCTCATCTGCGGCGTCCGCCTCTTTCTTCGCCTTATTCTCCCTCCTCCTCTTATTCTCCTCCTTCTTCCTCTCCTTCTCCTGCTGGATCTCCTGTTTCACCCTCGCCCGGTGTTCAATCGCCTCTTTTGAGTCCCGATTGACCGTCCTATCCAAATCTTTCGGTCCTGGTCCAGTGAACTTTTTCTCTTGACACTTGTCGAACCACTCTTCTATAGTCAAGGGCCGACGCTTGTTGCGCGCGACGTTAGCTATGCGAAATAGGCCGCCTGATCCAATCAGATTTTGCTGTATGGGCTCTTTGATCTCGACAGAAGAGAGTGTGGAGGCGGAGATGGGGGGTAGGGACTGAGTCCATTCGGTGGGGGGGATGATTTTGCAAATGCCAGAGTATTGGCCCCAGGCTGTCGTCTTGTGGGCATACCCTTCAAAGTCCTGCACACTGTTAGCAAGCATAGCGGGTTGGACTTCAAAACTTACTTTGAACTCCTCCATAGTAGGTTTGAACACCGGTATACCTCTCAGGGCGGAGGGGTCATCTTCGGGTGACAACCAGCCATCTCCAATATTCGGGATTCCACGAGCAGGCACTTCTGGTCCATTTGGGTTGTTGTTCATCGGAGAGCTATAAATTTCTGGTCAGAACCTCCGAATATTGACATATGGTCGCCTCACAAATGATCCGGCTGTATGTATTTTGGCCCGTCCTTCTGCGTTTGCCTCGGCATGTCCGAGCTGGTAGCGGCCTCCACTTGCGGCGCCGGTACGTCTTTCGGACCGTTCGCATGAGTGGACGACTCGCCGTTCTTTATCGGATGGGAGGCTGTTTGGGTGGCATTTCCAGCCTGTGGCGATTTAGCGAGGTTCTGGACAGCCTCAGTGGGCAGAGAGGGCATTGCTCTCGGCTCACTCGGCCGATTGCCCAGATCGCGTTCTCCTTGTATACCAGTCATCCCAATTGAGGGTACTGAAATCACAGAGAAGGCTGAGGTTCGTTCGCAGGAAGCTGGGGTACTATGTGCGATGGCGTGTAGCGCGTCTTGTGAATTGTCTGCTGTCGAGGGCGGAGGCGCGACAGTCGTTTCGAGTTGTGATGCGCGTTTATTGCCTGTCTCGGTGTACCGCTCAGCGGGGGACGGAGGAGTGTAGAGTTGAGACGGAAAGATAGGAGGGGAGTATTTGGAAGTATACTTGTTGTTTCTTGCCGAGTTCGTAGATAGACGAGCGGTCCGCCGGGATTTGTGGATGTCCAGCTTCCAGCGGCGATCACCGCACGAGTTGCGAAGTTGATGGAACTGATCATGACTATCGACCAGCCGGCGAGGTGTTGTCAACAAAGCCATATATATGTTTGAGTATGGTAAAGAGCATAAGATATATACATTGCAGAAGATTGATCAAGAAGCAGCTATCGTTCATGGGCGATAGTGTCATGTTCAGTCTCACGATCTTAGAGAGCAACTGTTGGTGGATGCGTCGTGCAGACAAAGAGCTTTATGTGAACAACGTTTCAAGATCATCAAGTAAGTCTCTCTGTGCCCACCCGGCGGCGACAGCATGCACCACCGCCCAACATCTCGCCAGCATCTCATCCACGCTTTCCTCCCCATCCCTCTCCTCAGCTTCGGTCAACAAACCCCAACCTCCAGCCCCCAACCGCCAATCCTCTCCCACATCACGAGCCACAACAGCCCGAACCCATCTCCAGCCAGCTACCCGCATAGCACTCCGTGCAAGATCCCGCAAGGTGGATGTTTGATTGCCTGACAGATATGGGTCGACAAGCATGAGGAGAGCGAGGATCCATCGGGCATAATGCGGAGGAAATGGGTTGGGAGGACGAGGGGGAGGAGACGTCTCTTCTCTAGTTCCCTCGCCATCTGGTTGAGTTGGAAGAAGCTCGGAGGATGCTGGAAGAGGAGGAGGTAATTGGGTTATAGCCTCTGTGAGCCAGTGTCCGAAATGGGATAATACTTGTACTGCTTGATTCTGTGACCTTGTATCAGTGATTGCACTGACGAAGCTGGACCATGAAACAACTTACAGAGTTCAGTTGCTGTAGAAGGCTGACAAGGGGTTCTCGCGGAGCTCCTTTGCTCTTCTTCCAATCATCCTCCTCTTCTACCTCTACCTCTTCAACGGCCTCGTTCATGGCTTCCTCTTCTGTCAAGGCGACTTTCTCCTTTCCTTTCCCTTTTCGCTTATCTGTTTGAGATGAAATATTGTCCATGGAATATCCGTTAACAAACATGTACCATTCCGAGCGTCGATTGGCAAGTGGTAATGGCGGGTAGTCTGAGGGATAGGGCAGTCGTGTGGCAGGTGGCCAACGTTCTGCTAGATGCTACAGCCACGTATCAGCGATGTCCATTTGGTGGTACCAGAGCTACACACTTTACGGTAGCCTTGGAAATGTATCGGAAAGGTAGCTTCCCAGCTTGACTTTGGCAGAGCCACATGTCTCTCCTTATTCTTCGCCCCCGTCTCTGCTACCACCTCAAATTCCCTCTCGGCCTCTGACACCCAGCCCTCCATTCTGGTAGAGAAAGGCAAGCTCTTATTCGCCTTGTATATCATGGCGAGATACTGAGCACCGTCTTCTGGGACCCCATTAAAGTCTGCTGGAAGATCGGCCATGGGCAGACATTGGGCTCTAGGATTTGGAGAGCCGCCGTCTTCTTGCTGTGTTGCCGACTTGGAAGTGGGTGTCGAGGGGGATGGGGTAGTGGAGATGCGGGCCCGCTTTCTTCGTGCGGCTGCTTGACCTGGGCGAGGCATTTTAGTTCATTATACGTAGTTGCAGAACATCCATGCAAGAAAGCGTCTGAAATTGTTCAAGATGTGCTATCAAGCCCCCCGCGACCAGTCACCCCAGGAACGGGGCGGACTCGAACTTCTTTACTTCGATCATCCGATTTTTCGCGAGTTACCTTGGATCCACATCTACAAATCAAAATGTCCAGCTTCGGCCACTCCTACCGCGTACACACCTACGGCGAATCACACTGCAAAAGCGTCGGCTGTATCGTCGATGGTGTCCCTCCCGTGAGTCCAGCTGGAGACAACTGCTCAATTGAAGCTTACCATCGAGATGTAGGGACTCCAATTGACGGAGGAGGACATCCAAATTCAATTGTCCAGGAGGAGGCCCGGACAGAGCGACATCACCACTGCTGTATGCGCACCTGAATAACCTAAAATCATATAGAAGCTCATATTCAATAGCGATCCGAGTACGACACTGTTCACGTTCAGTCCGGTACCGAACATGGCGTCACCCTCGGTACTCCCATCGGCCTCCTTGTCCACAACAAGGACCAGAGACCCCACGATTACGCCGAGACCGACCTTTACCCCCGTCCCTCCCATGCCGACTACACCTACCTCGCCAAGTACGGTGTCAAGGCCTCTTCCGGTGGAGGACGTGCTTCTGCGCGAGAAACCATCGGCCGTGTCGCTGCCGGTGCCATCGCCGAAAAGTACCTGAAAGAAGCTTTCGGTGTTGAAATCGTTGCTTTCGTGGCCAGTGTCGGTAAGACTGCTTTGCCTTTCGTTGACGAGGAGGATGAGGTGCTTGGAAAGCAGTACATGGACTTGGTCAACACTGTCACCAGGGAGCAAGTAGACAAGGAGATTACCCGATGCCCTCACAGGGAGACTAGCATCAAGATGGAGGAGACTATCCGAGCTGCTAAGGCCCGAGACGACTCTCTTGGTGGTTCCATCACCTGTGTCATTCGCCGCGCGCCCCTTGGTCTCGGTGAGCCGTGCTTCGACAAGCTCGAGGCTGTTCTTGCCCACGCCATGCTTTCTATCCCTTCCACCAAGTCTTTCGAGATCGGGTCCGGTATCAGGGGTACTACCTTCCCTGGATCTTCCCACAACGACCCCTTCGTGGAGGGTATCGACGCCAAGACTGGCGGCAGGAGGTTGAGGACGGAGACCAACTGGAGTGGTGGTGTTCAGGGCGGTATCTCTAACGGCGAGGACATCTACTTCCGGTAAGCCATCCTCATGACATGACTGTACTTCTTTGCTCATATCTCGACAGAGTTGGTTTCAAGCCTCCCGCGACCATCGCTCAGGAGCAGAGCACCGCTAGGTACGACGGTACTGGCGGTGTCCTTGCTGCCAAGGGCCGACACGACCCCTGTGTTGTCCCCCGAGCTGTGCCCATTGTCGAGACTATGGCAGCTATCGTCATCATGGAGTACGTTTTGTTTCATATTCTTATTGTGGCCCCGCAGCTGACTTTGGTGTAGCATGGTCCTCCAGCAGAACGCCCGTATGACTGCTGCTTCCCTCCTTCCCGATCTCACCCACCTCCCGCCCACCATGGTCCTTCCCGGTAAGAGCACCGTGAAAAAGGTTGTTGAGGGTAGCGAGAGCCTCGGACAGGTGCAGAGCCAAAAGCTTGGAGAGGAGTAAATCAGGTCACCTAGATGAGGAGTGGCATACTTAGAATCACAGCTCGCATTAGATGCATGTTCTGTCGCAAACTTTCCTGCTGTACAAGAACATGAGCTCCGAACCAATCGTATAATGATAATGCATTTTGAGCACTGTCCTAGAGGGTAACACGCGATACAACAAATAAAACAACAAAATACTTAAGATGTCAAGACTACGAAATTTATACTTGGTCGTGCACTTCTATTGCTCTATCATTTCTACGCCTGGGCTCTCAGCTTGCTCCTGAGCAGGTTCAACAACCAATCCTGGTCCCATAGCCCCACTCCTGGCAATACTTGCCTCATGACGATCTCATTGGCCATATTGGCGCCCTCCGCAGTCCCCAACCCCATATTGACATCCCGAATGCCTAGGCCCAAAGTGCCAGTAATACTCCCGCCAATGGGACCTTCTGAGCTAGAGGCCACCGAATTGACCCGACTGGGCAGGGGAGAGTTCTTTCGAACCTGAGTGGGCACAAAAGTGTTTTGTTTCAATGACGAACGACGCTGGACGCTGGCAGGATTGCCCGCGTCGACACCATCCTCTGTCTTGGGTGTGAATGAGAACCCATTAAAGAGGTTGTTGTCAAACGCCGACCCGGAAGAGGAAGCAGCGGTTGAAGACGATTGTCCTCCGGAATGAGACGGAAAATCGAATTGCACCTTGCTCGGCCTCCTCCCCGGCGCATGACCAGATTCTTCATCTGTCTCGGCCCAGATCTTCTCCATCCTCTGCCCCACTTGCACCTTCTGCGCCGTCACACAAGAGCTTTGCGCGCGGAAAAGCCCGAAAGGCAGCCATTGATCGGTAAACGTGTTGACCGCGGCGTCATAGTTGGCGTAAAAGACGATGGTGTAAGGCGGAGTATACGCAGATCGTTTCCCCAGCAGGGTGGCCGATTGTCGGCCGCCAGGAGTGAGAGGAATGAGGATGGGATGAAGACTGAGACGGGGAAGAATGTGGGTCATGTCTTCGCCCGTCAACATATCGTCCAGCATCGGAACGATAGCCCTCTCGAGTGCGGCGAGAAGCGCATTCACTCTTTGCGAGAGAGCCTGATCGGTGGCGTCGATATCGAGCTCAACATTGCGAGTAATAACACTGAGCATGGTGAGGCCTTGTAAGAGAGACAAAGCCTCGCCTATTTCCTCTGCGGTACCACTGAGGCCCTCCTCTTCCGAAGGGGGTGCTCCGAGAGTACAGATCTCGCGCATAGGCAACTGGCTTCGATTGTCCTTCTCCAGCAAGATTCGCAGTCCGTCAAACGGGGTAGCCTGCACGACGGCGACTCCCGCGTAAAGTTTTCCGGGCTGGATAGTGCAGTGAACAGTCGAGTCACAGAACGTTCTGATGTCACCGAGGAGGGGCATGATGTGGTCGTACGGCACAGAGAGCGTCCTGTGCAGCGCGCTTGCAACAGCGGCAGGCTCGGCGAACATGAAGTGTCGCGATTGAAGGTCAAACCTTTCTGCTGCAGAGGTGACACGTCGCACCAAGAAGATCAACTGACCCTTGGAGACAGTATCTTCGCTATTCTCAAGCTTTACCCATCCGCTAGAATTGAGTCAGCACATTGATCTCTCATGAGGCTATTATATCTTACGTAGTGAGGATTTGGTCGTACAAGACACCCAATCTGGTGATACCATTCATCTGGCCCGTCAACCGCAACGCCAATTGCCCCGCACTGATGGAAAACTTTTCCAGGAATTTGGTGATGCTGATTGGCACCGCTCTGCTGCCTGTGGCAGTGGTAGTGGTGTTGGAAGTCCCCATAGATCCTCGACGGATATCGGCCAGTGTGGCAGCAAAGGCATTTTCAGACTGTGTCTGACTCTTGCCGTCGATGGAACCGGATGCGCTCATGTGGGAGCCCGCGGGGCTCTTCCACAACCACGATAACCTTAACGCCGAAACAAAAGCCTCATGGCCCGTACTCAAATCCAGCCCCAGCACTGTTGAATCGGAAGTCATGCTCTGGATGAACGACGCTTTTCCACTAGACGAGTGTACACCACCAGACAGATTAGCGATATCGCACATGGGCAGCATACCATCTGTCGAGCTGACCAGGATACGGTCGCGGTCGTCAAACATGACTGACGCAACAACGACACGTCGGCGACGGGCTTGTTCGCGGCGTTGGTGAAGAGAGTGGAGGACGAAAAAGACGGCGCATGCGATACAGGCCGAGAAAGCGAGGGCGGCGACGACGCCGGTGATGGCGGCATTGGTTCCAGTGAGTTGAGCGTGCTTTGAAGTTCCCCTGTCTCTGGGCCAAGCATATATCGTCCCCATCATGCCTGCCAAGAGGTTAATATCGGGAGAGATGGATTGTGTGCTGGACGTACCACAGAAGTGCATGGCACAGACAGCAACAGCCAAAATGAGCGCCACAAGTATCTTGGACCACCAAGTATGCTTGAGCTTTGGTCGAAGCATGATGAACATGATGTAAAGCGCGATGATCACGGCGCCACAGGCAATGACAACCGATCCGACCACATATCCCGGTCTATAGGCAACGTATGGGATGCCAACGATAGACGCTTGTCCGATGTAGTCTGTAGACAAGTCAGGAATATTCACGAGGCATCAGAAACAAACGTACGCATCCCAACAACGCCAAACCCAGCAACAGCCCCAGTCACAAAGATCTTGATGACTTCTCCCAAAGTGACAACGTCAAACCCCAGAATCACACCAAGCTTTCCCCAGACACCATTTTTATCCACCATCTTGGTCTTCTTCTTTTTGATATAGCCATTGTAGTCTGACTTTTCGTGGTTCAACTCTGTGACATCGTCCTCCAAAGACCCTTTCCCTTCGTCTTCAGACTGTGAGCCCTGCGAGGCATGAGATTGATCGAGGCTGGTAGAGAGGTTGGGGTCTACATCGCCCTCTGGAAGAGATTGGATACGGGCAAGATCGGTGTGTCCGGGAAAGGGACGCTCAATCCTTTGTGAAGGAAGCATATCTGTGGGGAGGGACGATCGACGCCATTCCAGACGAGCGGATGTGGGAAAGGAGTTGTCGGGGGACGCGGGCCGCAGAGGCCCAGGATCTTCGTGATGGGTTTGTGAAAAGGTGGAAGGAGGGAAGTTGAAGCCGGGTGTAAAGATTGCAGAGCCGCGTCGCGAAGATGGCGCTTGGCAAGCAAAGTCGTGGGCAAGGATGATAGAGGGCCTTCTTGAAGGCGGGTGACAGTCGTCTTGGGTGTCTTCTCTGTCACCATTCGCCCTCTTGGCCAATTCTCTCTCTACCGCCACTTTCCCCAATCTAAACTCCAGCTCCCGAAGATCCTTATCTCTCTCGCCATACATGTTGCCCATATCATCTTTCCATCCTGACCGGATTCGGGATCCGAAAATCATTCTGTCTTTGATTGAGGGCCGCTGGGAAGCGCCCTCCGGTTCGAGCGCAGACCAATTGGACTGACTGCCACCTCGAGCAAAAATCCCAGGCCCAATCGTCCCTCTGCGCAGCACTTTCCGATGGGTAGACTTCCACTCTCTGTATTCGTCCGCATCGGCCTTTCCGATACTCGCTCTGTTGTCTGATCCCCTCTTAATTCTGCCCCAACTACTCTTCCTCGCACTGTTCTTGAATGACCAGTCGCTAAACTTTGTGCCCATCACATAGAAAGCGAATGTCATGGCGAGACACGAGACCACCAGCGACAGCACAGTGAAGCCTGCATTGTAGGCGAGGTAGATATTGGGGTATTCGGAGTGGAGGGGGTGTTTGAGTACGAGCGCGTTGTTGAAGATAAAGTGCATCGCAAAGGTGGAGACTGCACCAAAGCAGATACCCGCAGCAGTGAGCAGCACTTGGTTACGCCAACCGCTGTTGGTCGTCCGCCGTATCAGCAGCTCCAGCGTACACAGGGAGCCCACAAAGGCTATCGCGTACGACAGGAAGATGTAGCCCGGTGTCAAATGCTGGTGGAGTTTGATATAGTTTTCTGGTAGGCGATAGGCTTGCGATGATGGATCGTATAGAGCGACGTCTAGGATCGGCCCCGTGACATTCGTTCTCCGCGCCAGTGACTCTCCTGCAGCAGAAAAGAGGTGCACCAGGGGAAACGAGCCCATAGATGGTGGGGACGGAAGATTGGGCGGGAGGAGGTCCGCGATGGATGAAGGCGATATTCGTAATCTTGGGCGAGTCTGGGAGTCGATAGGTATGGGGTTTGCGGCGACCATAGGGACCACCATGGCAAACACGAACATGGCAGCCGAACTAGGCATCTGTCGCCTCGACGACCGAGGCGGCGGTCTAGCAGGGAGTGCAGTGGAGGGGGGTGTCGGCTCGGAGGGGGTCGATGAAGAGGCAATGGAGTTGCCAAACATCTTGTCGAAGACACCCGAAAGGGGATAGGAGCTGAGAACGCGCTCTGCGCTGGTGATTCAAGGGGCAGTATGGCGTGTCGAGTGGTGGTGAGTCTGTAAAGGGCGAAGGAAAAGTTGTTGAGAAACGAGTGGAGGTCGCTGGTGATGGCGAGGGGCGCGAAAAATTAATGAGACAGCGAACAGCGAAGGGGCGCTGGCAAAGCGAACAAGAAGGTGTAGTACCAAAAGACAGAAATATTAAAGACAGATAGAAATATTTGCTTCTCAATAAGGAGCCTGGAGCGCCGCGATCCGTAGCTCGATTACACGGGTACATGATCGAAGGGTCCATGGCTAGACAGCTCGTTCCTCCCCCTCCTCTTGGTAGATTGCAACCATGCCTGGTGTGCATAGCACGGCTCCCGTCCGGGGAAAAGCACCCCCCATCGGGCCATCCATAGGACCAAATGAATAATTCCGACACCTTCAAGGGACTCGGCATAAGCTTCGAGCTCGGGTTCAGGAGATTTAATTTACCGCGTGCCTTGGCTTCTTTTTTGCACAATTTTCACGGGGTACGGGTGCGAGGCGTTATCCTGCATATGCTGCATCCCTGACCACCCAAAACTTCCGTCACTCCCGGCTCCGAACAGATCCCGATGCCATGTTGGCCGATCTCTTGTCATCCTCCTATTCTTTTAGGACCTTCAGATTATCTATACGTATCTATATAGACAGATCCTTGCGACTATTTTACAACCAACGACTGTTCGAGCTTCTTCTCTAGAAGCCGATAAATCTTGATTCTTCTCTAGAATCCCATGTCACCCAAATTGCCGCCCACGCCCCTCACCCCATTCCTCTTCTGTCTGCTTCCACTACTAGCGCGGGGATCCTCCGAGTCTTCAGCGTCCATTAGCTGATCGAACTCCGCGCCCTTGTTGGTTCCCTTTTTGCCGCTCAAGTCGGACGATTGAGCAGCCTTTTGCAAAGTCGTCAGCGAGGTGGCTTGGCATTTGTGGACATTGCAATTACCTTTTGAAGATATCCCTTACTGGTTCCCAAGGCTTGACCGCCCTTCACAAGCTCCTTCTCAAACAACACCGACAGCTGGTTCGCCCGGTGGAGCTCCTCCAGAGATTCTGAAGTGATCCAAGTCTTGGAGGCAGTGCTGAAATTGATGATGGCTTCGGCATTCGACTCTGGATTCGAGGGAGAGGGTGTGAGGGTGGCCTCAATCTCGCCCGACCGGACCTATAGCTCTGGTGAGTCTACTGATACGCAAGTTCAACAATCAACTCACCATTCCATCCAAGGTATACATGACCTCCTCCACATTAGGTGCTTCGCCTGAGACTCTCATGCGATCCACGAGCTGCTCCACTGTCAGGCGAGAGTAAGTGGAGCGGCGTCGGAGGATCATGTGACGGTAGATGTTGTTGAGAGCGAGGTCTGCGAGTCCTCGATTGCAATCCTGCACATTGTCAGCATGGGCCGTATATATCGGGAAAAATCGAGTGTACTCACCTTCTCAAAGTCCGGGTGCGCGGCCGCTTTGCGGGCATTCTTCCAGTTTCTTCCATCGTACTCTTTTGCCAGCTCATTGTAGGGGACCATAGATTTGTCTAGCACCCGGCTCACAGCGACAGGAGTGTACTTTGGCAGAGACAGTTTCTATAGATCGAGTCAGCCATAGATGTGGGATCAGAAGGTCGCAAGGACGCACTTTGCCGGTCGTAATCAGCTCGCAGAGGATAGCTCGCTTGGCACATGCGATTTGAATAGCAGAAGCAGTGTGCGTCGGGAGAGTGACAGCCTGCAGCAAGGTAAGCTTTGTACTCTCGCCGAGAACAACGCACCATCACAAAGTGGCGCTTGGCCAATTTGAAATCACCCAGAGCAACGGCAACTGTCCCAGCGTGGTGATAGTAGGTCAAAAAGTCAAGGTACTTTGGCGCGCACTGCAAGGCATCAGCAGTGGCTGCATGGTGGCTATAGAGTCCACTTACAGTGGTGACGTCCAGGAAGATCTGATCGAGAACGTATGGGGCGTGGTCGTATTTTCGAGTCAGAAGACAAGCTTCCAAGAGAGCGCCAAAGGTTGCGGAAAATGTGTTGCGGTATGCGAGTTTCTCGACGAGTATGGCGAGAGCTGAGAGGGCTTCGTTGACCTGATGATGTCGTCAGCTTTGACCGAGACGACTCGCACTTGGAGATCCAACGCACCCTGTCCAGATGTTGAGCAAGGCGCAAGAGCTCCCAGGCGAAGAAACCAACTGAGTCTTATCAGCGCTGACCTCTTCAACATACTTGATCAAGTGCTTACCCCGGGAAGGAGCGGCATGAAGCGCGGCGGGCTCGGCAAGAGCACAGACAGTGATGGAGAACTCGAACATTCTATCGTTATACACTGTCGGTTCCTTCTTGCCCAAATACATTCTCGAGGACCTGTGCATGTCAAATAAGACGACGTTGGACAACAGCGCTAGAGCACTCACAAGATGAAGACCAGAGCTCCGGCAGCATTCTTCAGCACCTCGTCGTCAATGCCATAGAGGTTATCTCCCATAGAGTACAATGTCAGAATATTTTCGCCCATCTTCTTCCTTTCGATTGGCTTGAGGTTGGCCCCTTCAAATGGCTTTCCATCGGCAACTTTGGCCAGAAGCGGGATGGTGGTGGAGAGTATCTGACGGGGCGGAAGATTGAGGAGAGAGATGATGTCTGTCTCTGTGGTGGGCAGCTTGTTGAGGGGTGGAGCTGGAGGGAATGCGGGGTGAGCGTGAGATGGGGGTGCGGACGATGAGGCAGACGCAGACGCTTTGGTGGAAGTCTGGGCCGGGGCGGGCTGCTGAGCGGCTGTGGGCTGCTCGTTCCCAGGCTGCTCTGGGGCAGTGTTGGAAGGCGGGGGCGGTCCTGCAGCCGGCTTGTTAGTGAACTCGGGCATTTTGGTTTTGTATAGCTGGTTGAGCTTTCGATAGATGATTTCAGTGGCATTCAGAGCACCCGCCGTCATTCCGTACAGGCGTGCAACGACGCGAACCTATGCGGAGTTCGCCGCATTGCCGTAATGATAACCTTTCGGCTATTCCTGATTCCTCGGACCGGCCACATATCATCGGGCCTTCATCAAGTGGGCAAGTGGATCGCTCGACTTATATCACCCCGTGCATATATATATAGTAGACTAGTATACCTTGCCAGTGCCCATCTTGACTACAGTCAAAAAACCCCTCTCAGTCTGCCAGAAACACAAAGCCACAATCATGTCGGTCATCTCTACGCCTATCACGCAGTTGTGTCAGTATTTCTTCTTTAGACAAGTGTTTGTACTGACGATAGACCCAACATGTAGTCGGTATCAACCATCCTGTACTCCTCGCGTAAGCATCGTTCGTATGACCTTTAGAGAGCAAATGCTGATCAGCGAGACGCCTTTGACAATCCCTCTCGCCTGCCCTGTACTTATTGTGTCTCTATCCCCCTGACGTCGATCTCGTTCTTTGTCGATGATACCACAGGGGTATGAACGTTGCTGCAGGACCTGAGCTTGCAGCTGCAGTCTCCAATGCTGGTGGTCTCGGAGTCATCGGCGGTCTTCGATACACGTGAGCACCATCTATACCTGCGTCGCGATACCAGCTCCTGATCTTTTGCCCAGACCTACACAGCTTCGTAACGTCATCAAAGAGATCAAGGATGGCCTCAAGAGTCCCGATCTTCGTGAGTCCCCTGTGTCTCTTATAACCTGGCCTAGGTCTGGGGTGGTTACCCCGCTGATCCAGGGGCTCCCCGTCGCGTTCCTGTCTTGCACACGCCGAGCCAATATGCTGATACGTGCGACAGCTTTTGGTGTCGACCTCTTAATCCCATCTCTCGGCGAGAATGCCCGAAAGACCAACTACGACTACACTGGCGGTAAATTGAACGAGCTTATCGATGTCATCATTGAAGAAAAGGCCAAGCTCTTTGTGTGCGCAGTCGGTGTCCCGCCGAAAGAGGTCGTTGATAAGCTTCACAAGCATGGCATATTTGTGATGAACGTGAGCTTGTCCTTTCCATCATGTACTCTGGCTGAACAAGTTTCGTAGATGGTTGGGTCTCCCAAGCACGTACCCAAGGCTTTGGCTCAAGGGGTAGACATCATCTGCGCCCAGGCAAGTCTTACGGCTCAATCATCTTTCGACAATCAGCTGATACCAATCAGGGCGGAGAGGGTGGTGGACACACAGGAAGGACAGCCTTCTCAATCCTTATACCAGCCTGTGTCGATGCTTGCAAGGGCAAAAAGTCTCCTCTAACAGGTGGACCTGTAAGTCTTTCATTACCGTGAGACGAGTATATTTATGCTGAGCTGTTTGCAGGTGCATGTCATTGCTGCAGGTGGTATCTTTGACGGCCGTGGTCTTGCCGCTGCTCTAATGTATGGTGCTCAAGCGGTTTGGGTCGGGACCAGATTCGTAGCCAGCACGGAAGCTGGTGCACCCAAGATCCATAAGGATCTGTAAGCCTTTCTCTATCACTCTCATGATGTGCCGAGGCTGACTACTCCTAAAGCGTTGTGAGCGCCGATCATGGTGATACGGATACCACCTTGATCTACACCGGTCGCCCTCTTCGAGTCCGTCAGACAGACTACGTAAAAAGCTGGGCCTCCAGGCAAGACGAGATGTGTGTATACCGTCCAGCATCCTACAAATGCAAATACTTAACTCTTTCTCAGTGCTTCTCTGACGAAGGAGGGCAAAATCCCACACGATGTTGAGCTGGAGAAGCACCCGGAACTTAGTATGAAAGGAAGGTCGTGGCTGATGGGTGATGTTTCTGCCATGATCAAGGTGGGTCTCTCCATATCCCGAAAGTAGTTCGACGCTTACGACTGTGATGAAAGGATGTCAAACCTGCTAAGGAAATCGTGGACGATATCGTGAACGGCGCCAAGCAATGCCTTGAGCATGGCCAGAGCTTTATTCCCGGTGGCTCTACCCGAGCCAAATTGTGATCTTCGTTCTCATGTGCACTTCCGGGGAGCGTGATCTTGCAGTATCATCTCCCTATCTGTCATCCGTGGCTTTTTGTCTGTACATATACCTGTTCTGCTGAATGTATCAATGTGTCGTTCGTTTCAACTCCTAGTGACGAATGGATGGAAGAGAAACCCCACGCCTGAGAATACCAGACATCCACCACCCTTTGTTGTTCTGCGCCACTGCCGCCGACATATGAATTTGACCCATTGGGTAAAGTAGTCTTCCTAAACTTTACAACCATCATGCCGAGTGGCACCATTATATCGGCCAACGATAGCTTATCCAACAGAGACGCTTCGAACAGTCGTAGCAGCAGTAGCGTTGTTCCATCAGCGACCGATAGTAGTAGTAGTCTCTCTCAGGAAGAAGAGTCGACGTGACAGGAATTTTTGCGGAAGGAAGACACTCCTAACGCTTCTGCATCCGCGAGTAGCAGTGGCATGCGTGCTCGCCACAATAATGCTTCTGGGCAAGAATATCATCGTGCTAATGAGGTTTTGGCTTTCCGTACGTATGCTGTCTTTGGTTCTCACATGTGTGTGTGCCACTGTAGAGGGTCACATTCTTCAACAGCCTGAGCAAGGAAGAGAGGGAATTTTACGAAACCATGGGGGTCTTCTTTTCATGCGATTGAGTCACGAGTCTGAAGTTGCATTTGCAATACGTCTTCATATTACAATTGAGGCATGACTTGATGGAGGAGGTTGATAGACATGTCTTTGTGTCCGTTTTCACGGTATAGAGCAGAAGATGACGACGAGCATTTACACCGGATGATACAACATCATACATTTGGCAACTTGTACCAGTCGCTAATCTACAACACAGGGCCCTCTTCCCTCTTTCTTCATATCGAGAATTCGAAAAAAGCCACAACCATCCACCTCGCCAGATTGAGTATTGCTTTGGCATTGCCAGAAAAAGATCATATCGTCGTCAATGACGTTGTGTTTTGACTCTCGTATTGCTCTTGGTGCTTGACGTGACCGTGCTTTGGCCTTTTGATCCGCTCGTAAAACGCTGCGCCATCTGTCAGTGCTTCCCGGAGAGGATAATGGAAGGACGACATACGTTGGTACGCCGCATTTGCATACCGGCGTCCCCTCTCGTGGTCCCAAGGGCCCTGTGCCGGGTTGCGGGTGGAAATCTTGATCATCAGCTCATGCTATCCGCATGGACAACTCACCTTCTCGATAGAATCGGAATGTGATGTTAATCCTCGATGTCGACGCAGCTTGTTTGTGCTCGGCGATAGGGTTCTGGTTGATATCGAAGCGGGCCCTGTACAAGTCTATAGCCTTCTGCGTCGGTACCCTGTTCCTTCAGATCAGCCTTTGTGCCACACACAGGTATGATGGACGTACGTGTGTTTGAATCGTTCTTGACACCCTGCGTTCATCAGACAGAGCGAGTTGTGGCTCAGTGTCAGCTCGAACGTGCGAGGCGGCTTGTCGTTGACGGCAAAAGCTCGGTCCGATACAGGTGTCTCGCGGAGGCGAAACGAGCGTGTCGTTCCAAGTGATAGAGATGCGATAGTCGTATATGGCCCGAGGTCTTATCGACGTCAGTCAGTCATGATTCTGGTACAGTACGACAGCAGGCCGGTACTCACATGTTAACTGATCGGCATGCCAGCCAACCCTATACCACATGATCTCAGCAAGGCTCCAAACAATAGAGAAATGAGCTTACGAGCTTTTTGCACCATCATATCTGTTTGCGCCGCATACATTAGCCCTCCATCTGCCAGCCCATTCAAGAGGATAACGCTGTCTTTGTTGCAAATGCTCGTTGACGATATTCTCCACGAGGAAAGAAGCTTCTTCCAACTCGGGAAAGTAGCTCTAGGATCCTCATGAGCACCTGCCAATTTCGACACCCTTGCACTCACCTTTGCCGGACCCTGTTCCATCCCAGAATAAAAGTATCTCCCGTTGCCATACCCTCCCTCTCTTCTTGCATAGAAGCTTGTCGTGTGAGGACTTTTTGCCGCTTTGCCGGCAATGTAGAAGCGGTTGTGGTCCCATTTTTCCGACTCCTCCATCATCAACAGATACAGTGCGGACGCAAGAGATGGCGGTAGTGGCTGTGCAAAGACGGAGAGTGGCAAAGATCGGGCGTCTATTGAAGCCTGGGATGACAGGAAGATCGGGCCTTGTGGTTGCGTTCTGGGCTGCACTGATGTAAATGTGGATGACGAAGCCTGTTTGAGTAGCGAAAAGGCATTGGGAGAGGTGTCATTGGATTTGGCATGCTTTGGAGAGCTTGCTTGCGTCTTGAAAGGCTTACTGGCGGCGGTTGAGTCAACCGCTTCATTTGGCTTGCCTTTGTTGACCGTTGCGCCAGTGGGTTGGCCCAGCCAGCCTTTCAAAGTGGGATTGGCCTTCCGTTTACCAAGCACAGTAGTTGACCGGGGCATAAGCAGCTGCTCTGCGGCACTGGCAACATTCCCTTGCGAGCTTGCTAAGGCTTCGAGGTACTGATCGGTGGAAAACGAGCTGGGATCGACAAGAGACGCGAGCATGGCGATCTTCGTCTCTGTGTCGATCTCATCCCCGCTCTCAATCCCACCAGAGTGTCTGGCGGAGGTATGGCCATGACGCATGCTGCTCTTAGAAGTTGCAGTGCATGACAAGTGGATCGGGCTGACTTTTCGCCGCGGAGGACGCGTGTGGTGGAGGTCCAGGAACGGTTGTCATCGTTGATATCTATGACCCGTGCATCTGAGTTCTGTCTTCTAACCCTTGTATCTTGCGGCCACCACCGCCCTAGACTGTACCACAGCATATTCCACAGCAGGGGATGACGACCAGCTCACCCGACTTGTCAGCCTCGGCGCCGTCAAAGGAAGACCAATCCCGGCAACTTCGTCGCCCACCCTCTCAAAGTCGCCTCTCCTCGCTCATGGTGCCCGGCAGATCACGGAGCGGGTCTACAGCCTCACAGAATAGCGTGAACGTGGAAGATGGAGGTGTGACTGGAAGGATAACACCTGAAGGACGGAGAAGAGCTGGGAAGGGTACGTCTCGCAGCCCGAACTGGGCCGCCAGCTGACAGCCTCGCAGCTGCGACCACATCGCTGCTAGCCAACGATGCCAAGTACAAAAAGTTCAGGTATCAGGTAGACAAGAGCTTGCAATCGTTTGAGAGCATCAACGAATGGGCGGATTTCATATCGTTCCTCTCGAGGCTTCTCAAGGTTTGTCAATATTGACGTGTCTGCATTCCGGGACTGTACAGCTGACCCATAGGTTCATAGACTCTACAATCCCAATCTCCTCCCTACAATGAAATCCCCCGCAAATTGATTGTTGGCAAGAGGCTAGCTCAATGTCTGAATCCTGCTCTGCCATCAGGAGTTCATCAGCGCGCTCTTGATGTCTACGCATACATTTTCAGCATTATTGGCGTAGGTATCGAGAAACCTGCCAAGATCGCGCTGATCAACCTTAGGTCGATGGATTGGAACGGGATCTCACGATTTGGTCATCTGGTCTCTTCCCATTCTTCCAATATGCTGCGACATCTGTTAGGCCGTTGCTCATCAACATATACGAAACCTACTATCTTCCATTGCAAGCGAAACTACGGCCAGCGACGAAAGCATTTATACTTGCACTTCTCCCTGGGATCGAAGAGGAATCAGGCGACTTCTTTGATAAGGTGCGTTGGACACCAAGCTGGCGGTTGTGCTGACCAGAAGCAGATCCTTTTCCTTCTAGACAGGCTTTCAGAAGCTGTGACACCAACCTTCTTCCTCCAAAATACCTTCCTCATCCTCATAACATCTTCGACATCCAGGCTATCGGCTCTCAATTACCTTTCAAGACGGATGTTGAAACCGCCTGATCATCCAGAGGCGACGGTTGAGACAGGTCTATTGATCCGAGGCTTTGCCGCAGTATTGGGCGATGACAATATGCTGGTGCGGAGAAGCGGTCTAGAGCTTTTGTTGAGAGTCCTCAAGCTGGATAGCGGAGTATACAAGTACGTGGCGTGTGAGACAAATTGGATGTCAACTCACCATTCGCTTCAGGAGTGCCACCGACAAGGACAAGGAGCTCCTGATGCGAGCAGTCACCGATGTCGTTCTGCAGAAAGAGCTCTCGCTCAGTCGGCGCGTGTACACTTGGCTCCTCGGCCCAGGAGATACCCCTACAGATCAACTACAATTCTTCAAGTCTCACGGACTCGACCTCCTCGCTTCCACCGTCCTCACCGACATGCGAGAACTAGAGACTCAAAAGGATCGCTCGGATAACGAGGATGGACCGGATCTGCAGAGACCCTTTAAGGTGTTCCTCTCCCTGCTGGATAAATGGGAAGTGGGGGTTGCATTGTCCCAGAAGGTGACCATAAATGCGTTGCGTATCGTCAGGCGGGCGCAACTGGAGGGCACACCGGGCGCGTCTGACACTGCCAGTGCGCTGTACGATGCTGTAGAGCCCACAGTGATCTGGAAGGATCTCAGCACGGCAGTCATTGATGAAGTTTCCGGAGGAGAAGCGCACGACCTGGAGCTGGTTTTATGGCTTCTGCGTAATGTACCTCAGACCGACGAAGAGGTGACCAACATCCATGTACCGAGTCTATTACAATGCCTCCTTGCAGGGATACGGGTAAGCTCTTCTGTTTGAAGCAGACGCAAGTGAGCTAAAGACATAGCAGAACCACACCGTGGCAGAGGATCGAAAGAATGCCGCTCTGTCTCTGGCCGTTCATTTGATCGAGACTGTACCTACCACCATCCTCACTCGCTCGAGCACTACCATTGACCGGGCATCGGACTCCCCCCCTGTCTCTCAAGCTCTCTATTCTGCGGATCGGCTGCCCGAGACCATCGAGTCGCGAATACAAGCAGAGACCTTGCCCTCCATTGTTCACGACGCGTTTGCTATCAACATGTCGGCTATCGACGCCACAGACACCACCTTCTTACTGAACTCGCTAAGACTAGTTTCTGTACTCATCGAGAGCGAGACGCCCTCATTGGCTCTGGTAGACGGGTCGAGCTGGCTGAGCGCAGTGGTTCGCGGTCTGAACAAGGTCAGCACGTTTGTAGTGGTTGAATTACTGGTATGTGTAGCTTTGAAAGCTGGCAGATGTGCCTTCATACAACCGCCGTTGGACTTGACATCAGAAACAAACATGTTTGCCTTCCTGGACTCGGTAAGCCTCGCGAGCGTCTTTGCTTTCAGCTATTGACTTCTTCCAGCTCTTCCGATACCTTCGGCCATCCGCATCGTTATACCACTCAAGGGCTGTCGAGCTGCTATGGGATCTCAACCAGCTGGCAGAGATACATACACTGGAGAATGTGATCGCGAGAAGGATGGCGCAAAGACCGTTCAACAGCTCTGCATTCGAGGCCTTTGGTGTTTTCTGGCGGCTTACAGGTGAATGTGTCAGCCATACGTGTCTGCAGTCCGCTGACATGTTGTAGACGATTCCATGCTCCCCGGAGAAATCTTTAATGTGCCGATATGCGCCGTCCTCGACAGTCTCAAGAGCTCCGACCCCAATGTACAACGCCACGCCGAAACTTGGTTGCGCTTGAACCTTCGCTCCTATCTCAGAGTCGTTGATCCCATCATGAGCCGTTTGATAGACCCTGTAATCAAGTACAACTCTTCAAAAGGTGTATACGACGGCCCAGTCGATTTGGGTAGGATCACATACTACATTGAAGCTATCGCAACTCTCTTCCAGTTTGGCGGTCAGGGGCTGAGCAAGACGTTTGCGGCTGAAGAGTTTAGATCCTCGCTCCATTCCACATTTGTCCATCGAGCCGAGGGACAGTTTTCAGAGATCAAAACGTATCTAGAGCTGTTGGTGATGATCTTGATCAGGTTAGTCCCCCAGCATCTGTTGCCGCTCGAGCTCACGACTTGTAGATTTCTAGAGACCGAGGAAGATTCGAAGAGGGGGAACACTCAACCGCTTGTGGTTCGCCTCCAGGGTGCGGCCCTCTCGCTACTCCAAACGGTGGTATCGCGCGGCGATGTCCCTCACCCTCTATTGAACGGCCTCAAGGCCAAGCTGGTCGAGAAGCTGATATCTGCTGTGCAAAAAGGTCATCTGACACTCCAGAGCAAGATGCTGCATCTTTTGCATTCAGCTATCTACGCTTCAGCCCCACGACGCGATCCTCCTTCGCGCGTCGCGAGTCACACACACCGGCGCGCTGCCTCTTCCATCTTTGAGAAGCCTCCTCCTCTCGAGATCTCCCCAAGCGAATTTGAGTACCAGCTCGTGGTCATGATCATGCGCGGTGTCGTCACGCCTTCCAACATCCCGGTCCTACAGCATTGGGTCGATTTTGTTCTCATGACGGTGCCCACGCTGGCCAGTCGGCCTGCATTACTCCACACACTAGCCGAGTGCTTTAGTCAGGAAACACGAGAGCTAGTCCAGCGTATGAGGGATGCGCATGAGAAGGCATCGGGACATAGAGACGAAGTCATACATGACGAGACTCTGAGTGTGACGGACGCAGAAGTCGTCATGACACTGAACGCGCTGGAACGGGTGCTCACCCTTCTCGGCAACCAGGCTCTGGGAAGAGCAGACGAGACACCGAATCCCCAAACCGAGAGCGGCAGCAGAATTCTAGGCCTGGTATCAAATGTCTTTACTGTCGAGGCACCTTCTATCGACCCCAAGGCGGAATCTCCACGATACCTGGACGACGCTATACATGCTCTTTTGGTTACATGGTCGGCCACTCTGCCACCACAAACCTTGGATGCCCCCAACTACGCACCTTATGAGGTGATACATTCCAGGGCAAAGCGGGTGCTGGAAAAAGTTTTCACGGTCCAACCGCTGGCAGTGATGTCGAGTTGTGTCCATGTGTGGTCTTTGTGCTCTGAACAGGTATCAGACACGGCCATTTTCGACTGTATCGATGCCCTCACCCCCAGCGCGCAAAAGGTGCTGGAACTGACGTGTGAGCTGGCTTCTGGCAAGACTGGGCGTATGATCCCGGACTACAGGTACGTCCCTCGCATAAGTTCTCTGCAGAAACTGACTTTCATCAGGGTCGACCCGTCATATCTAGCGTTCTTGGAGGCCTATGTCTCTCGGTTGGAGGCTCCAATTGCCGTGCAAATATGGTCGACTTTGTTTAGCTTTGCTCGTGATGTTGCTGGGGGCGTCACTTCAAGCTCGTCTCGGGCACAGCTCTATCCCACTTTACAGTGCGTTCTGCTCTATGCTGGTAAACCAAAACTAACGCCTCTCAGGTGTCTGACCAATGTGTGTCTGACCATCTCAAAAACGACAGCTTTGGAAGACCGCCGGCTGCGGCGTGATGTGCAGGACATTTATGTCAAGCTTCTCGACCTGGTAGTATCGAACGTTTCAAAGATTGCAGAAGGCGGTATATGGGACAGAACGACAATGGCGAAGGAGGACAGCGAGGAGGACACGAACGTGGAGAAGGGGCTCGAGCAGGTGAGTAACACCAGCTGCATAAGGAGCATGCTAACATCAGGCAGATCGTTGACTATCTATCTTCAACCATCATACCTAATCTGCGAGCACTCTTAGTGGAGGCTGATAGAGTCAATTCTGCTTGCAGCGATATAGCAGTCAGCATCGTCGCCCCCGCTTTCCGACAGCAAAAGTTGGTACCCTCTCGGTGATTGGAAATGCGCTGATCCTCTTTCCCAGAGTCGATGTCCCCATCTTACGCCTCGTCCTTCAACTATCCTACATCCCCTCAGCGACCAAAACCTGGCGTTCTTACATCTCCGATTCCTTTGGTGACTCTCGCCTTTTCAAGACGAAGCCTCCAATCGAAGTGGCATACTGGAAAGCGCTCGTTCTTGCCCTTTTCGAAGCAGACAAGGAACGCTTCCCCGACCTGCTATCCCGCATCACCTCGACATCTTCAGCCAACATCAACATATTCACGAATAGAGAACAAGAGATGCTGGTCAAGTGCGGGAACCTGCGGAGACTGAGTTTGTTGTTGCTGTCGGCTGAACGTAATCACTATCTAGGGCAACTACCGGGTATCCAAGAGCGTTTGGTAGAGATGTTGAGGTCGAGCAGCCTATCTGCAAGAGTACACTCTGATGTGAGTATCCTTGTATCCAGTCAATGGTGCGATATCTGACATGCTACTAGGTCTATCTTTGTCTGAGAATACTCATGTGCAGAATCAACCCGCAACATCTTGCCAACTTTTGGCCTGTCATCCTCGCTGAACTGGTAGGAACCCACTAAGCATAGGGAATATCGCTGACGGGTCACAGTTACGTATATTTGAACAAACACTGGACGATCCCCCGGAGAACAACTCGGAGGACCTGCAGCTGGTACTTGCAGCGTGTAAATTCCTCGACTTGCTCCTCGTCATTCAGTCGGAAGACTTTCAGATGCAAGTATTCTCACCTCTCGAGCGAGCTATGCTAATCATCGTTTAGCCACCAATGGATGTTTGTCACTGATACCACCGACGCCGCCTACCCCCCAGAAGGATTCGTCCCCGAATCCATCATGGACCGCCTCGCCGACGTCCTCTCCGAACTCGACAATAAACCCTCACCCAATCTGTCGCAAGAAGAATTGCCCCCCCTGGCATCTCCCACCACCCAAGGCCCTGCTCCTCTCCGGCGTCCCCGTCTTTCTGGGGTCAAGACTATGACGAGCTTGCACCAGCTTCAGCCGTTCTTGGCGCGGGCGAGTATGGACACGTTTGAGAGTGTGTATGGCGATTATGGGGTGGATTGGGATGGGATTGAGGAGAGTCTGACGGGGGAGATTTTTGATGCTTGATAGTCCTGAACATTTGATCTCATCAATGTTCGCATTTCGTAGATACGATTGATATGGATATTGTTTTCATTGCACTATGCTACATCTTCCCACACTCACCCTAGACTACACGAAGAGGGTCGGCATCAGCCTTGCTGACCAGCACTTCCCATTTCGCGCCACTGCTGGCATCCTCGTCACTGGCAGCCTCCTTGTCCAGCTCGTCTTGAAGCCAGGGTTTGAGCACGGCAGAAAGGTATCCTCGCTCCGTGTTGGTATGGTTGGTGAGGATGACGGATGTACCGGAAGCCACATATGCAAGTACCTCGTGCTGCAAACACTCGTCAGTCAACACTCCCATGGAAGCGAGACGACCCACATGAGACATCTCCCCGGTAATAAGGAGCTTTGCATCAACGCCTTTAAACACACTTCCACCCGACCCAGCGCAAACAGCCAGGCTGGTCACGGGCTGGACGACCGCCGGTTCCGCGAGCTGGACGTATTTGAGACCCAGGTGAGATTTGACCATCCTGACGGCCTCGCGGACGTCGAGTGGAGAAGAGAGCTCGGCATAGCCGCCCATGCCGGCGCCTTCAAAGCCTTCAGGAGGAGATGCTGTGGGTGTGATGGCACGATGAGAGGAAGAGAGGGGGAGGAAGGGTTGGAGGAGCCTACAACAATCGTCAGTAACGGTTATTTGAAGATAGAGCGACTTGCCAGTTGTTGATACCATTAGGTGTAGCGTCCAAACTGGTATGAGGAGAAAAGACAGAGATGCCCTTGGCTGCCAACTTGAGCAGCGAAGCCTGGATGGGGTCGGACAATGTGACCGACTTGAGCCCACGGAATATTGGAGGGTGGTAGGCGATGATCACAGAGAGAGAAGGCAAAGCAAGAGCTTCTGCGCAGACCGAGGCTGTGAGGCTGGAGCAGAGTGAGCAATGTGCTGAGCGCAGGTGTAGCTTACTCGATGGTCAGGAGCACCTGTCGGTTGGCAGAGTTGGGATAAGGCGCCTCTTTGAGCCTGTCAGTATCTGGCCTTGGATCAAATATCGCACGAACCGATGATGGGACCGACCTGTTCAGACATCAGCACAAGTCATAGGGGAGTGGACAACGAACATTATCCCAAGCCCGCTCTGCAAGCTGCAACGGGGCGATTCGTTCCCAGACCCTCTTGATGAGGGCGAGCTGGTTCACTGCTGGTGTCATTCCTCCCATTTTTGCAAGCTCAAGGTATAGTCTACTCGAGATGGGCTGCGATGAAAGAGGTCATAGGGGTCGTGGAGATGGCCGCCCACTTTGCGGCGTTAACCCGACCAGGGCCAGGCACGGGTGTTTGTCGGATCTCCCACTTCAAGATTCAGCCACTACTCCTACCATTCAGATCCTCGAATTGTCTTGCATCCACTCTTCACCATTATTGGATACTCCTATCACCCCCTAACTATACTTCAATCCAGCGTCAGTATGGAGCCAAGTCCCTCTACAAGCCACGCCAAGCCGCATGTCCCACAGGCAAAGCAACCGTGGTACAAACAACTCAGCTTTCAGAAATCCAAAAAGGTCTTTTGGAGGTATGCCCCTTCTCCACAATATCAACAAACACAATCCTGACATCCATCCTAGACACCTGCAATTCGTCGGACCAGGATTGGTGTCAAGTGTAGCCTATATCGACCCAGGTAAGGCCGCCGTGTGAACTCTGCGGCCCTTTCTGACGGTAGATCTCAGGTAACTGGGCGACGGATCTCGAGGCCGGGGCCGATTATGGCTACAAGCTGCTCTTTGTAGTGCTTATGGCTGGTCTCGCTGCTGTCGGTAAGTACCCTCCCCGTCGTGTCGTCATCAACTGACAGCTCTCGCCTAGTGCTCCAGCTGTTATCCGTCCGGCTGGGCACTACCACCGGTCTGTCCCTGCCCGCCCAAACACGTATCCTGTTCTTGCGGCTCAAGGAGAGGTACCCCAAATACCGTATTCCCCTGACGATAGGGTTGTGGTCGCTCTACCTTTTGGCCGAGCTTGCCATCATCGCGACCGACTTGGCAGAACTTCTCGGTAGTGCTATCGCTTTGCACCTGTACGTTCATATACTACATCACATGAGGAAGCTGACAGTAGACAGACTCTTCCCGAAACTACCGCTGTTTGCGGGCGTCATCATCACCGCCGTGGACGTCCTCGTAGTCTTGCTCTTTTTCAGATCATCATCCGGGAGGCAGGGTATGATGTTTTTCGAATTCGTCATTGTAGCTCTTGTGAGTATCCATCATCATTTCAGACCTGTGCTGACCAATGAATAGGTGCTGGCAGTGTTCATTAGTTTCATGATCCTGCTCAAACTGATCCATCCCGTATGGAAAGACGTCTTCTTCGGTCTTGTACCTTCCCACGCAAGTCTCTTCCCTGCCATGTGTCACAGCCGCTCATGTTGTTACAGACCCTCGTCAAACCAGGCGCTCTCTACATTGGAGTCGGTATCATCGGAGGTGAGCCCTCACATGTCGCATGGTGGTGTGATGACTGATCTGTACCAGCCACTGTCATGCCCCACGCCCTTTTCCTGGGTAGTTTCCTAGCCGGTGTCGACCGACTCAATATGGTGCCCACCCCTCCCACCAAAAAGGTCCTCAAAAACATCCCCATGCCCTCCCTCAATCCCTTCCGCCGGAACCGGTCCCCCAGCCCGGCGGATAGCGAGCTCGGCGCCGGTCCATCTTGCCTCTCCCGGACAGCCCCCAACACCAACACCAACATCCCCGAAGAGTCGCCCGAGCTGGGTACGGTGAAGGATGTGGATCTGGTGGTGGAGGATAGTGGGATGGGTAAGGAGGATGAGGCGTTTGCGTTGGCGCAGAGGGAGTATGAGCGAGAGGTGAGGATGTTTGATCGGATCCGATGGGTTGATCTGCATCTCTTCCATGTGACTGTGAGTCCTCTTCGTCTTGGATTGATCAGAGCTGATAAAAGCAGATTGATACGACGCTGTCGCTGTTGGGATTCGCACTTACGATCAATTCGTCCATCCTCACACTGGCCGGTGCGGCGTATTACTACAATACCGACTCTTCTGCCGAGAATGCCGCCGACCTGTTTGGCGCTTTCGCATTGATAAAGTCGTATATCGGGAATGCTGCTGCCATCATCTTTGCCCTCGCTCTTCTTTGTGTCAGTGCGGTCATGGCAAATAACGAATGACGCTCACAAAAAAATTGTAGGCGGGTCAAAGTGCGTCCATTACAGCTACACTCGCGGGCCAAGTCGTCTCTGAAGGCTTTATCAACTGGAAGACTTCTGTAAGCCCCCCCCCTTTTACCCATAACAGACACCACTGACATACCCTAGCCATTCCTGCGCCGGCTGGTGACCCGGCTGATAGGCGTCATCCCCGCCGCCATTGTCGCCGCTGCCGTCGGCGCGCAAGGTATCAACACCATGCTCGTCGCCTCCCAGGTCCTTCTCTCCATCGTGCTGCCGACCGTCATCTTTCCCCTCGTATATCTATGCTCCAAAGCAGATCTCATGACGGTGCAAGGTCCCGAAGTGGAGGATATCGAGCTGAGGAGTGTGGATACACCTGCTCTTGCTCCTAGCGCCGAGCAGGAGCCTGTGGAGAGTAGCGAAAGGACGGCCGTTGACGCGCCTACTGGGAATGATGTGGTGGAGCCAGTGTCGGAAGGGAGGAGGAGCAAGTCGTACGTGTCGCCAAAGTGGGTGACGGTCCTGGGCTATGCGTTGTTTGGACTGGTGGTGTTGGCGAATGGGTATGTGATTATCGAGCTGTGTCTTGGTAATGGATGAGCAGACTCCACTGTTGTGTATGCAAAATTGTAATCATTGAACACATGGTATGACTCATGAGTGCATGAGTGATCAACTGGCGGCTGCTAGCCTCTATAAATGACTATGCTACAGGGATCCTATTGATACAGATCGTGGTGTGGGATACAAAAAACAGGTGGGGTCATTAAAACAATGGGGCTCTGCGGAGCGTGCTCAGAGGTAGGCGGGGGCGGCACCGACGTGTTTGCCGACGTCAGAGTTGTGGGCTCGCTGGTGTTTGCGAGGCGAGGGAACGTCAGACTCGGAAGACGAGACAGAGGAGCGGCGCCTGGTCATACAGGGTCAGCAACAAAGCCAAAAAAAAAAAATCAAGGTTGAGTGACGCAAAGAGACCCAACTCACTCCATATCCTGACGGGCGTGCTCCCACATATCGCGGGTCCAATGGTAGATGCCGAGCGAGTACTTGCGCCTCGTCTTTTCAAGCACCTCGGGAGACTCTGCAGCGTCCTTGTCTGGGAAAGAGCGTCAGCGTGCGAAATATGGATGTGGTAAGGCGGCGTACAGTCGATAGAGTGGGTGGGGGACGGCTTGAGGACCTGGGGCTTGGCGTCGAGGCCGGCGTCGTTTTGCTCGGCGGGGGGAGTGTAGGGGGTGGCAGTGGTCATGGTGGGCAGTGGTGGTAAGGAAAGGAAAGTTGAGCGAGGCAGCGTATATATATGTGCCCAGCGCGGGGTCTGTGCGGGGTGGCCCCACGCGTCGTCATTAACGGTGGATGGGTGATCGATAAGGGTGTTATCTAGATTCTAGGCCAAAGGACAGACTGCAGAGGATGATGTCAACTGCGTCAGATGATATCACCACTGGAATGTAAACAATGGAGCGTGGGGGTAGAGGGGACGGGGGGCTAGAGGGAGGGAGGAACGCGCGCATAAAGTATCGCACGCTCCCTCTCAGACCCTCTCAGACATGTCACACTTTACTGTTACAGTACACTCCCTCCCCCTCACGCGCACTCGTCGCTCTCCACAGGCTGCCAAGACTAAGAGCAAAAATGCTCCACTTGGCCGATCCTCCGAAGAGTCCGAAGCCCGCGGCACAGCCCTGAGTGTGTCACCGCTTAATGACCTAATTGAGATCTGCACCATCCACCCCGACTGAAGTAATTGTGCACCGCGACGCTCTTCCAGCATCTTATCTCACAAGAGTCGTCAGCTCCTCCTGGACTCCGCAAGCCAAATATTACGATACATCCATCTGTACACAATCACGGCGCCTGGTCCGTAAATATACTCCCATAGTCAAACGACCCCTCCTCCATTAGACTCAGAATCGTCGCCGCAGACCTGCCACAAGTTAGCACCCGCTCAATACACTGAGAAGCACACTTACAAAGCACTCCCACCCTGCTTTAACCCGTCCGACACATTATCCATGCCTGCGGTCGCCAGGCTCTCCCCGCCAAAGCCCTGCCCATTCATCCCGTAGTTGAAGCTCAAGTTACCCGCCCTCGCCCCAACCTGCTGCTGGTGCTCGCTCATCGGATGGTCCGCGTCACTCGTACTGGCGTTGGCATTATATGTATAGTTGGTAGCATCCGCATCTTGCCCACTGAGCATGGCATTGCCATTTCCCAAATTGACATTCGGAGTGAGCGTCTCAAACCTGTCAAACGGCGCTGAAGCTTCACCAAGCCCCCCGAGCGTGGGCATCAATCCGCCACTGCCCGATTCACGCGTCGACGCTACAGGATTCACATCCTGTTCACCGGGCACGTTAAAGTACGCGGCAGTGTTGAACAATGCTTCCAGCTCTGGCGCCGAGCTCCCCAGATCACCGAGCCCGCCCAGCGAAGGGCGTCCAGAGTCGGTACTGTCGAGCGCGTTGGGGTCAAAGTTCATCATGCCCGAGCTGGCGGGCGAGTCGGAGATGGGAGGCGTGGTGACAATGTGTTTGCGTACCGGACGGAGCCAGGCGGGGGAAGGTCGACCGGCGGAATCTGGCACTCGCGGCGAGTCGACGGGAATGTTGCACACTTACACATGTCAGCTTTTCTCACGCGTGTGAGACTATGCACGCACCTCGACAAAATTCGTCAATGATATCCGCAGATCTCAAACCACACAGATACCGCCCGCTGAACCGCCTCAACAGTCCCACGCACGAACGCAGCCCTTCGATTGAAGGTGCAATGATTGGTCTGAAATCAGTGTTGCGGCAGTTGAGAATCACAGCTACCAGTGTACGACCAGCTTGTGCCAGTTGATGAATCACATGCACGCCGTCTATGCCATGTCAGTCGAGTCCCTCATAGACACGTTCAACTTACAATAGGTCATCATGCCTCTTTGGCTGATGTGGACGTGGTCGGCAATGATGGTCAGCGCACACTGCATGGCCTTTTTGCAAAGGTCCAGATGCCTCGTGCGTTCTTCTGGTGTACATGCCGGGATAGCCACGAATCCCGAGAATCGGTGTCGATAAATGATCATCTTGACCAGGTGCTCCAGCTGCGCACGTCAGCAATGCCCCAGTTGAAACAAGTCACTTACACAATGCAACCGCTCTGCCTGCGTGATTCGGATAGGATCCCGCGAATTCGCCGTATCCGTGTCATAGTTCCAATACTTTGGCAATATCCGTTTCCATTCTTCCAACAGCTCTTCCTCCGCCCTTAACGTCTCTGTCTGCGGCAGCCTCCTCGCAATCGTAGCCGCCGCCCGCGCCAAGAACGGACTCGTCGGGAAGGCCGACGGCGACGTCGCGGAATCAATCACACCCTCGAGAATGACGTGCAGCCGGATCGTAGCGACGAATGCGCACATACGACTTTTGGGGTTGATGGCGTCGTCTTTGATACCTTCTGGCACGAGGTTTTCGTCGTCGACGATGATGGGCTCGGTGACGTCGCAGTCGCGGAGGTGGATGATGGGTGGTCGTCCGAATAGCGCGGCGGATTGTTTATCCCACGAGTAGATGGACCAGAATGTTCGCTATACACTCGTCAGCATGCAGTCAGGATATCGTGAGGGGCTCACTTTTCTAGTCTCCTTCTCGACAGCATCAAAATGGTCATACGCATCCACACTCCTATGCAAACCTCCGTCCAAACATAATGTGATACTCTCCGCTTGCAACGCAAACGCCTTGCTCAAGTTTCCCAGACCAAACGCATAGATGGCAGCCAAGAACGCCGCTTGGATACTATACAATGTAGGCCTATCCGCCGACGGCAAATCTCGCAACCGCTTAAACAACTCAAAGTACTGCTTGCCCGCCGTCGACGGGTCATTCGGGTTTGCCCTTACACGCGGGTCATCCACATGCCGCGACGACAGCGTACACACCGCCACGATAAAGCACGTGAACCCCGGTTCACCCCACTGTGCCGGGTTGGCATAATCTGCCAAGAACGACGGTACATGGAGGAACGGCCACAGGAGATGCGAGGTGGAGAGGTAGCAGCGGACAAGAGTGTCCATCAGGTCCGGGGGGATCACGCCGGTGATGACTTTCCAGCTCGCTTCCGGGTTGAGCGTCTGGTGTGGCCGGGGCGTACGGTCGGGGAAGAAGCGTTCTTTCCTTTTTCCTTCCATGCTCCTTGCCCGGCGGCCTATGGCGCCAAGCCCGATCGACTGGGATCGTTTCGGCTGAGCGGTAGATGCGCGGTTGAGCGATGTGGAAGCAGAGGATACGCGGCGAGACAGGTGCGGGTTGTTGGGCGAGGTGGATAGTGTCGATTCGGCGGCGGGCGAGGTGAGGATGTCTTGTTCGCCAGCTCCCTCGTCATCATCTTCTTTGGACGCGTTGTGCGCAGCGAGCAGGTGTAGCAGAGGGAATCCGGACGTGGCGCCTACATACAATAATCAGTCGACGTTTCGGCAAAATTGATAAAGCAACCTCACCTTGCCACTTTGCCTGTCCAATCTCGTCTTCGTAGAAAAAGCTCATGCCACCCAGCTTCTTGGCCAGCTCATCCATACCCACTTCTTCCTTCTTCTTCCCCAATCCTGCACCGAGCCAGCCGTTCAGATCCGGGCCGCCGCTGCTGTTCAATCCCCAATCCGCCAAGTTGTTTTGCTGATCATACGGGCTCAAGGCTGGCTTATATCCCGTGCTCATCCCGACCAGCTCTGAAAGATTCGTCGTCGTCCCGCCCAACGCCTCTGCCGCCACCCCCACGCCTTCTCCCCCACTCCCTCCTTCCTTGATGCCCACTCCCGTCCCGCTCCCGAGCCTCGCATCAAGCGTCGATAAGAACGCATTATGCACATTCGGCGGTACATCCCTCAACATGCTTTCCAGCGCCGCCAGTCGCGCTTCCAGCCCCGCCTGGTTCTCACCCCGCCCCGTGGCAAGATTGGCGAAACTCCTCCCCGGCGAATGTGGCCTCTTGACCCCACCCGTGCTGCTCACGCGCTCCGCGGACGTGCCTTTCGGTTTCACCGTCCGTCGCGAAGGGGTCTCGAATGTACACACATTGTTGGACTGCTGGCACGGGGTGCAGGGGTGTTGGGTGTCGCATTTGATTTTCCGGCGGCGGCAGCGATCGCAGGCGTGCGCGAGACGTAGGCGGGGGCGTTTGGCGTTATCGCTGTTATCGTCGAGCGCAGAGAGGTCTTGGCCTGTGCCGTGGTCGCCCTGCGTCTGAGGTGGGGAAGGACCATGTGGCTGGGCGGAAGAAGTGTTCCCAAGCGGAGAGGGCTGGTTCGATAGCTGGGCATGGGCAGATTGGGGCTGGGGGACAGTCGGTGAAGGCCCATTGGCGCCGTCCCCGTTGGTCTGCGAGTTGATCATGGTGGCCCCGGTGGATCGATTGCGCTGTTGAGCGGCGATGGGGAGCGCAGACTGGCGTGATGGTGAAAAGTCAGCAATGAACAATAATGAATTCGGACCGGCATGCGCAATTCTTAGCAGCGCTATTTTCCCCACTTTTTCCCCACAATTAAGCTACGTGGATTGCATGCTTGGTTCTACCTTGGCCTATGGCCTATACAAATCGGTTTCTGATTATAACTGATACACCCTCTGGCAGAGTTGCCATTACAACAGATCTCCTCCTCATGCTGTCGATCTTCCGAGCCGAGAAATCTCCGTATACCGCTTTCCTCTCAGAGCCATGCGCTCAGCACATTCTCGCGATACGAAGCGTCGTCCTCCCCCTGTTGCGTGGTAAGAATCGCTCTGATCTGTATACCCATCTCGGTCAACACCACATGTCACTCAACCAGATCGCGTGAAAGCATACGTACCTCGTCGGGTGGATCCAGACCCCACTGCTTGGCTCTTTCCCAGCGCTGCAGACGGGGGATGCCGACACATGGGCCATACTTTGTCGACAAATCGAATACACGGAGTATATCTGATTAGGCAAAGAGAGTTTATTGGGTGGGCGGGATGTAACGTCAGCGTTGTATGCAACGGCGACGTTGGAGACTTACGATGGATATCGTTATGGGTGTCGGGGCCCGCATGGACTGGGAGAGCGTCAGCATGGTGCGACTATGGTCGGGGTTGAACTCACTTGGCTCCAAGTCGCCCATAGCTGCCTTAGCCTCTTTCAGAACTTTTGACCATTCCTTGCTCTTGACCTTTAATTGTGACTTCTTGCCTCCCTTTGCGCTCTCGTCCTTTGTCCCCTGAGGCTCATCAACCACTTGAATATCATCATCATCCCCCTCGGCGGCTTTGGCACCAGGTATAGAGACCGAAGATGACTGTTTCTGCAGCGATGGTTTGGTTTTGGAGGTGGCGCCTCGTGAAGGCTTTCCTTGGGATTGGAAAGAGAGTATAGGCTTGTAAAAGTCAGCACCCTCCCCTCATCTCGAGCGTGTAGACCCACCTGGGCAACGCCAGCAGCCTTCTTGGTCCTCCCCGATGTCCTAGATGATGCGGCTAATGATTTCTTGGGTGGCATATTGATATGGATAGAAGAGGAATGACATGCAGTTAGCCCGGAATGATGATGAGCCAGAAGATCGGGGCAGCTGGAGTCAGGACGCGGAAGAACATGACGATTTCAGGGGAACGGTGCCTGGGTAAAGTGGGGGGTGGATGTGACGTTGGCTGGTGTGCGTCGTTGGGTGAGCTTTCTTGCGATGCATAGCAATGGTGTGACCAAAAGCTGGGGGTATCTCGGGCAGTACAAGAGAGCATGGGTGGTACTGAGAGAGGCTCAAGAGCTGCATGTGAAAGATGTACACCGTGTCCGCTGGCTCGCCGTTGAGTGATGAAAGAGAACATCGTCGTGAGGGCCGTGTCTGGGATGCCGACTGCGGCCTGCCCCAATATATCACAAGCAGTACAAGGAATAGGAGGACAAAAGGCCAGGCTCTCGTCACGACTGCATCCCGGCGAGACGCCAAGGCGACTGGTTCTGGAAGGACAAACAAAGAAGAAGCCGATACGCGCTAGGGGTGTTAAGATGATTCTTACAGTTTTTATCGTGCCACACGAATAAGATTAAGGGGGGCGAGACTTGAGAGGGCGGTGTTCGCGTCGTTTTCTCTTCTTCCTCTGCATCTCCATCTCTCCATCCCCTCCATCTCCCCTACAGCCTGGCGCACCCCCCATCCACCCGTCCTTTCATCCCCGCCGCGTACCCTTCATCACCCCCGACATACCCCGTCCCTCGGTCACCCACCAGCCCTTTTCATCCACCCTCCTCCCGAACAACATCCGCCAGGGAGACCCTCATCATGGCACGAGACAGGCTTGGTAACGTCGTAAGTCTCATCCTATTCCATGTAGAAGAACGCGTGTTGACTTGCCACGAAAGAACCGCCAATACGGGTCCGTGCCTCCTCTTGTGATCCAGACCGTAATTGACCCTAGACTATAGCGAACAGCCCAACCCAGCCCCTACCTACCCTCCTCCAGGAAACGGCGTGATCGCCCCCTCCCGCGCGCCCAACCCCTATGCCCAGCAAAACACCGCGTACGGTGCCAATGCCGGTAACCCTTACCAAAACCAGGGCGGCGACCCTTACGCCGGTGCTGCCTACGGCCAGCAGCAAGGCTACGCCATGGGCGGCGTCAATGGCGGTGGCGGAGGTGATTTCTGGACCGAATTGACCAACACCAACTCTGCCCTGAGTCAGCTCCAGGAGCAGATCCAGGCTGTCAGGCAGGCGCACCAGGCGAGCTTGTCGTCCACCGACCCCGAGGCTGCCGGGTACGCTGCCAAGCTCAACGACCAGGCGCGTACTCTGCGAGAAGAGTGCAAGGACCAGATCAAGCTGCTCTACAAGTCTGCCAAGGGCGACCGTGCGCAGAGGACGCAGGCGGAGGGTGTCAAGACCCGATTCCAGGGTCTCTTGCAAGAGCACCAGGTGATTGAAAAGGAGTTTAGGAAAAAGGTCAAGGACAGAGTCGAGAGGCAGTACAGGATTGTCAAGCCTGACGCGACCGAGGATGAGATCAGGCAGGCTACCGAGTCTGACAATCCTCAAGTGTTTTCTCAAGCCGTACGTATCGTGTCTGTATGCGCGTGCTTTGCCAACTTTTGCACAGCTGTTAAACTCGAACCGATACGGTTCAGCCCGAGGCGCTTTCCGAGAAGTCCAAGAACGTCATGCCGAAATCCAAAAGATTGAAAAGACCCTCACAGAACTCGCCCAGATGTTCCAGGAGATGGCCATGCTCGTCGAACAGCAAGACGAGACGATTGTCAATGTCGAGCAGCAGGCGCAGGGTGTTGACCAGGACATCTCGGCGGGACTAGTACAGACGGACCGGGCGGTGGAGAGTGCCCGAAAGGCCAGGAGAAAGAAGTGGATCTGCTTCTGGATTGTCGGTGAGTATATCGCAAACTCGGCCGCACGCGAGCTGACCGTGTGCAGTCGCCATCTTGTGTATCATTGCCATTATTCTCGGTGTCTACTTTGGTGTTACCAAGAAGAACTAATCCTCCCACAACTAGCCTCTTTCAATTTTTAGACTTTACGACCTGCTTTCTGTTTGTATCCTCCTGTTTGACAGAGGATGGCCTTGACATTACGCCCCAAAAGTTCTACGCGATACTTGTTTATTTGTTTCTGATGTACTCGACACGTAATGGGAAAGGTGCAGTACATATGTCTATACCAGTACAGTAACTTTTAGTAATGCATTCTGGATCATCTCTCGAGACGACGCCTGTGCACAAACAAGCGGGAGGCTAGGGTGCTCAGGGAGGAGTGTTGGGTTGGGTGACGGACCAGTGCAGAGATCAGTGGGCAGCGCTCGAGGGCACCTGCACCCACACCTGCCCCCAGCTGTCCTGCCCCTGCTCGCTGCATTGGCCATCGCTGCCCTGGGCCATGCATAGGGTGCGCTCGAGGAGGCCACTGCTCGGATTACCGCATGCGGCAAGCGGCCGAACTGACGTCGATTTTGAGCGCGTCGCGGTCACGCAGCAACAGTGTCATCCTCTTCCTCTCTTTCCTTTATCCCTCAAGACCCAGTAAACGCGGGACAGAGACGCTCGCCATGCCTCCCCCCATCCTCGCCCTCGTCCACTACATACACCCCGCCCTCCTCTCCCTCCCCCTCCCTTTCCTCTTTGCACCCAAGGCTGCGCCCCCGCCCGCTCTCCCCGGTATCACCCCCGTCACCGTCCAGGTCACCTCCCCCCGGCGGGGTCTTGTCCTCACGGCCCTCGCCCTTCTTGCATTCACCAGCTTCCTCGACATCAGCGTCCTCGTAGGAGATATCCTCTCCGCTCGGGCGCGATATGGTGAAGAGCTTCCGGCCCGGCTGGTAGGGACCGAGCTCTGGGCAGGGGTAGTGTACGGTGTTGGGGAACTGCTGGTATGGGGCATTGCTCTCGTAGCGACAGTATGGAGAGAAAGGTTTGGGAAGGGTTTGCTCGTGCTCGGCGTGCTCGGTGTCGTGGGCGAGATTGTCAATCTCGTCTTTTTGGTCAAACGCGAGCTGCATGCCAGTAAGTGCTCTTCAGGATAAGCGATCAGAGCGAGGTGCTAACGATGCTTGCAGGTGGAAGTGAACACTTGTTCTCCATCCTTTCTCTGGTCCCTTCATCTGCTCGACTGCTCCTGTTGCCCGTTCTGCTTTCAGCAGTGGCCGCCCCTCGAGTCTCTTTCGAACCCGCCACCGAGCGCACTGGTCTACTCTCAGAAAGCTCCGAGGGCACCCTATCGCACTCTAGAGAGACGACAGCGGCCAGCGACTATGGCACATTCGTGCCCGGGACAGGTGTCGCGACCCCCGCTCCCGGACCTGCCCAGACCGACGAACAGATTGCCGAACAACAACGTCTTCAGCAGGAAGAACGCAACAAGCAGCGCAAGATCAAAATCAACAAGCAGCTTGGATCCAAGCGTCAACCCAAAAAGATGCTCTCGCTCAAGGAGGCGTGGCCAAAGTTCAAGAAGATTCTGCCCATGCTTTGGCCGTCGACCAGTCCCAAATTGCAATTCTATGTTGGCTTGACTGGTCTCTTTATCTTGCTTGAGCGAGGTTTGAACCCCTTACTGCCTATCACTCTTGGTTGGGTCATTGCCGCCCTGGGAAACTGGTCGTCTCCTGTCGACGTCTGGAAGGCTCTGGGTGCCTACCTTTTCATCCGATTCATTGACAGTTATGGTGTCATTAGTGCGCTTCAGCAGTACTTCTGGATCCCTGTTGTGCAATACACGGACCGTGAAATGCGTGAGCAGCTTCAGACATGTCAGAGATGACGCTGAGAGCCCTACAGAGTTGATGTCCTTCAACCACCTCATCGACCTGAGTTTGTCTTACCACACCAAGCGAAACACTGGCGAGGTCATGCGCATCGTGGACCGAGGATCAGCTGTGAGCGGCATTCATGGCATCCCGGTCTTCAACTGACAATACTACAGATCAATGAAGTCTTCCGGACCTGCCTTTTCTCCGTGATTCCTACTATCGCCGATACCGTCATCGGCCTTGCCGTCTTCCTGTGGCTCTTTGGCCCCTTGATCACCTTCAGTATCATCGGCGTCATGGTCCCTTACTGTGTCTTCTCATTCATCGCCACCAGAATCACTCAGAAGACTCGACGAGAGTATATCGATAATGATGTGCGACAGAGAGGTATTGTGTCGGATGTCTTGACCAACTGGGAGTCTGTCAAGTACTTTACCTCTGAATCTCGAGAAGGTGAGTCATACCAGATGAAAGACATGCAAAGCTGACATTGTGTAGCCGCCCGATTCGAGGAAGCCGTCGACGACCTCCTCAAGGTAGACTACAAATGGCGTATGGGCTATCAAGTCATCTACGCCATCCAGAGCTTGATCCTCGTCGTTGCCTTTGCCGTCGGCGCCGTCCTCCTCGCTTTGCGAATCATGAACGGCAACGGCAGCTCTGCCTCCTTTGTCGTCTACGTCACCTACTTTTCCCAGTTCACGCGACCTCTCAACCAGCTGAGCTCTTTGTACAAGGAGATCAGCTCGGATATCACCGACGCCGAAAAGTTGCTGGCTTTGTTGGGGGAGCAGACGGATATCAAGGATAAGCCCGATGCCAAAGAGTTGATTCTTACCGACGGTGTCATCGAGTTTGATAACGTAACCTTTTCCTACGATGGCAAGAAGGATGCTATCAAGAATATCTCCTTCAAGCTCGAGAAGGGTCAGTCGCTTGCTCTTGTCGGTCAGACCGGTTCGGGCAAATCGACCATCCTTCGCCTGTTGTATCGATTCTATGACATTCAATCCGGCCACATCTATATCGACGGGCAAGATATCTCTTCCGTAACTCAGGCGTCTCTTCGAAGGGCAATCGGCATCGTCCCCCAGGATAGTGTCCTGTGGAACGACTCTATCGCTGCCAACATTGCCTACGGAGACCCCAATGCCACGGACGAAGAAGTGATTGAAGCTGCCAAAGCTGGCCGGATCCACGATAAGATCATGTCCTTTGACGAGCAGTACGACACCTTGGTCGGCGAACGAGGTGTCAGGCTTTCTGGTGGTGAAAAGCAGAGGGTCAGCTTGTCGCGAATGTTTTTGAAGAACCCTAGGATCTTGGTCAGTGCTTTGTAATGACTTGTAGGCGTTTTACTGACGACTTTGTAGGTTTTGGATGAGGCTACTAGTGCTTTGGATACTGAGACTGAGCGTGAAATTCAAAAGTCGCTCACCAAGCTCGTAAGCATGGGAGTCTTGCATACATGAGGATCGCTGACAGCTGTGACAGGCCGAGGGTCGAACCAGTCTTTCTATTGCCCACCGTCTTTCCACCATCATCAACTCTGACAAGATCGTCGTCATGGGCGATGGCGAGATTGTTGAGATCGGAACCTACCAAGAGTTGATCGACAAGGACGGCACTTTTGCTACCATGTGAGTTATCTTCCCGCCTGCAGTAACAATACTGACAACCTAAAGGTGGCGACGACAGATCTACACCGAGGCCGAGCTGCTCGAAGGCGACGCCATTGACCAATTCGCTCGCGCTCTTCCTACTGCCGCCGATTTCCGCCACTACCGCGAAACTGGTGAAGCCGTCAAGTCTCCCACCGCTGAAAAGAAGCAAGAAGGCAGTCACGCCGGGGACGGCAATGCCCCCCAGCTCGAGGCTGCTGTGCCGGCTGCCAAGGAAGATGTCCCAGAGGTCGACGCCAAGAACGACGCTGAAGGCTTTGAGGTTGAACAGTCTGCTCCTGCCCCTGGCCCTATTGCTGAGGACCCCAAGGCTCTCTCTTTTGCCGACACTGTCAAAGCCGACGCTGAACCCAAGACTGAAGAGGTCGAGGCCGAAGTGGGACAGGCGTCTAGGGAACCTGCCTCGGAGGAAACTAAAGAAGTTGCACCCAAGACAGAAGAGGCACCTGAGCCCGAAGTGAAGGCACCCGAGACCTTTGCCGATAAGGCCGCTGCTCCTGTGGCGCCTTCCGGTACCGTTCCCGAGCCTGCTACTCCCAAGGTCGTCCCCTTCCCTTCTGCTGCCTCTCCCCGACCCGTGTCTTTCCCCGGTCCCCCTTCTTTGTCCACACCCGCCAACCACCGATTGTCCACTCTGTCTGCCTACTCGGCATCCCCCACTACCCCTGGTAACGAGCCTCCATCTCCTACCAAGTCGGATGCCGTCTCTGGTTTCAGTGACAAGTCTGGGACACCCGGGTCTGGTACCGAAGACAAGCGCAGGAAACGCTTGAGCTCCATCAAAGGCTTTGTTCGACGGATCAGTGACCAGGGAGGGTTGACGAGGAGCGCAAGTGGGTTGAAGAGCCCGAGGGTGAGCACGGATGGTGGTCTTCCCGAGACTGCTGAGAATGAGGCGGATGAGAGGACGACGCTGTTGTCGCCTTCGACTGCTGAGGCGCGATCTCCTGCCCCCGAGCCTGCGGCCAAGCCCCAGGCGCCGATCAAGACTCATGGCGGCGGAAGTTCCAGGAAGGAGAAGAAGAAGAACAAGAGAAGCAGGCATTAGTGTGTCTGTTTGAAAAGTAGCGATCGTGTCGCCTCTATAGATGTGTTTTCTGTATATACCATTACAAGTCAAAAGCTGTGCTATATGACAGTAGATAGATAAAATTTGCCTCCTACTTTTCCCCATTTGCCTAAGCCTAATCATATACACGTTTGTATCATATTTGATTGTTTGGGAACACCTCAGGAGAACCTCGAGTCATATTATGCTCTATACCTATGCATTATCGTCGTTTTCATTTCAATGCTACTTGATCCATGCTATGTTATCCTTCAGATCTTCCTCATTCCTTGCGCCCTTCGCAACAGCTTCGCTAGTATATAGCTACATGGCACTGTTGGCGGATATTTGCTGGAACAGACGATCAGCGTCAAACCATGGCTTGATAGATGGCACACTCACAGCTCACGAAAGCTCTTTTACTGTACATCCCCTCATCTCTCTTCCCCTTACACACTCTCACACCCAAAGGTCTTCTTTACCTTCCAAGACACCACTCTCAGCCCCACCAACCCCAAAATCACTCCAACATCCACCACCAAAAGCGTCACTCCGCTCATCATAAACCTCGGCGCAAACACTTTCCAAACCATCAAGTGTCTACGGAGCCAGGCGGCCGTGATGGCAGATGCCACGGTGATGAGGGTGTGGTAGATGAGGAATGCGAGGACAACTTGTAGGCCGTGGGCGAGGACGGGGATGGACCCTCGCGGACGGGGAGAAATGTTCCA